CTAGGTCTTGATCGATGATTTTTGGATAGTTTGAGGAGTCGAGGACTTCCTGCATTTATAGCCGATCAGGTCGGTCTTCAACCTGTTTGGAATAGGAAACTCTTGTTGGCAAGGAGTTTCCTTTTTCCCCGGATCATCAACAAATAAAAGATTTTCATTTATGTTGCTGACCTAGAACTTGTTAGACGAACTGACTAGAATTCATATCGGGCTTGTTAGAGACGGTACGAATCTCATCTCTAACATGCCGTACTTATGTACGATTAACTTTTGTCTTGTTACCTACTAACCTACACCATTTAATTTTCTCGATTAGTACTAATTTAATTGTGCACCAATAAATAATTGAGTTTTTTTCTTTTATGAATTACATCAAACTACGCTACCTATCCCATAATCTAGCTATCAACAACAACGGAATTAGCCACAATAATAAAACATTTCCATTTTACAAATGTATCATATATGACCACATATATATATACATATATATACGTGCAACTAAATTTATGAAAAGATAAAAGAGTACTGTATAATACAGAAAACCATATCGCAATTAATACTGATCCTTTTAAACAAATTATCAGATATAAAGAAATTTTATATATATATATATATATATTGTTATGAACTTATGATTGGGTTAATTTATTTCTTGTATTGCAAGTTATAAAACTAAATATGATCCTAACTGAACATATAAAACCAATGATGTCTATACAAAATTACATATGCTGAAATACTATTCTTGATAAATATTTATATATAATTAAATGATAATCGTGGCTTAACTAGATGAATCTATGATATTCACAATGATAATGTATCATAAGCAAAAATGGAGAGAAGATATAATCTGGTGATGAGAACACTCAATTAGCTTGCCTGATCACGATTTTGCATAAAAGGCTGTGTGTTACTTGCATGTTCTTGCTTAGGGTTTTAATTATTTGATTATATGTGTTATGCCTATATTAGTGAATCGTTCTTATGATGCCTTTTTCTATCTTAAATTAAGTTTCCCTAAACAGGTGTCGAGATCGTACATTTTATGGTGCGATTTCCTTTTAGCATTAGCTTTTTGGAATTATTCCCTCCCCTAAAAGTGTTAATATTATTGTACTAACAAATTTAAGGTTTTAAATTAATATAATGGAAATGAGTTAATGGGAATCACACCCTATGGTGTAGCCTATGTATGTAAAGCTAAGCTAACATCTAGCTTACCAGTTGAATAAATTATAATTTGATTGGTTATATTATAATAAGACAGATTAGGATAATATGGGTATTTAAACCGAAAAAGGGTAATGGGTATCAACATGTATGTAAGCATGCATGGCTTTAGTATCTTAGAATAAAAAATTAAAACAAATTTAGCTTTTATGAAGTATTTTATATATTTTTTTAAATATATGTAAAATGATTTTTTTTTCCGCAGTACTAAACAAAAGTTCAATCATTAAAAAAACATAATTCAACTCTACGAACAAATCTAAATCCTTAATAATTCTTTTTTTCCTTCAAAAATTAAACGTAAGTTTCTAAATATAGTAATATCTTTATATGATTTAGTTCAATTACTCATTCATACGAATGTTGTGTAATATAACTGTGGCCTAACTCCACATATACACATTATCATTATGGTGGTCTACTTTTAATTTGGAATAATAGTGATTACATATTTCTCGAATGTCAAATTAAACTTTTCCTAGAAAACCATGACATACAACCAATGATTCCCACTTGGGTTCCTTTCATTAATGTTTAAATTATTTATTTGATTGCTTACTTATACTACAAATTATTGTACGAACAGTATAATCGTATATATGTTTTTCCTTAAAACTAATTAAAATAACGTTCTCATCAATTCTTGAAAGAACTATTTACAATAACGAGTCTGCTTCTTTATTTATGTTAGAAACGAATGTTCGAAAATATATCTCTTAATTCACATGATGTTAACATGAGGTTTAACACAGAGAGTAAAATATTATGTTGTTCGTATTTTGTTAATATTTTAAATTTAAAAACCTATTCAAATATAATAAAATAGACTGAAAATTGATTAGAGAATAAAAATTTAATTATAATAATTATTGACTATTCAGCAAAATAAGTAACACTAAATTTTAATATTATATTTTATCGATTACAGAGAAGCAAAATTTCAAATAAGGAGGAGTTAGTTTACCAAATAAGGATGCTGTTCAAAAAAAATTGACCAAAAATTAGAAAACAATTAAGGTAGATTTCTTAATTAAAAATAAAATATTATGTTGTACGTACTTTGTTAAGTTTAAAATTTTTAAAAATTAGTTAAACATAAGAAAGTAGACTGAAAGTTGCTCAGAGATAACAAATTTAATGAAAATAAATTTATTCAAACTTTAATAGTACTTCTTCTGTTTGCAATTATATGATGTTGTAAGACTTCCAAAAAAAATTGATGTTCTTTCAAATCAAATCAAAGCAAAATTTACCAGTAAATAACTTGTTTTATTTTGTATTAATTGATGATTATTTAATCTACTAATATTTTTACTAATTTAATTAATTTATGTGACCACAAGTAAAACCTGAAATCATTTAAACCCTTTTAAAATACCATTTTGGAATGCTGTTTTTTTTAATGCAAACTTTGAATTTCATTATTCTTAATCTATCAATTTACATCAAAAAAGAGAATTATTTATCATGTTTGATAAATGCAACAAAACAACAAAGCGTACATATAAGTTTTTATCGGATAATATATACGATATAAAAAAATAAGATATAAATAATATACTTTGCTTTATCACAAAAAATAATATACACATGAAAATTGTATTTTTTTCAAATATATTAAGTTTCATTTCGAATCATTATAAAATTTGATTTTTTATCTATAAATAAACTAATGATATACTTTTAAAATTTTTTAATTGAACTCTGCACAAGGTGCAGGGAAATACCTAGTAATAATTAAAAGGGATACAAACAAAGTTGTAAACATCAAATAAAAAAACGGAGAAAATATATTTTATTGGTAAGAGAATAGCAAAGTTTCAAATATGGTTGAGTAGGTCTATACTCAGATGACCAAAAGACTGTAAAAATTAGAGAAAAAGTTGAGATGGTTTTTTAATCAAAAATAAAATATTATGTTGTACACACCTTATTAATGTTTTTAGGTAAATGGAAAATGATAATTACAATCTAGGAAGATAGCTGAGAGAAACAAATTAAAATTTTTCTTTTTTATTTGACTTAATTACAAAATTGTTTTATATCTGAAAATTCTGTTGGCAATATAAAATTCTGACAGCACTCATCATCTCTTGCTCGATAACACTGTTTACAAACTCCCTGAGACATTATTCACATTTATTTGGTAACACTATTTACACAAACCAACATTATTATTATATAATTATTAAGTTAAAACAATCAGCATGTCATTGAAATATCATGGTAAACTAGTTTTTATTTCAATAGTCATATATGAAACTGTCATACACAAGCTATCATATCATAAATTATCGTGTTTATCAAATTTATATAATTAGAAATATAAAAATTATCATATTAACTAGTTATCTTATCATAAACACATGTATTAACAAAATTATACTAAAATTAAATTAAGTAATTTTTGTTATTGCTTAATTTTTGCTGTCATCACTATCATCACTCATGTTATCATCGTGATACTATTACCATCATTTACAATAGTATTGTTACTATTATTGTTGTCGTCACCATTATCATTATTATTAGCATCATTATTATCACCAATTTCCATCATCCTTTATATTTTTTTCTTTTTTCCTTTCTTTTTTTTTGTCTTCCTCTTCTTTTCTTCTTCTTCTTGTTTTAACATCAAAAATCTCTGAAAACAAAAAAAAGAAAAAATTGTAATTAGATGAAAAAGATTAAAAACACTTTATAATATCAACAGAGATCAGTAAAAAAAAAAATAACAACTGGCAAAAACTAAACACGATGTTATCAGATGGTACAGTTGTTGGTATTGCTCTTCAAATAATTATCTAAACATGTACTACAGTACTCGGAGTCGGAACTATAACATTCTCATATCTTAATACATTTTTTGGTTTAAAAAAAGAACTATATATACAGAAAATGGTGGGCAACTGCCGACTCCGACCCACGTGTGGAAGGAAGAGTCCAAAAATGCCAAAGATTACGGGTAAACCTTAACCTATACCATTCCTTTCTTTTTTTTGGTTCAACATACCATTCTTCTTTTAAGATATCAAATACAATGCCTAAAGATTTTCCCAAAGTATGTGTTATTCGAAATGGTGACATCAACAAAACAGATGATGTATAACAAATATATCATATGGAATACATACGTATGAAAGAATGACAAATATAATCGTTTAAGAAAAAAAAAAGGAGATTAGTTGAATGTCGAAAAATATATATGTCCGTCCGTGTCTCAGGACGTATTGCGGACACGTCGCGTTCGGAACTGCACGAGCCACCGCCCACCGGCCACGAGGGCCACTTGATGTTTTAGATTTGGGTCCGGGTTCTATAATATGGTAAACCGGTCAATCAAAGAGACTTAGTTTGGGTTAAATCCGGATAACCGATGTTATCCAAGGATTCGTCCGGCTGAATCATTATTACACATGGAGAAAAATACTAGAAAAGGCATAATAAACATTAAACACGGTGAAGAAACTATACAACGCGCATAAAATATGGCCCTTTATAGTCGCAAATTCTGAATCACATAGCTTCAAACCGACCACTTGCCAATTTTATCTGTATTCTCCCATCTTCAGTCGTCTCTATTCCTATTCGAACCTTCTCGATTTTGAATTTCTTCCCCGGAAACCCTAAGGGATACAGGCTTCGTCGCTGCCGTGAGACATTTTACTGTTTGTGTGTTGTTGTTCTATCAATCTTTGTTAGTGGCGGAGGATGCGTCAATTAGATTCCCCTGCGTGGAGCATTCGGTGAAAGACGATTGATAAATGATTCCACAGTCTTCTTCTTATTCTAGTTTCGATTTCCTGTCTCACGCCACTGTATCACGTCGCCTGCTCTGTCCTTGCTCCAATGAGCACGGCCTTATTGTGTTCTGCGCTGGATTCGCGAGGAGGCGGGTTCTCCGTCGGAAGACCAGAGTTCCGGTGACGAATGCGAACTCCAGGTTTGTTTCCTGCGGAATTCGCGGGGGTTCGACGAAGAACGTAGGATTAGCGGATTCGGGGAGAAGACTTGTGGCTGCTCGGTTCTCGAATGAATTCGAGGACGAACGGGAATCATCGCAGGAGTCTGCAATTCAGGGTGACCGAAACGATTTCACTAGCTTTAGAGAAGACCCGATTGTGGATAAGCTCAGGACTCAGCTAGGCGTTATCCACCCAATCCCGTCGCCGCCATTGAATCGCAACGCGATTGGTCTGTTCGCGTTTTTTTTCTTCGTTGGTGTTGCTTGCGACAAGCTATGGGCGTGGAGAAAGAGGCGGAGACAAACCGGTGGGGAACGAGGAGCCGGGTTATGGCCACAGGTTCCCAGCAGCTTCTCGTTGTCCCTCGAGAAGGACTTGCAGAGGAAAGAGTCGGTGGAGTGGGTGAACATGGTGTTGGTGAAGCTCTGGAAAGTTTATAGAGGTGGGATTGAGAACTGGCTCATTGGATTGTTGCAGCCAGTGATTGATGACTTGAAGAAGCCAGATTATGTGAAGAGAGTCGAAATCAAACAATTCTCTCTTGGTGATGAGCCCTTGTCTGTTAGAAATGTGGAGAGGAGGACATCACGCCGTGTCAATGACTTGCAGTAAGTTTATACCTCTTGTGCTATTGCCAATGTTAGGTAGTTAATGTACTGTGCACATGGTGGGGTTATTATTTGGTTTCAGCTATGAGTTCAAAGGTAAAGAAACTGAAACAGTAGTGACATTTTCGGGCATGAGACCTACGGATGCAGTACACTATTGGTCACTGCATCATTGAGTTTGGATACTCCAAATTGTGTATTCACGGCTCAGTTCAAGATTGCTTATGCTGTAGTTTTTTCTTCTTAATAGGTATCAGATTGGTCTTCGGTATACTGGTGGTGCCCGCATGTTGTTATCGCTCTCTTTGAAATTTGGTATCATCCCAGTAGTTGTGCCAGTCGGTATTCGGGATTTTGACATTGACGGTGAGCTTTGGGTTAAATTAAGACTGATACCGACAGAGCCTTGGGTTGGAGCTGCATCATGGGCTTTTGTATCACTTCCAAAGATCAAATTCGAGTTGGCACCATTCCGACTGTTTAATCTAATGGGTATGACTTAATCATGATCCTCTATTGCTTTCTCATTATCTCATTTATGTCACACAAATATCGTTTATTTTTGTGTGTGTGGATTGTTATGGTGTTAGACCATATATAATGTGGAAAGATTATACGTTTATAACTCTTGCTGGATGATGTTAAAAAAACATCTTTTATTTCAAAAGTGATGTACATGAGTAATTATTGCTCATAATCATTTTCTTATTTTTGCATGAATGCTTTGGATGACAACATCAGGAATTCCTGTTCTATCAATGTAAGTCCTACTGTGGCTGTCTTCACGCATTTGTTGAGCATAACTGTTCTTTTTCAACCAATGGTTTAGTACTGCATTGGTCAAGTGCTTTGTACTTGAGAAGTTGTTTCCTGTCCAGATGATGACGATAGTTGTAGAAAGGAGTTTCGTAACTTCTTTTAGCTATATGTTCATTTTTTTTTCTTTTCGTCTGTGAACTTTGGAAACACATACTTTTAGTTATAGTACTGCATAATTCTGATCAGATACTGGTATTCATTTTAGCTTTTTCTCTCTGTTGATTGTTCACCCTTTTTAATGTTTTGATGTATCAGTTTCTTCTCACATTCCTTGGCTTCATCTCTTTCAGGTTCTTGACCAAACTGCTGACAGAAGATTTGCCTCGACTATTTGTACGCCCTAAGAAAATTGTCTTGGATTTCCAGAAAGGAAAAGCTGTTGGACCTGTTTCAGAAGACCTAAAATCTGGAGACATGCAGGAAGGGAACAAAGATTTTGTTGGGGAATTGTCTGTTACTCTTGTAGATGCGCAGAAACTTCCATACATGTTCTCTGGTAAGTTATACTCACTCCAAATCTTCTTCTTCTTCAGTGGCAGTCTGTGTTATTTTAGTGTCTATTTATACCCCCTTAGTTCATTCGAATTCGTTGAGCAATAAAAACCAGCTATATCAAAGCATTCATCACATATACTGAATTCTTCATCTCTTACTTGTTTCTTCATTCAGCACATTTTGTTGTAATTTGAAACAGGTAGAACGGATCCATATGTTATTTTACGAATGGGTGATCAGATTATCCGCAGTAAGAAGAACAGCCAAACTACTGTGATTGGGGCTCCTGGTCAGCCGATCTGGAATCAGGTGAACTGCTTAAATTATCTCAGTGCCTTATTCATAATCTGGCGGTAGTTTAGTTTTTGTTAAATTGATTAAATTTTACAGAATTTATCTGTATCATAAATATTGTCAGGACTTCCAATTCCTTGTTTCAAATCCTAGAGAGCAAGTACTACAAATTGAAGTCAACGACTGTCTTGGATTCGCTGATATGGCTATTGGTACCGGAGAGGTAAACCATCTTTCTTTTTATCTTCTTCGTAGTCTGCATAAGAAAAGCTTGATATATCAACGGAAATGATTTCTCAAGATGATGATCGTCTACTTCCGTGTCTAGCTTTTTCATGTTTGTTAAGTGCCTCCCTCTCTATATTTCTGCACACTGATTAATAACAACATAATACAAGAACCCAGTGTCATCCCGTTATTCTCTGCACAATAATTCATCTAAAGGGTTTGAATCGAGAAGATGAGACTGAGAGCTAGCATCAATGCTGAGGTCAAAACCCTCTCGGTCATTGATCTTCTTGTCAGTATACTAAGGACACCTCGATTCCCTTAGCTATTCTTGGCACAATTCCAATTTCCAGCTTCTACGCAACCAATTCACATGTTCATGGACAAAAACCTGACAGCACATATAGTTATATATTGATGCTGCAGATTGAGTAGTAAGCGTCTGCTTTGATAGCATGTCACTAACTATCAGGGGATTGGGTGCTTACCTATTAATCTGAGAATCGCTGCATTAATTACCAGGAAAGTAGTGCTGAATATCAAATCTGCTGTCTGCATAACCTTATTACTTGATTATACATCCAGGTTGATCTCGGATCACTGCCAGATACAGTTCCTACGGACAGAATTGTTGTTTTGCGAGGTGGTTGGAGTGTGTTCGGAAAGGGATCTGCTGGAGAAATACTATTGCGGCTTACATACAAAGCATACGTGGAGGATGAAGAAGATGATAAACGCAATGCAAAAGCCATTAATGCAGATGCGTCCGATGATGAAATGTCTGATTCGGAAGAACCTACCTCATTCGTGCAGAATGACAAGATTCCTTCTGATGATCTTAGTCAAGAGTCATTTATGAATGTGCTGTCTGCATTGATTTTGAGCGAGGAATTTCAGGGCATAGTTTCATCAGAGGCTGGGAACATTAAACCTAATGAAGGTGAATCAAGCGTGTCACCAGTACCTTCCAAGGCTGAGGCGGACTCAAAATCTCGACCGGAAGATCCTGGTAATGGGGGCATATCAAATTTGGAAGTGAAAAACGCGAATCCTGATAAGGCTTCTGTTAATGATGGAGGTATATTGAGGCTCTGTCTTATTATGATTTTGCTTCCATGGTTGCTTGGTCTAAAACTATTAAGCTTTCTATTTCAGGACTAGCATTATTGTGGTTCAGTGTAATCACTTCTGTACTGGTGCTCGTTGCTATCAACATGGGCGGCTCAAGTTTCTTCAACCCGTAACGGGGTGTTGTATGGAGCACTAGCGATTTCTTTCGCCTAAGTAAGTCTCTGAACCTAGAAATGGAAACCCTGTAAATTCTGCCTATGGTTGCATATAATAGCTGAATTCACTCAAATAGATAAATGGAATCTCTGCGTGTAGTTGAGAACCAGTCTTGCAATCTTTTCTAGAATCACTCTACCGTTAGAGAAAGCTATGTATGTAAGTTTAAAATGATAAACAAAGGTTTCCGTAATCGAGACGATATTGACAACCTGGCATACAGTTTACAGTAGAAACTTAAAAACGAATGTGGTGTTTTGTAAAGATTGTACGGTTTGGTCAAACTGTATTCAGTTAAGAAGAAAGGAATTATTATAGGTCCAAATTTTCCAGTTCTGATGCTTGCATGTATTAGTGTCCCATTGTTAAATGCCTGACCAAAGCCTCTTATTCAATGGCAGGTTGGTTAAATTTCTCTTTTCGGCCTTAGAGATGGCTTATAACGAGCTCTCAGTTTTGTGTTTACATGATAATGCCGTCATATGCATGGCGTTAGCAAGAGGGGCTCTTATTGGCGGCGAAAAGTAATAGGCTCTATTTGACACAATTTCTTACAACTGTGAATCAACGTGTATACCAATGGTTTGTTATATAGTACATGAAAAATTTATTTTCCAAAATCAAATAAAGATTTTTCTTTTTGCAAGGAAACGATTCTGTTTTCCATAACACGTAGCACAATGACACTTGCTAATAGCAGTCACCAACTTTTATGCTTGAGAAAAGTGCTCTTCTGGGAATTTGTTGGTGGAAGCTTACACTTGGAAGCACTAACAATGCTGCTCGGTTTAGATTTTATCCAGTTTTGTCCATTTTCCAGATACAACAACTGTAATGCTGTGCCATGGATGTGCTTTTCTGGAGGAGGAGCAAGAGTCTAAAGTAAGCAAGGTACATTTTTATCTTCTTTCTGGTTTTCCTTTTTTGGCTGGTTTATTGTCTTTTCAACGTTGTCTTGCTAGATCATATCTTAGGAGAATCTTACAGCTCTTCATGGCTCTGAAATAGCTAATCTCTATTAAGTACTCTTTTATTTCCAATATTGTAATCCTTATTAGTCCATCATCACCTCTCTAACTGTTTCCTATTCAAGATATTTATGTAACGAATGGAAGAAACGTGTACACTACACTATATAGCTATGAATATGATTGCTTCTTCTTCTGTTTTTGGCGTTTGCGTATAACATTTGCAATATTGTTAAAATGTATTATGTATATGCAAGCACATACTGTGAAACGCCTGCATCGCCTTTCTCTTTAGACTCTATTAGCAGGTTTGTTGCTGCGACGCATGCTGGGAATTAAACTGGTCCATGGTTATTTTTCAGGGCTAAAAGCCTAAAACCATGACAGAGGCGCAAGAAAGTCTCCACTCTGATGAGTTCTCATGGTCATATTTTGGAGTATTGTTGGTAAGTGAAATTCCCTTCAATTATGAAATAACATATTTGCGTAACTCTGCATTTAAAACTAAAAAGAGATCTGTTTCTGGAATGATTGATTTGTTATTGCTAAAATCGTGGGTTAAATAATGTTAAACAAGAACCCCCAACACACAGCTTACAGAATATCGTCTGTTAAATGTAATTTAAGAGGACGATTAGATCTACACTTAATATAAAACAAAAAGTAAAACAGTAAAATAATAAGGGGATCGTGGGTGCATTAAATAAAGACGAAATGACAGAAAACAAAACAGTAATCCATAATTAAAAAAGGGATTAACAATTAAGTGAGAAAAATGGAGAGTAGAGATGATTATTATTATATATTGGTTACAACAAAAGAATGAGGGAGAGAAATCACGTGAAGGAGTTTTGAGGTCACGTCAGGCACATGTGGTGGTGGACAGTCCTTGTTTTCCTCCAACTCTCTTCGGTTTCTCCGTTCTCTTTTGTCTTTTTTCGTTCGCATTTTCCCCAATTTTTCATTTTAACTTCAGTTACAAAACAAAAAATAGCAATTTAAATTCTCTTAATACACAGTTGGTTCTTCACACTTCTTTCTAATTAATAGAACTACAAATTAAATTGATCACTTCCAAATTAATTGGACAATGACGGTTTTTTTTTTTTTTTTTTTGATGGAGAACGCATGAGTCTATTTGCGTTGCGTTGGACCAGATAGGTCATGTCGTGTATTGGAACTATAATCAATAAAACCAAATCTGGAGCTGTCACCAAATTTGCTGAGCACTATTTCTTTCAATTATAACCAACCAACAGAATTCCATTTTCTAAATCTGTCTTTATGTCACAAAATCTAATATTTTGATGGTAAAAAACTTGTCAAAGGAGTATCAGATTTTAACGGACGTCAAAGCCAATTATTTTTACTCACATTAACTCTTACATAAATTACATTAAAGATGATTTGGACTTGGACTAGTAAACGTGAGTAGGAATAATTGGCATATTTAAAATATAGTTTGCGGGAGCTGGATATCCTTTTCAAACATGTAATCACCCCTGTAAACTTTTTTCTATTTCAAACAAATAATTACTTTTTTTGGTGACGACAAAAAGAAAACACTTACTTTTTCAGCACTTGATTACTTTAGTTAAAGTGTAGCCATTTTTTTAAAAAAGGTCATGATTTTAAAAGGTCAAATGGATTGATTTTATTCCTAAATAAATCAACTGAATAAGCTATATAGCGTATAGAATTGTTTATAAAGAGTATTTTCAGTTTGTCACCAAATAACATGATCCTTCTTTTTTCTTTATCATGTAAAATAACGTTATAGCAAGAATCAACCAACTTATGAGACAAATTCGAGGATGTGTTAAAAGAAACATGTAGGATTTTTATTACTAAAGCCATTTAGAAAGAACTTTATACGATTAACAGAATTTGACACACTGTATGTATATATTCCAATCGGACACATGTATTCCCATCTTCCAGTCTTTGAATTCCTACCTACAATTTGTTGTAACTTATACCAAGAGAAAATAAAAAGTATTACTATAATTCTTCCCTTTTAAAGAGAAATACCCCTACAATGAATCTGTCATTATTATATGTAAAATCCAAAAAGGGTATAATCAGTTTTTGGTTGACTGTCATTTTTTATTATTCTCAGTTGTTTATTTACATTTAATACTGTTAATTTACAATTTGTGAAATTAAAGTAATGATATCATACAATTATCTACTTTTAATACTTTTATACAATTTTAACTAAAAACATCAGTTTTTGTTTATTTTAGGATATTGTTTTCTTTTACATCAAAATTTAGTTAAAAACCTTTAATACATATTTGAACGCCACAATTAAAATTATATATGCAATAACAGCAAATAAAATTAAAAAAGTAGAACACTAAAAACCCACCAAACATAATTACCAAAAAAATCCCCATCAAAACATAATATAATATTAAAAATGTGAGTTGATTTCTACATTTTTATATTTTTTTTTGCGAAATACGTTTCTGTGTATTTATATGAAAATTAATGGGAGATTACTTTGTTTTTCTCGATAAATACAAGTGTATCTCTTGACGTTTTTTTTATAAAGGCAATCCTCTCTCACTGTCCGGACACTTTCACTCCTCCTCCTCTCTCTCTATCTCTTGGGATTCTTCAGGTACTCTCTCTCTCTTACAGTCTTATCTTTTCATTTGTCAGATCTCTTGAACTTGGTTGATAGTTGCTACATGCCACAAGTGAACCATGTGTGGGTTTTGAATTTTAACCATCTCCGCCTTCGAATTTCAAACAGAATTTGCTCAACATTTTTTCGTTTCTTTTTGTAAAAAACAGACACTGATGCGTTTGATTGCTGTGTTAGAAGACTAGATGTGTAGATCTAAGGATTAGAACCAAACCCAGAACTTTATGTGTCCTTGTCCTTTCCACAAGTGTTATCAGTTTTGGTCCGACCATTGATATTTATTCATGTCTCTTTGTCTTTCTTCTGTTCACTAGCTCCACCATTTCCATGAAGTCCACACCGTAGTGCTTACAGATTTATTAGATACACGTACACACGCTCAAAACATTTGTATATTAGATAACCTATAGTATTTTCAATTTTTTGACACTTTTGGTGGATTGATGTTTCTCATAAGTTTCAATTCTATTTTCATGAACCTCATTGAGTTGTACAGTGATGGATCTGAAACTCCCAAGTTTGTCCTTTTGTTCACTTACAGATTTGTTTTTCTTTTCTTCTGTTTTTGATGCAGTGAGGAGAGGAATCTCAAAGTGTCGGCGAAAATGTCGGATCTTCAGGCACCGCTTGTAAGGCCGAAGAGAAAGAAGACTTGGGTCGATTACTTCGTCAAGTTCAGATGGATCATCGTCATCTTCGTCGTCCTCCCAATCTCAGCGACGCTCTACTTCCTCATCTACCTCGGAGACATCTGGTCCGAGTCCAAATCCTACGAGAAACGCCGCAAGGAACACGACCAGAACGTCATGAAAGTCATCAAAAGGCTTAAGGAGAGAAACGCAGCCAAGGACGGGCTCGTCTGCACCGCGCGTAAGCCATGGATCGCCGTGGGAATGAGGAACGTTGACTACAAGAGAGCCCGTCATTTCGAGGTTGACTTGGGCGAGTTCCGCAACATCCTTGAGATCAACAAGGAGAAGATGATTGCTAGAGTCGAGCCTCTTGTCAACATGGGACAGATCTCCCGCGCCACCGTCCCGATGAACCTCTCTCTCGCCGTTGTTGCTGAGCTCGACGATCTCACCGTTGGTGGACTCATCAATGGATACGGTATCGAAGGAAGCTCTCACATCCACGGTTTGTTTGCTGACACCGTTGAGGCTTACGAGATCGTTCTTGCGGGCGGTGAACTTGTCCGTGCCACGAAGGATAACGAGTATTCTGATCTTTACTACGCAATCCCGTGGTCTCAAGGAACGCTTGGACTCCTCGTTGCTGCAGAGATCAAGCTCATTCCGGTTAAGGAGTACATGAGACTCACTTACATACCAGTCAAGGGAGATCTTCAAACTTTAGCACAAGGCTACATGGATTCATTCGCGCCCAAAGACGGAGACAAGTCGAAAATCCCTGATTTCGTCGAAGGCATGGTTTACAATGCGACTGAAGGCGTGATGATGGTTGGGACATACGCGTCTAAAGAAGAGGCCAAGAAGAAAGGGAACAAGATCAACAATGTGGGATGGTGGTTCAAGCCGTGGTTCTACCAACACGCGCAGACCGCGCTGAAGAAGGGGCAGTTTGTTGAGTACATACCGACTCGTGAGTACTACCACAGGCACACGAGGTGCTTGTACTGGGAAGGGAAGCTTATCCTTCCTTTTGGTGATCAGTTCTGGTTCAGGTTCCTCTTTGGTTGGTTGATGCCTCCTAAGGTCTCTCTTCTCAAGGCCACTCAAGGTGAAGCTATCAGGAACTATTACCATGATATGCATGTTATTCAAGACATGCTTGTTCCACTTTACAAAGTTGGCGATGCCCTCGAATGGGTCCACCGTGAAATGGAGGTAAAGTTTAGCTCTTTTAACGTGATTGATTCCATCTTTTAGCTAAAGATTCACCTTTTCATGAGTTGTTTCTTTCTTTTGCAGGTGTATCCAATTTGGCTTTGCCCACACAAGCTCTACAAGACCCCAATCAAACAACAGATTTACCCAGAGCCAGGTTTCGAGTACGAGAACAGACAAGGAGACACAGAAGATGCTCAGATGTACACTGATGTTGGAGTCTACTACGCGCCTGGTCCTGTCCTCAGAGGCGAGGAGTTCGATGGATCAGAAGCTGTGCGTAAGATGGAGAAATGGCTGATCGAGAACCATGGGTTCCAGCCTCAGTACGCTGTGTCTGAGCTAGACGAGAAGAGCTTCTGGAGAATGTTTGATGGTGACTTGTATGAGCATTGCCGCAAGAAGTATAGAGCTGTTGGAACGTTCATGAGTGTTTACTACAAGTCGAAGAAAGGAAGAAAGACTGAGAAAGAAGTTAGAGAAGCCGAGCAAGCTCACCTCGAAACAGCTTACGCTGAGGCAGATTAAGTAATAAAAACCCTTGTTTGTGATCACAATAAGTTGGGATTATTATGATTGTTAGTGTTTTTATGTTTCCTATTTTCCATTGTAGTGTCTTGATGATGACTATTGTTGGTGTTTCTTGTTGTTTGTTTCTTGTTGCTTGACTTTTATGCTTTGAATGGATTTTAGATTTTAAGATTTGCAATTGCTGATGAGAACATCTTCAATCTACCTCTATTTTAGAGGGAAAAATAGAGTTTAGAGAAAAATTCTTTCCAATCCACTTTTATTTTTACCTCTAAAATAGAGGTTGCTATTTTTCCCTCTATATTTGGAGGAACTCTATTTGTTCCTCTATAATAGAGATATACTTTTTTATTTATAAACTGGTCCCTTAATTTTTACATATTTTTTATTTTCTTTATATAACATATAAAAAGTTAAATTAAATATTTACATAATCTAGTTTATATATATCTAATAAATAGCCATATATCTAACATATAAATTTAATTAAATTATAAAATATTAAATAACTTTAATAAAGTTTAATAAAATCAACATCATTTCAGACAATAACTATTATAGAAAAACAGAAAACATTATTTACTTTAATTAACTATATAATTTATAAATGAAAATGGTTAATACACGATAAAAAAATAAACATGAATAGTAATATAGTATACACATGTACAATAATACGTCAATAAAGTTACATTATACAGTTTTGTATGTTATTAAATACAAAAACCTAATAAATAAATAAATTTAATAATTTTGTTATGGTTTGAGAAAATTTTTTGAACATATAATATAACTAAATTGGAAAATTCTCATTTATTTCAAACTAAATTATAAATAAAATGATAAATTGCAATAATTTTTTAAAAATACAGAAATTATAGAAAATGATAAATACCATAGTGATTTAATAAATGTTTTGAAAATTATGGAAAATTACAAATACTATAGTCATTTTGAATTTTGTTTATGAAATAAATGTTTAGTTTTAATATATTTTTATTATTGATGGAAATTTTTGTAAACAATAATATAAATGGGGTTAATTTGTGAATTTTATGGAAAGAAGATATTAATAATAAATTATAAAGAGAATATTCTTAAAATATTCCTTTTTAGAGGAAAAAATAGAGGAATACATTGGAGAGAAGTACACCTCTATTTTAGAGTTCCTCTATTTTAGAAGAAAAAATAGAGGAACACATTAGAGATGGTTTGAGACTTCTGTTTGAGATGAAATTAAGGTTTCTCTTTGGCTTAGATCATGTCATAACAGAACATAATCTATTCTAAGCACTACTAGTCTACTACCAAAAGAGTTGCCACTTAGTTTGGTTTGAGTAAACCGGGAAGTAACGGTATTTGAACCGAATTGGACCGAGATAGGATAAACTTGGCACCATATTTTCCGAGACAAGAGCTATCTTTCTGACAAGAGAATTTACTGAAACTATTCGCAGGCCGAACGCAATCCCTTGAAGCAAGCACCTTTGAGTCGTAAGCAATAAATATCATTTTCTAATCTTTGTCCTCTCCTTTATAGTCAATTTTTCATTTTTTTTTTTAAATTGGAAAAGTGGAAAGCTCTGTATGTTACTTGGATATGAAATGGTGCATACCAGATGTTCGACAAAATGTCTAGCTCGAAATTCCTCTCATCGTTTAGTAACATTAGCTCAGATTCGGGTGTATTGATGATACCCAATTCCTTATCTTGGCAGTACTGTATGTTGAAATTGTGAATTTTCTTGTCTTTTTCATTCTTAACACTACATCAACACATGTTTCTTGCAGGTGGTTGATTCTTGCATACTTGTTCCCGTATCCTGTCTTTATCTCTGTTTCAAGCTGAACAAACCAAATCCTGTTGGAGCTTGTGTCGACTTTACACCATAAAATAGTATGATAGTTTGATAAACCTTCATAGAATCGCCATAGTTTGATAAACCTTCATAGAATCGCCTCCTCTTGAAACCTGTGCTGGCAAAATGTCTCTGGTTTGCTCTTCATCTTGTGTAGCTCCCTTGCTACAGACCAAACTGTGGCGTCCAAGTTCTTTAAAACTCAAGACATGTAGCTTAAGTCTGTCTTCTTCCGTCGGCTACCCTAATTACACCGCTGATATTAGGAAGCACAACAGTTTCTTGTTCGCTGAACCGCATAAGCTTCGTAGGGTAGCAAAGAGTCAGATACTAGTTAGTAAAGAATCTTTTACAGAGGAGAGCACAATAGATATTGATTATGAAGATCAGGAGGAGATTGAAGATACTGGATCACCTTGGGAAGGTTCGGTGATGTATAGGAGAAATGCTTCGGTCACACATGTGGAATATTGCACTACACTAGAGAGGCTTGGGTTGGGAAGACTATCAACCGAGGTCTCCAAGACAAGAGCTTCTGCAATGGGACTCAGAGTGACAAAAGATGTCAAGGATTATCCAGATGGCACGCCGGTTCAAGTTTCTGTCGATGTCATAAGGAAGAAGAGGAAGCTGAGACTTGATGGGATTGTCAGGACTGTTATCACACTTGGCTGCAACAGGTGATCTCTTATGGCCTAATCACAGCTTCCTTAACTATCATGTGATTGAACTGAATTCAGTTTCTTTTACACATTTTCTCTTCTATGTGTGTTTGCAGGTGTGGTGAGCCAGCAGGTGAGAGCATCTTCGCCAACTTCTCGCTATTACTAACCGAAGAGCCAGTTGAAGAACCCGATGTCATCGATCTAGGATTCTCGTTCGGTAATGACAAAGCCAATTCCTTTTCTGGATTGTCGAAAGATGAAGGAGAAGACGAGGATGATGATGATGATGATTCATGGATTGATTGGGAGGATAAGCTACATTTTCCGCCTGAGGTAAAAGAAATAGACATCTCAAAGCATATAAGAGACTTGGTGCATTTAGAGATCACCATCAATGCGGTATGTGACGCTGCGTGTAAAGGAATGTGCTTGAAGTGCGGTGCGAATCTGAATAAGAGGAAATGTGACTGTGACAGAGAAGACAAGGATAAAGGATACGGACCTCTGGGAAACCTGAGAAAGCAAATGCAGGAAAAAGAGGGCCTGAGGAACTAAACCCAACAATAGCTTTGTCTGTATTTTGATTTTCTTCTCTCGGTTTACTTTTCAAAAAACTCAAAATCAGATGTACCAAAATGTTCAAAAGTGAGAATCTTTCGTAGCTAAACCAATCTTCAAGCTCGATCTTCTGATTTTTTTTATTCTTCTTTTTCTAGCTATCCATAAGGTTTTTGTTCTTTAAAGCCAATGGTGAAACTGAAATCACAGCTTTATAGAGGGCTTCTGGGAAAGAACCTCACGACAGTGTTTTAGCCTCAATATTTTGATTTCACAAAATTTAAATTGTTACACATTTTTGGTCAAACCAGATGCCTATAACATCTCTATAGAGCATTACATTCCTTGTAATGTGTATATATTTAAACATCTTTATGAGACTTTGAACATACTGTATATTGAAAAAGAGATTCTAAGACTTGAGAGGTTTCTACTTCTTCTTCATTTTAAGCTCAAGTAATCTTGACCATCTCATATGAACAGAAGCTGTATTTGTCTCACCAACATCTGCAAAAGCAATTCATAAACCAAAAACTCTTTAATCCTCATGAACAATTAACAAACATGTCATCTGAATATAGAGAAACAAAACCAACAGAATGTTACTTACAATGCAGTGTAGGTTCCGATTTTTCGCAGGAATCTGAGCATATATCCTATAATCAAAACAACAATTTAAGCTAAGCTTAAGGATTTAATGAAACCTCAATTAATATAGTTTTTAGATGAATATTATACTTTAGCATAAGTTGTGAGCCGGATAGTGTCTTGTACAAGGGAATCAAGATTAGCTTCGTATCCAGGTCTCACATATATCACCTACCAAAACAGAGAATTTGACTCATTTTCATTTTGTTGAAATGCAGATAAAGAGAGCTTAATTATGATGTTTCAAGAGTGCTCACGGAAGGATCATCACCGCCAATTTCTGGCAGTGTTGAAGCTCGAGTTTCCCGACTTGATGGTAAAATCCAGACCGTGAAGTTCGTATCGATCTGGTCACAGATATATCATCAAAACAGTTTTGTTTGCTCAGAAAGATGCTTCATCACTTTTACAATGAAACCACTTATACCAGTCGAGGGTAAGCAGAGGAGCAAATGCTGCACTTTCTTGAGAAAGATGTAACGATTCTTCCATCTACTGAAAGCCCCATGCTTGCGTGCTGGAAAAGAAACAAGAGCTATCAAAAAACCTAATTACGTAAGAGACAAGAGAGTCCAGGCTGCAAGGTTCATTGTCACTGTGTAACAAACATTCCTAAACACAAATCAATGGTTTACCCTTTGAACAGAGAGATGGACAGCGACTCGTGGATTAGAAGGGCCATTTTCGACAAGATCTTGGAGTTGAAGATCACGCAGAGAGACATTGTAGTGAGTGTCCCAGTGACCGTTCCATTTTCCTTCAGAAGGAGATAAAGTTATCAGACGCTTCACTGATCTTGAGCTCCCTTCTCCATTAATTTCTGCCTGTATTCGGTTTAAGGCATATTTGGGTTTTGATTACGATATGAATTAAGAAGAACGTACAAGGTAGAGAAAGAAGAGTAATACTATACGTGTTTCCTTGAGAGAGAAGAAATCGGAAGAAGAGGAGGGCGTGGAGAAACTTTTTTCTTTGCATTTAGGAGATTCGGAGAGAGCAAACAACGTAGAGAGGATGATTCCGCCATGGATGATGATGATGATGATTTTCCAGAAAGAAACTGTGGTCTCAATTTCAACCCAACCAAACGTTATCCGTTATATATATACACCGTCCACCACAAGTTTTTTGGCGAGTGACGTGTAATTTTCTCAGCATTATATATTAAACAAATTTACGAAAAAAGGGTTGGTAGCGGAAAGTGATTTGGTCATCTAAAAATATTTCTTTAACGTTTTATAAATATCTGGAATTCTGGCCTAAGTCAGTTTCTTTTTGAGTTCATGAAAACTTTTGGATTATTTAGCTTTGAAAATGCTTTTTTTATTAGTTATTGAATATTGATCATTGATGCATACGTGACTATTTCTTAATTGTTATGGCCACTATTTTAAATATGTAAAATAACATGCCACTATTTCTTAATTGATGCATATCGTTTTGGGTAAAAAATAAGCTATTAGACCATCTGCTTTTTGTGGTCTCTCAGTGAGTTTTTTAACATAAAATATTAGTAAAGTTAGAAAAAGAAAGAAGATAAAATGGATAGAATCTCTCTCAAATAAAAGACTATGAAAAATGTATGAGAAACATATGAGAGATCTATAAGAGATTCATTACATGTGTTGTCTTTATATGATTAGTTTAAATTTTATTTATAATTTAAAACAAAAAATATTTATTATATGAAGCCAACACATGAGGTGAGTCTTTCACAAATCTTTTATAGTCTTTCAAATAAGAGATTTTCTTTTATAGTCTTTCAAATAAGAGATTTTCTTTATTTTCTTTCATCTCTTTTTCTAAATTTATTAATTTTTTATTTTAAGAAACTTGATGAAAAATCACCAATGCAAATGATCTTACTACTAGCTGTATTACTTATTTTGAAAATAATTGAAGCAATTTTTGTTATGTTTTCTTTTGAGATCAGTCCATCAAGTCTAACTAATACTAGTAAAAGTGATCTGCCTTGGAACTCATTTGTAAAAGTATTATTAATTTATTTATTTTGGTGCTTGGAAATGCTGTGTGGATTTGTTTACACATGGTAAAAGGGTATCGTTTTCGAAAACCAAAAGTTTAAAAAATAAGAGATATACAGAAAAGCTTAACAATATATTATATCATTGTCTTTAGTGCCGTCTCTAACGTTTTACAGGCCTAAAAAAAATTGATGTAAATATAGTTTTGATATTTATATTTTAAACTATTTTATTGTTTAAATTGTACTTTTATGTAAGATAAAAAAACATAAATCTAGATCAATGTATTATTAATTAATATGTGTTAACTTGTTTGATAGGATTTGCGGTTGTAGCTAAGTAGTCTAATGTAGTATCACAAAAACAAATTCAAAACTGTTCTTTTCTCGTACAAAATAATTGAAAAAATGAAAGAGTTATATTAGTTTGAAAAGTTATATCAATCCGAAAACCCTCTAAACTAATATAACTCCTTCACTTTTAATGTTAAAAGAACTGAACAGTATACGAGAAATGCCATCGTATTTCAAGTTAGGTGACTGTAAATAGAACATGTCATTGGAAATCTAAAATGCTGTTGGTTTTTGAGATCAACATAATTGAGAGAATGTTAAAACAAAGAAACATATTTGGAACATTCGATTAATAGATTATGTGTATTTAGACACATTGTTAATTAATACTCAATCAAAATCAATCCCTAGCCCTACAGCATCATCACTAGCTCCACCAAGCCCAAGCTCTGCAACATCATCACCAACTCCACCAAGCCCATCTCAACTTCACCAAACTCTCCACCAAACTCTTCAATTGCAGCAGGCTCTTCTTTAGCTCCTATTGGAGGAGAGCTTTACATGAAGTTGCATCTTTCTCACTTGCAAGAGAGAGAGACAGTCAAAAGATCTCTCAACGAAGGATCACCGTTGATTCGGGTTATGTAGAAGAAAAAATAATACTAAATGATACATGAAAATATAAAAATAGAAACATTGAATTTAAAATATTCATATTAGTTGAGACATGCATAACTCAAAGCAAATGTGGGACCAACTTTCTGGAGGTTCTCCATAACAAGATGGAGATTCTGAAGCTTAACAATATATCATATGTGTTGTTCCTAACGTTTTAGAAGCCTTAAGCAACTAGATATAAATGTAATCTTTAAATTTTATATTTGAAACTATTTTGTTGTTTAAATTGTATTTTTATGTTATTTGTAGTTATATATTATGATAAACGAAATATAAATCTAGATCAATACATTATTAATTAAGCTGTATTTATTTGTTTCATAAGATTTGCAGTTACAGTTCACAAAAACAAATTCAAAGTTGTTCTTTTCTAGTACAAATCATTGAAAAAGTAAAAGAATTATATTAGTTTGGAAGGTTATATCAATCTGAAAACCTTTCAAACTAATATAACTCTTCCACTTTTTCAATGATTTTAGGAGAACTGAGCAGTATATGAGAAATGCCATCATATTTCAAGTTAGGTGATGTAAATGGAATATGTCACGGTAGAATATTTTCATCGGAAAATTAAAATGCTGTAGATTTTAATATAGTTTTTGTTTTGTTAGGTGACCGAATGTCTCTGTTTGCTCTTCATCTTGTGTAGCTCCCTTGCTACAGACCAAACGGTCGCAGTAGCGTCCAAGTTCTCTAAAACTCAAAAGATGTAGCTTAAGTCTGTGTTCTTCCGTCGGCTACCCTAATTACACCGCTGGTATTAGGAAGCACATCAGTTTCTTGTTCACAGAACTGCATAAGCTTCGTAGGGTAGCAAAGATCAGGAGGAGATTGAAGATACTGGATCACCTTGGGAAGGTTCGGTTATGTATAGGAGAAATGCGTCAGTCACGCATGTGGAATATTGCACTACACTAGAGAGGCTTGGGTTGGGAAGACTATCAACCGAGGTCTCCAAGACAATGGGACTGAGAGTTCAAGTTTCTGTCGATGTCATGGGTGACTGGTTTCCTTTTGGAGCTATTGCTAGTTACTGTTAATCATGCTTAGTATGCTCATCTTAACAGATTGATTTGTAAAGAAGCAATGCTTTTAAACGCATGTCCCAAACCTGAGAATCTGGGCTTTACACCAACGGAATTGTCAGGACAACGAAGCATCAAGACTGCATAAGTACACCTGGTTCATTTTTTTTCATCGAGCTCGATGGTCTCTAATGAGGTCAAGATTCTGCACATGTCTTGTTTAAATACTTATGGAACAATCGTATGCAGCATCTTCAAACAGGATTGCTATTTGGCGTTTATAGACGGAAGTTTTTCTCTGTTGCTTGGGCTTAAAACTATCCACAATTTTTTTTCAAATTTACTTATTTTCCTTTTTCAGAAGTAAATAAATAAATTGGGGAAAAAGTTGTAATTAAAATTATTAAACAGAGGAAAAGGAAAAGGAAAGAGTAAATCGTTTCTTTCGTTATAAGACAGGATTGGTTCAGACTTCAGAGGCAAACGTGAAAAAACTCAAAACCCTAGTATCTACTTTAGAGATCCCCATCGACCCATCTTACTTCTTCTTCATCAGGAGAGCATATCACAAAAAAAAAAGCGAAACAATGGTGATGCCGCATCTTCCGGCGAAATTGGTAGAGGAGGAAATACTCTCTAGGGCTCCGGCTACATCTCTGAGACGATTACGATCTACGTGCAAACGATGGAACTCTTTATTCAAAGATCCAGGGTTCAGGGAGAGGCACTTACGTAGCGCTCCGAAGCAGCATCGTTGTGTTTTCATGTTGAAGGAACATAGGATTTTTCCACTGAGCGTCGATCTCAACGTTGTTCCTCCATCTATAGAGTTTAAAGACGCACTTGACCTAACGGATCCCCATTCCAGTAATTCAAAACAAGTGGATATAGCCAAAGTTTTTCACTGCGACGGTTTGTTTTTATGCATCACCAGAGACAATAGACCGGGAAACAAGGTGGATCCAGCGCAAGGATGGTTACGGTAGAGACTGTGTGTTCGCTCTAGGATACGAAGAGAAGCAATCTTGCCGCAGCTACAAAGTCTTGATGTTTCGGGAATGGGAACTAGATGATGAGTTTGAAATGCTCTGATTCATGGAGAGCTGTTGATGCTCCCATCCAGAAAGGGTTTTCTGGCGTGTGTCTCAAGGGAGACACGTACTGGATTGATAATAGTTCTGACCACTTACTCAAATTCGATTTTACAAGAGAGCAGTTTGGATTTTGGAAGCTTCACCCATCTCTGGGTCCTGGTACTTTTTCTAAGGATCTATCAGTTGTTGGAGAAGAAAAACTCGCAATGTTCATTAATAGATGTCGTTCATCAAAGGTGGAGATGTGGGTAACCAACAAAATTGGTACTGGAGCTAAGTTGTCATGGAGCAATGCCTTCGCAGTCGACTTACCAAGTAGTTGCGTTATAGCTAACTGTTTTTATGTTTCCACGAGCCTTTTGATCGACGAGGAGAAGAAAGTGGCCTTGTGCTGTAATTCACGTTATACCAGCAGCAGGAACAAAAACATGGTATTCACTTTCGGAGAGGACGATGGATATTACACAGAAGTGCCTCATATAAAAGAACCATCGCTGTTCCTACGTAGTGGAGAGCGTGGTGTGGAACCATTTTCATCTATGTTCCAAGTTTTGTTCAAATTTAATTAAAATAAGCAAGTTGTTTCTTGCAGCGTAAGTTATTTTGTTTCTACCCAATCACCTCTTACTGTATATAATTCTTTTCTTATTTGCGCTGTATAATTTTTTTGGTTTGTTTTGTTTGAGCTTATTTATTTACAGAAGTACCTAATTTTTTAGTCGACGTTGTTACAAATCCATACGCAGCAAATTTGAGCCCCAACAGCAAATTTTTGGATTTACTGGAATACTGAAAGATACTATTATAGATGAGATATTCATATACAGATTTTTGTAGGTTTTGCTCTAGTTTTTTGTTTATTCATCCAAAATTTTGAGATTTTTCATATAGAGATTTATGTACACATGAGATCCCTATATAGTCTATCAAATAACAGAATGTTTTTGTGTGAACTCAATCAAAGTTTGTCCCTACTCTTCTACATATGCACAATCCATTTCTAGATAGTTTCTGGTTTTTGAGCTAAACCATTCTTCAAGCTCGATCTTCTGACTTTGTTTTCATCACCAATTCGTCAAATTGAAGTATTTCAATTGCTAAGTGGCTCATTAGAATGCATGTCATGTCTTCAATTATATACAAGAGGGTTAATCAACAATGTAAATCTACTTAATAATATTGAGGTGGAATTTCCCCACAAAACTCTGTTCTTTCTAGAACTAACACAGCTGATAACTTGTTAAGGAAGTGAGTTGGGTGAAAAAGAAATTTCAGAGCAGAGACAAAGGAGAAAGCTTTAAACATGTTTTATGAATCAGTCAAGCTTGAAATTTGAAACAGAACTCTCTCTCTTTCTGCTGTACGAGACATGATAATAAAGCTTCAATAAACTTGTTTAAACTATAAAACATAGACAGACCTCCTTTGTCCCTTTTGCCTCCCGCTTACTCGAGTTGAGCCAAAGTTGGGAAATAAGTGTGAAGAGCTGGCCAGCATCCATAAAGTTTCTTCTCCCTTACGACTTCCTCTTGTGTGACTTTGTTATCCTCCCCAACAACGTAAATCATGTCTTTGGTGTTGGTCTCGTCATAGTGGTCCTGGTCTATCCATCGATCACAACACGTGAGCACTTTCTTGTCCTCCTCGAGCAAGAAAGTTGCAAGAAACGAAATCTGAAGATCAGGGCTCAAATCCAACTTCTTGCTGCAGCAACACAGAGAGTTTCTATTCTCTGACAACCGAAAAGCTCGCAACTTCCATACGAGCATAACACTGAGAGGGAAGAGGCACACGCGCAAACTTTTCAGCAGAGAAATCAAACCTGAGCAAGGATAAGCCGAGTCCAAGGTTTACTCTATCGGAAGCAAACCAGTAAGTGTTACTCTATAGGCTAAGCTCACCTTTAACCTCTACAGATCGATTATTGACGATCATCGGACAGACCCTGTATTTCTTCGTCAACATCAGACTCATAAACTGCTTTGGGGACTTAACAGAATGCTCACTTGTGAACCTCTTCTCGTTGAACAAACGGTTCCATCGCTTGCAGGTGGATCGTACCCGCTTCACAGACGTCGCCTGAACACGACACAGTATCTCCTCCACCAGCTCCTCATGAAGATCTCTGAACTTCCTCATTGATCCCTGAAACCAAACCCTTCGCGAGGTCCCGGAGTAAAGCGGCCGCCTTGAAATTAATCTAGGGCTTTCGTGGATGTGTAGAGTTTATATAGTACCATCAACCAATTTTTTTTTGGAAAATTGGGAAAAGGACAAAAGAAGCGAAGAAGAGAATCGAAGAGGAAGAGGAAGAGGAAGAGGAAGAGGACGTGTATGGAAAAGCTGATTAAACATTTTAGGACGAAATTACCCTTACAATTTTAGAAACGTCTGTGAAAATTGACGAAATTACCCTTACAATTTTAAGAGTACGAAGAAATACACTCAGGCCCAGAAATCTTATGAGTACCACCACAGAAGAAGACCACTCAGGGTCTTCCTTCTCCGTCGTCACCGATTTGTAGGTAATTGAAGTTACTCGCATCGTCTTCGTTTCTCGTTTTCATTGTTTGCGTGAAAAGATTATTTCTGATGTTTCGATTTGATGCGTTTCGAGTCTCTGCTTCACACACTGCGTTTGATTACTACTTTCTTTTTGCCTATCTCGTTCACTACAGCTGAGAATCAAAGAGTAATTTATATTAGATTTCTATACCGCAGACATGGAATTTTAGTGCTAGGTTTTGTTCTTGATCTTATTTTCCTTTGATATCCATGTTTTGCTGATTATGTAAAATTCGTTAGCATATGTTGTAACAATTTGCCAGAAGCATCTACTGCTTTTATGTTATGCTAGTGTTGTAAGTCTCTGAAGACAAAATCTTTAAAACACGTTTGTGATGATGATTAGCATTTGTAATTGATTCTCTTTGACTCACTGAGGTTGGTAAAATGTGTTCACTTTGGGGTTTCTTATGCTCTTCTTGTGTGTTGTGCTTATTAGATGGTTTGTGTTTATTTTTGGAACAATGTTCTCTTTTGGGTATGGATTGGTGAACAGACTTGCTACTTTTTCTCCAAACAGTACTCTCAAGTTCATTATAGGAAATGATATACAGTACGACAAATGCATGCTTAGCTTAATAGAGATGATGACGATTGGCGTAAGAAACAGAAAGATATGATATTTGATATATTTTAGCTTTTTGAATTTGTTTAATTTGATTGTAGGACTTGGCCTGAAGCTAGAAACTATAAGAACAAGTTTTGGATTCCGAATATGGATGTCTCTGAGGTTGAAAATGTATCATCAAGCGAAGGAGAAAACGTTTTGGATGATGCGAGCGGATCATCATCAAGCGAAGAAGGAGAAAGCTTATTGTTGTCTGAAATGCTTGCTGATGATGATTCAACAGATGAGTTTGATAGTGTGATTGGAGCGTTCATCTCTTCAAGCAGCTCATTTCAACCCCGCACGAAACAATTTTTAGCTCAGATTTTTCCTCCTCCATCAGATTACAAGAGTAATCCACCAGATTACAAGACTAATGTGTGTCGAACCATGAAGGTCCTCAATAATCTCTCTGGTGTGAGGATGTGGTCGCCTTTATACATTGCATCGATGGCTCATATTCAGGCTGATGTTACGCACCGACAGGCCTTCTTAGCATTTCGTGATCCCGAGGATAAGGTTTGCTACTTGGAGCACAAGACTGGCAAGAACAGGGATGAATGATTTTTGTTATATCGACTTCTCACTTTTACGATGGTGTATGACTTTATTTGTAAACTGGTTTCATATCGAATTTGATCAAACGTTAGTCAATATTCGTCTTTATGAAATGGTGACCTTGATTTAGTCAACAAGAGGAAGCAATGTCAATCTCTCGCTATATGTTGTAAAGAAGACGACATTTTAAAGAGTTAAATCTTACTATCTTTTCTATTTTTAACAAACTTTGAAAATTCTTCTTTCTAAAAGGAAACACATTACACTATAAGCGTGACAAAGAGATGCAAGAAAGTTGCAAACAGCTTTAAGGCCAAGTGAAGTCAAGCTCGTTGTTATTAACATCCCATATACCAAGACCGATCTCATCAAACAGCTGCTCATAACTCCAGCTTGTGTATCCCAAGAAAAACCAGTAATCGCTTGGATTCACATCTCTAGACTTCAACTCTTGGATTCGACGGGCCACGGACTGATGATCTAGGAAATACACGCCGGGCGAGAGCTCAAGATCCGTGGAGGAGTCTCCCTCTCGGCTCAGAGCTAGAAGCGGGTTTTCTGGATCCATGACCGGGCCTCCCAGCCATAGAGTCGTCTCTTTCAAGAGCTCGGCTGTTTCGCCGAGGTCAGGGAACGATTTCCACCTTAACCGTTTGTTGAAGATTACACCCATGAAACCGGATTCGCGGCCTGCTTTTATGATCAGAATCTTTGATTTGGCAAACGGTGGAGTCGCTGCTAGCTTCTCTGTAGCAACCAGGATTGTGCCCATTTTCACTTGCGGAGCGGGTTTGACCGGGTGCGTTGGAGGCGGTTGGGTATCGACCTGGTCTTGGTTTGCTTTTCTTTCTCTGTTACTTACAACGACCTCAACAAGTTTATCACCCGCTGTCACTTTATTGTTGACCGCTGATGAAGATTGATCGATCTTGTTTGCATGGCGAACTAGAAACTCGAATATGTCAGTTACAGACGTCTCCCCTTGATACGGAATGACTTTGTTTCTCTCGGCTGGAAATAATATCAGAGAAGGGTACACTTCCCTCTGCAACGTTACATATTCATAGAGCGAGTGAATACTGGATTTTGAAATGAGAATACGGTGTACAAAACATGAGCTTCTTCGTTTTAACAGTGGCAAAATATCTGTGATTCAAACAGAGTCAAAGCAAGAACTGTTTGCATTGCGAATAAAAGGAGAGACTACGAGTGAGCTTCAAGCTATTGTCCACGACAAATCAGAAGACTAGAATTAGATAAGATATCATGAAAGTACCTGATTTATTGATTTTAGGATCAAGCTGCAATCATTCAACGTGCAGTCCATCAAGTAGACCAATGGAGCTATAGTCGGTGTCTCTGCTTCAGCAAAGATAAAAACAACATAAGAGAATGGACTTAAGAAACGTTCACTTTCTACAGGAGACTCAGATAGAAAGATAAGAGTAAAAACTAGTCAATCTATACTTTACCGCAATAAAGATCCAGTTACCTGATTTGTAAAGCATTTGATTGTTCCTGGATCCTCCTTGTGTTATCGCTTTATATTCCTTTAGCGATCGGTACACTTCACGCAGAACTAGCTCCATCCTCTGACAGAAGCCACACCAGTTATTGCTAAAAAGGACCAAAACGTCTTGGCACAAAGGACAGGGAGCCTTCTCTGTATTCGATTGATTCCATGCATGAACCACATGGGAAAAAGTTTTAACTGTGATACGCGGAACAGAATCCGCCTCGTGAAAATCCAGATTTACAAAAGGTGGAACTGTAGCTTCCTTAGGCTTTTGAATTGCAGATTCAGACTGTGTATAAGGTGATAGACTTCCATTGAGATATCCATCAAGAAACTCGACCAGTGACGAATAGCTAAAGGCTAACTCATCTTGAAGGACATAGTGCTGTTGTAAAGCAGGATCAAGTATTACTACTGATGGAATCTTGACATCACCAGTCAGAACCCTAAGTAAAGCATAATTTGCGTCAGAGAAGAAAAATGAACCAGTGAAACTATGCACTTGATCTTCCTTCGATTCTGAGTGCAACGGTACCTTGATCTCTTCCTCAACACCTTCTGTTTTATAAACCCCCGTCTTATCGTCTTCCGCCATTACTGATTGTTCACTTCTGTTTGTAGGAACCTGCTCTTCATCATCAGGGGAGGAGGATTCACTTTCAGAAAGTTTCATTTTATCTTTTTCTTCAGGACTCATACTCACCCTGTTCTGCACATCTCCGTCATTAGGTTGAAGAGAACTTTCACTGGAACTTTCTGCAGATGATGTAGATGTGTCTTGACCAGACATAACTTCTGCTTGTGATGGTAATGCATCCAGTACTTTTATGTGCACATCATCGGATAATAGACGGAAACCAACATCCTTAGCAACTGAGCTCAATTTTTTCTCTTTACTTCTGTGAACAAGATTTGTCAGTATCTCCTGCAGGGAACTACCTTCGGTTCCTTGAGCTATAGAATCTAGGGCTACGTTTTTATCCCCATCCAAAATCACAAAAGAGACCTTATTCTCTAACTTAACCGTCTTTAACTTTCTGGCAGTTTTCGGAAGTGACACGGACCCCGAGTCTTCACCAGCCTGGCTAACGGAGTTCTCATGCTGAATATCATTCTCCCAGTTTATTATGTCAGACATTTTATACTGTGCAGCTACCTCTCTGAAAGTACAAAGTGCTTTCACACTCCTCCTATCCTCCGAGGAGCCACTTGATCTATCCACAAAAAGAATAGCCGATGTTTTAGTTGCAGGAAAATATGACTCATGGTCCTGCCTGTCATCCTCCAGCTACATGAGGAAAACAAAGATGATTATTGATGTATGTAAGTCATGATGGACAATTTTAAATGGACTTAAAGAGCAACCATACCTCTGTGACTATCGGATTTTCCATCTTTAAGAGTCTCTGAATGTCATCCCCGACCTTGAGAATCTTTGAACAATGTGGACATCCTGCCAGCTGAAGGACCGCTGCCCACGAATCAGATGCTACAATATTAAAAGATGTAGCCATTGATTCTTCTGTGATCAGACCAAATTTAAGCCTTTCAGGAGGCAGAGAAAACTCTTTTGCGGTGGCAATCAATTTCGAGAGGAATGAACTGAATTGGTTGAACTGCTCATGGCTACACGTCTGTCCATCATTCTCCTGCAAAGCAGCAGTATCATTGATATAGCAAAAATCCTCAAGCCAAGGAACTCTACCAAACCCGCTTTGGAGTCTACACATCATTTTCCATTTTGCATGGTCGGTTTCTATGGCACGGAGAGAAAATCACACATTATGGAGGCAATACACAAATAATGACATATCAACATCGTCTAGACATGAAGTGAGAATCTACCAGCCACCTTCTGGTTATTTTTTCCTCTTAGCTTTAGCACTCGGTCAATTTCTACCTTTTTGGAGAAGTTTCCTGCAAAGTAAAAAATCAGAATGTCCAAGGAATCAGCCAAACATTCCAACTTTTGATAAACACTACTAAAGATCTTCTGCGACATTATATTTGGAAAATTGAAGAAGGTAGCCAAATGCAATATTGGGAGAGTGCCAATTAATCTAGCTGAGAGCTAATAAATAGATAATTTGATAGAATCTTAGGCTTTCTATACCAATACTGGGAGAGACTAGTCTCACGGTAAGCTTCAGTCTCACGGTAAGCTTCATATACCGCAAGACTAAAAACAGATGACATATCTGCTAGAGATTAGAGATGTTAGATGGAAAACTTTCTACTGGAAACACTAAAGATCTAATACTCTACAGAGCTCACTCACCCTTACAAAGTACTACTAACCCCACCGATTGGGAGATGAAGAAAACTCTTTAAAAATAAAAATTATAACATGAATAATCTCGCAAGATTAGGATAATCCAATGACATGCAGATCAAGAGTCAATAACGACAGATCAAACTCACCTTGCCAAAGGTTATCTTCAGTGACATTTTTCTTCAACTCAGACAAAAGCGTAGTTGTCCATCCGCAAAACTCGAACAGAAGTAAAGCCTTGTCAGATGATTCAAGGAAATCTTTCAAACTCTTTGGAGACCTCAAATGTTTGAGAGGGAGTCCTTCGTGAGTAGGTGTCAGATAAGGATGAATAGATGACAGTATATTCGAGGCTCGGAGTTTCCCAAGATAGTTGTAAGGCACACTATGGTGATAGTACAAAACTGTTATTCCGTTGGCAGCACCAATGGCTTGAGCTAGCATCTTCTCTGAGTTTTTGTATACAACCATCAACTTCAACGAGCTAAACTCCTCACTGCTCTGAACCAACTGAGTAATTTCACTCTTAAGGGATCTGGACTCGCCACACCCTATATAAATCAGCAATGAAACCAAGCAAGTGATTATCTTTTTCATGATCAAACACTGCAACGTTTGAGCACGAAACCAAAAGCGTTTTAAACAGGAAATTCGAAATCAAGCTTAAGAGTTTTCAATCAACGGGAGTGGCATAGACACAGACAATGGAAAATCATTATCCTCTTTGCAAGCTTCGATATTTGTCCGATCAGACTCATCCCTAGTACATTTTATACGCACACTATGCAAAGATACGCGAGACATAGTTACAGAGAGAGAAAGTACATGGAGCGGTGACAAAGAGGAGGATGTGAGGGTGGATACGGATCTGAGAAGAGAAGTTTTGCTCCGTGAGGATCTCCCAATCGCCATGGCCGCTTGACGGAGGAATAACAGATAGAAAGGCCAGTAGGAGGAGGAGAGTGAGGAGGAGCGCCGGCGTTTTCATCGGAAAACCGCTCACTCACTCGTCTCAGAGTCTTCTTCCTTCTTTTACGAAGTCGGCGTTCCGATTCCAAATCTCCTGGTTGGTTCGGTTTAACAGATCAAATTATCAAAATGATCGCATTTTACCGGTTTGTTCAAAGGAGAGTTTTGTTGGTGTTTGCCACGTCACTGTATAATATCTATCGCAGATTTTTTTGTCTTCGTTATCAAATTGTGTTGTTGAATTTCATTTATTTTCTATTTATGGAATTTTACCATCCTCAAATTTTAATATCAAACGTAGTCAGTTTTGTGGACAACTTGTCTTGACTCTTTATGGCGTAAACAATTTTGATGGTTTCGTTCATAACATTTTTGATAAGTGGTCATATTGCATCACACTGTTTCAGAGAACGAACCACTAATCTGTTTGGAAACAACATCTTCATCTTCTACAATTCGGGACCGCGAACTAGAGAGTTGTCACCATTTCTTTCTGGACCTTGCTTCATTAACTCAATGTCTTATTGTCTTTGGCACCAACTTCTTCTTTCACCTTGGGATCACTTTCTTCTTGTTTTACATCTAAGAGCTTATCAACATCTTCCTCTTCACCCTGTAGAGCTCGTATCAGATCATCGACGCTCCTCTCTGTTTCCCTTTTCGTTTGAGCATCTGAAGACGATGCTCTATGAACCTCAGATTCCTTAGACGCATCAAAACCGGACGATGCTTGCAAGGTTGAAGTAGATGGAGCTAAAGATGTTGCATCACCCAATCCTTTGGAGAGGCACACATATTTGAAAACGAGCTGTTTATAATCATCTAACAAGCCTTCAACATCTCCTACCCTCAAATCACCAGCGCTGGCAAATAAGTAAGGATATTCTTGAAAGATTTTGCTCGACTCTGTATCCTTCAGCAGCGTTGCAGCACCCTTGTTTTCCAAATCAGATATGGATTCAACTTTCTTCACCGATATCTCACTGTTCCCAGAAAGACTATCAGAAGATTTTGATTGGAAAAGTGTGTTTTCCCTTTTGAGGTTCAGCGTTTGAGCTTTATGAACAGTGGACGACTCATCACCATGACCAGTTTGATAAGACTGGCTGCCAAGGACAGAAACTCGTGCCCGTGCAGATTCCATGTTCTTTTCGAACTCAGATTCATCCATTGAGAGTGACTTTGCATCAATATTTGAGATGAAAGAGACTGCAGAGAGTATGTTTGTGAAGAAGTAGGCAGCTTCACCAACAAGTTTAGATTCACGCCTATATCTTTGTATATACAACAAGTTTGAGTGAAGTTGTGGAGGGTTAGCCTGCGGAAGGAAAGTACAGAATGAGCACTAGTAGGTGTAGTTGCATAATCCGAAACATAAACCATCATTTACATAAATCGTTCAAATACTTTTCCTCCATACCTTTAATGTAACATATATCAAAACAGGAAGAAACTCGTCCGCTCCAGGTGCGTTCTGATTCGAAGCAATTGAAGCATTTAGCAGTAAGTTATTTATAACTTTGCAGCAGTTAAGGATACACACAAGCTTGTCACGAGGAGCTTTGTACATGTTTATCTTCTGGAGCTCTTTTTGAGCTAGCTGCCGAAAGTAAAGAGAGGAAATATCATCACAACTTAAGACCAATTAACAAGAAGATAGAACACTATTCCAAGATTAGCTTACCAGCCAAGATGTTTCATTTTGAAAAGTTGGTTGTATATCCAAATTCTCAGGAGAAATGAATTGTTGAACCAATGACATCTTCTGAAAGAGTTTCTCATCAGATATAACATCCTCGGGGTTTGAAGCAAATACACGGGGAAATAGCTTTATCATGATATACTTCTCTAGGCCCTGGTGTGTTACGAAGGATCAATGATTAAGGCAGGAAGACGCAAACAATCCAGACAGAAAGAGAAAGAACACTGACACTCACATCTCCAACGCTGTCCAATTCCTCCTCAGAACAACCGGACCAAAGTGGGTGAGCCCTGAAAGCAGCTTCCATCTTTGAAAAGAAGTCCTGAACTGTTGCACAGTCCTTTTCTGGGTCTGGAGCATTGTTCGAGAATGAAACAATGAAACTGCAACATAAACTCAAAAAACCATACCCGAAAATGTTTTTATGAAGCCAAAGAAATCACAGAACACACTCAATCAAGCATTATCCAGGACATCTCTATGCTGCAGACAGTGAGTTAAGATCTATAAGCTTCAAGCTATTTTAATAGCAAACCTAATAAACTTTGATAACAAGTCATCGAATTAACGAACTCTTATCCAACATAGCTATATGTCTGGAAAATTGAACAAAACCAAAAAGAGAGGATTTTTCAAATCAGTAGAAATCTTGCTCACATGTATCATCAAGTGCAAATAGACCTAAAACACTATGCAAATCCACTTAAGCTAGTAGGAAGATCATATATAGAAACACAGAGACAAAGGGAGAGAGAGAGAGAGAAGAAAAAAAACCTTTTAATGGATCTAACGAAATCGCCGGAGGAAGGCTTGCGCATCCGCTCCAAGAAATCATGTAAGGAATCGTCTGTATTAATCTCCATCGTCGATCACCAGATTCGCGTACAATCGAAGTTAATCAAGCTTATATCTCCGACGATTGACCAGTGAGAACAGAGATGATCAGTGGCAAAGAGAAAGTTGAGTTCCGACGAACAAAACGACGGTCGTCCTATTTAGTTGGTGAATCTGGTTCGGTGAAAACCGGTTATTAGTCTTGGTTTAGTCAATGTACCCAATCAACCACGACACTCGTCATCGGTTTTTAGATGGGGAATTGGATTCAGAAATTGGATGATGGAATTGGTCGGGCAGACGCATGAGCCTCTCTGATTTTATGTAATTTCATTTTAACTGGTCAATATTTTTGTCGTTGATGATAAACTAAAAAACTCAATATGCTTGCGTTAAATTGCTTGTTTTTGCAAATAAACTAAACTCAAATTTTGCCGTTTACACGTAGAACTCTGCTCTATATAATTTTCATTCTGAGCGACTATAAAGATGAAAAAACTCAAATCCTTGCCCAGTAACAGTTGATTGCGTTTGTAGACAAAATCCAAGTTTTACTAAATAAGAAAACACTGAATCGTTTTTTCCATGGTCGACCACAAAGTCTTACAAGTAATGATAGCGAGGAAAAGAAGAACAAACCCCAAAACCCAAATCGCTTCTCAAGTCATTAAGCATTTACCACAAAGTGAGCGCAAGTGTTTCAAAAGAAGCCACAGAAACTCCAAAAGCATAAGATCGGTGCAATAATCTGATACAAGCCCTGAACAATACTTTATCATTCAGACACTTCCCACTGCAAACACAGACACCATCACGCAAAAACTCTCAGGCAGATAAAGGTCCTTCTAGATAAGATCAGCTACATTCATCGGCATCTCGTCAATCTGGGTACTGTAGTACTGCTCAATGTCTCGAAGGATCTTGATGTCGTCCTTTTTAACAAAGTTGATCGCAACACCCTACACAATTAAGACCGCAAAGTGAAAGGGAAATTCACAGCTTTGGCATATTAATCAACGAGAAACAATGCAGAAATAAATCAGTTTACCTTACGCCCGAAACGACCAGACCGTCCAATACGATGGATGTAGAGCTCACGGTTGTTGGGGAGATCATAATTGATGACAAGAGACACCTGTTAAAGAAAGTTTCTCATGTCAGTTCAACCTCTTCCATAATATATATGGCACATAATATAACAGAGGAGACTAAACATTATTCCTGCATTACTATTATCTACTCAAGATATAGCGAATAAGTAATGACTTACTTGCTGCACATCAATCCCACGTGCCCATACATCTGTCGTGATCAAAACACGACTGTCGCCTGACCGAAACTGGTTCATGATCTCATCTCTCTCCTTTTGAGGCATGTCACCGTGCATTGACGAGACTGTAAAGTTGCTAGTCCTCATTTTCTCACTTAGCCAATCCACCTATACCAAATGCAGAGATAGAGTTGAGCGACACATTGAAAACAAACTCTAGTTACCAAAAACATTGAAAGCAAAATGTGATACCTGATCAATAAACATATTTACAGATAGAATTGCTTAACTTAAGATGAGCACTAGGATTACCTTTCGTTTTGTGTTGCAGAAGATAACAGCTTGGGTGATCGTAAGTGTATCATACAGATCACAGAGTGTATCAAATTTCCACTCCTCCAACTCAACAGCAACGAAAAATTGTTTAATCCCCTGAAAAGATTTTACAGGAAAGTTAGCCAGTGAAGCATACGAGTGTGACCCTACTGTAAAATCAAACATCAACAAGCATTTAGATGCAGAATAAAAAAAAAACGTACTTCCAGCGTCAACTCATCACGCTTCACAAGTATCTTCACTGGATCCGTCATAAACTTGGATGTCATCTCCAAAATCTCGTGAGGAAGAGTTGCAGAAACCAAGCAAACCTGTAAACATGGGGTATTTAGGTTAGAGATATAAAAAAAAATGGAATTTAGTTTGTCATAGTACAGTAAATAGCTACCAAAACCAATCCCCAAAGTCCAAGCAGCCAACCCAGAAAATAAGAAAGCAAAATGCAATAGCAGCCAACAAACTAGAACTAGCCAACAAATAATATTAGCGCAGAGAAACTGGACCTGAAGATCGGGAGGAAGATATCTGTAAACATCATAGATCTGATCCTTGAACCCTCTGCTCAGCATTTCATCGGATTCATCAAGAATCAGAAGTTTAATAGCTCTGGTACGTAGACTTCTCCTCTTTATCATGTCACAGACACGACCAGGAGTCCCCGACACAACATGGACACCATGCTCCAGCTTCCTGATGTCTTCTCCGACGCTCTTCCCACCGATGCACGCATGTGCCTGAATATTGGCGTGTAATCCAATAGCTTGAATCGTCTTCTCTGTTTGTGAAGCCAGCTCTCTCGTTGGGGACAATATCAAGGCCTGAACTCTGCAATTCGCATACAAGAATTGGGTGAATAAACCTGAAATGAGATCTTACAGACTAAAAAGCAAGTATTACTCAAAATCTATCATCATAACCAAAATTGTGAGAATCCGATTACCAAAAAGCATCAAACCCACCAACCAATTTCAAAGTTGATTAATCGGAACATAAGAACGATCCGAACAAAGCAGAAAAGGTAAATAAAAAATCGGAATTAGGGTTTTCCCTAGCAAAAAGGAAGAGATAACATACTCTCTGGAAGAAGTGTCAACGACTTGGCAGACGGAGAGGGCAATCATAGAGGTTTTTCCGGTACCGGACTGAGCTTGAGCAATAACATCGCGGCCTTGGAGAATCGGCATAACAGCTCTCTGCTGAATCGCGGATGGCTTCTCGAAACCGTACTCGTAGACGCCGCGAAGTACATTCTCCTTAATCCCCATGTCACTGAAATTCGTGATGGGCTCGATCCCTGCCGTCGTCTCGAAGACCAACTTGTCGTCATCCATATGTCCACCGCCTCTCCTTCCACCTCCACGGCCAGGATTCGATTCCGCCATAACTCTCCGTCTGGATTTTTTTTTTCTCTCTCCTAGGGTTTTCGATCGATTTTCCCGAAAAGTTTCTCTCTGGAATTAGCTGTCTGAGAAGTGAAACTTCGTTGGGCTTTTATGTCAAAATTTAGTAAAAATACCGACTCTTATCGATAAAAATTCGTTCCTTTTTTTAAATTGTTTAATGGGCCTATACCGTATGGCCCATATCAAAAAGAAAGTAAACAATGTTACGTCAAAACGACAACACTGCATCACGAAGGCGAGAACTCGCGAACCCAGCTTCAGAAAGAACCTACTTAGATCGGTCTTTTTTTTTTTGGTTCTCTCTCTCTCCTCTGTCCGGATTTTCTCTTTCTCTCCCTCTCTCCTTCACCCTATCTCGCTCCTAATTCAGTTTCCTCTTTGCTCTCCAAGGCTGATTTGAAAATTTTCTTAAATCTTGCGGAATGAATAAAACTGGTTTTGCTCATCTCTGTTAAAAGGTTCGTGTTTTATAATATTTGGACGCCAATAGCTCTAATGATACACACCATCATCTCCTCTATTGATTCCACATATTTCGATGCGTTTTGTTACATTGGGATTGCCCACTATGCGGCAAGATGATACCTTTGATTTATGTATGTTCTCGTCAATTGAATTGATGAGAGGATGGTATTTTCCTGAAGTGAATTATTCCTCAAGTGGAAAGAATTTTTTATAGAATCTATATATGTTGAGTTGCTCATTTCATGCTTTTGCATTGAATATTTATTTCGTTTTAATGGCGCGATTTCATGTGCACAAGTGCATCATAAAGTTTGAAATAGTGCAAGAAAGTGATACTGAATCAATGAAAATCTGTTTGCAGATTGCAGGAGAAGTATATACTCTGCGATGTATGCTAGAGCAATAAAGAGGAACCAGAAATGGGGTTTGGTATTGCAGCAAGCCAGATACTTAGTTAGGCCAGCCATTCGCGACTACACGGTGTCTAGATCTTACGGATTCGCAAATAAATTGACAAATCGTTCGACCAATAATGCGAGTTTGAGTAGAGAGTCTCTCCTCCGTTCGTTTTCCCCTCGCGGTGGTAGCATAAGTAGTCAGCTGCGTAGTTTCAGCTCTGAAGGTGGCGATGGAAGGAATGCTAGTGAGGAGGATAACAAACACGTCTCTTTGAACAAAGAGAACGCTATAGATGGTGGAAAAGCCGGGAAGGAGAAGAGTAGTTTCGGCGTTGGGCATTTAGATTCTCATGCTCGGCTTGGAGAGCAGGACCAGATAGAGTGGCTCAATAACGAGAAGCTCTCCGTTGAATGCAAGAAGAAGGAGTCGCCTCTGCTTAGTAGACGAGAAAGATTCAAGAACGAGTTCTTACGTAGAGTCCAGCCTTGGGAAAAGATACAGCTTTCTTGGGAGACTTTCCCTTACTATATCCAGTAATGATCTACTTATGTTGTGTTTATATTTATTCCTCTGCTGTTGTGTTTCTCTCTCGCTCTCTCCATTTCTGCTTATGGATTCTGTTTCGTGCTCATTTTCGCAGCGATCACACGAAAAATATTTTGGTGGAATGCGTTAGCTCACATATAAGACAAGCGAATGCTGCTACCGTGTATGGTGCCCGTTTAGACTCTTCAAGTGGAAGAATATTGCTCCAGAGTGTTCCAGGTTCGTACAGGTGTTTGATGTTGCGAATCAAAGTATATAGTTTTGGAGGATTATATATGATGACTAATAAGAAGTTTGATGTTGATTCAGGCACTGAGCTTTACCAAGAGAGGATGGTGCGAGCACTCGCTCGGGATTTACAAGTTCCCTTGTTGGTTCTTGACAGCAGCGTTCTTGCCCCTTATGTGAGATTCTTATTGAGTAATTTGCCTATAACAATGGAGAATTTTTTTATTTTATTTTAATTCGTGTGCTTATGATATCTTTTCTCGATTGTGGATCAGGATTTTGCTGATGACTACAATGAAGAATCTGAATCCGATGGTGAGAACGCAGAAGGTGAAGCAGATCAGTGCACGACAGACTCTGAAGCTGAGGAAGAATCTGGATCTCATGACGAGGAGACTTCTGAAGCGAAAACAGATGGGAGTGAGGATGAGGAAGCTGGCCTCGAGGTTACTGAGGAAGATATCAAGAAAATTGTGCCAAAACTTGAGGAGGTCGCAAAGGTATGATTGCCTTAGCTGAGATTCGTAAAAGTTACTCGGCACTGATTGTTCCTTTCCTAAGTTTATGTTACCCTTGGACCCTGTCATATAAGTATTATGAATTCTGGTTTTATTGTATGTGTATGAGCATGTTATTGGAGTTATTATGTATGAGTCAGCAGGTTTTACCATTGCCTGCCGTTTGAATGCTGTTTCTTGGTCTGAATATTTGCTTACCTGCTATGAATTGTGGCAGTTAGTAGCGGAAGAACTACATGTTTCCGGTGAGTCTTGCGAAGCGGCAGCTGTTGGGCAATCTGATAAACCCAAGCGACCGGCAAGGAAAGGTAAACCATCCAATATCAAAGCTCTAGAATGCAACTTCATCGTTATAAGTGCTAGATAGACTTGAATGTATCACTTTGCTAAATGAGTTCGTTTTAGTAATTTTTATATCCTATCTATCATATTTGTCATGGTGTTGTCTTACTCTCGTTAGCCTTTCACTTATTTTCCCATTCATTTGTGAGGTTGCTAATTACTCTCTGTGCTGTCGTTTTTACACTTTTTCCTTCTTTCTATTTGTGGTTACTTGCAGGAGATCGAGTAAAATATGTTGGGCCTCCTAAGAAGGGTGATGCAAAGCACAGGTAGTGGAACTTATTCTCTAACCATGCTAAGATTTGAAAGGTTCAACACAAGTATTTTAGTAATGAATTTATTGAAAGCTTTTAAGATTCGTAAACATGGGTCACTCATGAAGCTCAGTCGGTTATGCCAGCAACAATATATGTTTAACTTCTCAAAATGTTGAAGATATATATAATATGGTCTGTCTTTATTTTCACACGGCTCCTTTAGTTACGTGTTGTTTTTAGTGTGTTCTCTCTCTTGAATGTTATTTGAATGAATGCTATCTTTTGTTGTTCTGGAGAATTTTTTGATCTAAGGAATTTTTTCTTTTTGTTTGAGAATACAGTTCAATTGATTAGAATTGTAGAATGAGGTTAATGATGTTGTATCGCATGAGAGTATACCGTTAGGGGTTTCTCTCATCAATATGGTGTGCATTTGATATTTTTGCAATAAATCTTGAATTAAAAAGAGCTCTGGAATGCTAAATAAATTTCCATGGCATGCTAAATATTATCATCCATAAAATAAATTTGTCTTCATAGCAATATTTCTATACTGCAGGCCATTAACTAGCGGACAACGTGGAGAGATCTTTGAGGTGAATGGGAACCGCGTTGCGGTTGTATTTGACAACGAAGGTGATACATCATCAGAGGGAAACAAGAAGAAACCAACAAAGCAGTCCCAGAAGCTACATATGCACTGGCTAGATGGTATATTTACTTCATGGAGTTGTTTATTTAGGAAAAGATCCTCTATATGTAGACAATAGACGATACGTAAATGTAGCTAAGCTCTGTATTGTTTGCGCAGTTAAAGACCTGAAGCATGATTTGGATATGCAGGCAGAAGATGGCTACATTGCCCTGGAGGCTTTAAATGAGGTATGTTCTCTGGCCAATGATCTGGTTTTGTTTGTAGTGTCTGGATATTTTCGTTTTCAATTTATTCCATTTTTTTTTCCTGTGTTTGTAGGTTTTGCAATCCACGCAACCACTTATTGTCTATTTTCCAGACTCGTCTGAGTGGTTGTGTAGAGCTGTACCTAAGTCAAAACGAAATGAGTTTGTAGACAAAGTTCAGGAAATGTTTGATAAATTGTTAGGTCCTGTTGTAATGATCTGCGGACGGAGCAAGCTTGAAACAGCTTCAAAAGAGAGAGAGAAATTCGTAAGCCCTTCTGACGTGTCATTGTTCATTATTGATCAGTAACATAATTGTTCTTGTTTTTTTCTGAACTTTTTTGTTTGTGAACAGACGATGATACTCCCAAACTTTGGCCGCATTGCGAGACTGGTATGTTATAGAACTTGTGGTTGGTCTCATATGCACATCAACCATTAACTTTCAAGTTATAAAATATCTAGAACACGCATTGCGTACTGACTTTGTATCAGTCGCGTTTTGACACTCTTGGTCAAATTAGCTTCGCATTCTCCTTCTTCTCATCACAACACTTCCACTTGATAAATCACAACCAAAATGTTTATCATTGATACCTTTATGTCTTGCAGCCCCTTCCGTTAAAGCGTATTACCGAGGGACTCACCGGAAGGCAAACATCAGAGGATAAAGAGATATACAAGCTCTTCACTAATGTTATGAGCCTGCTCCCTCCTAAGGTATGCCTTATGCCTTTTGATTACTTTCTTTACATGATTCTGGACAACATACGAAAATTGCATCGATGTGTTTTTTCATTCCTAATTACTCGTACTTGTTTTCTTCTTTTTATCTCTGGTGCAGGAAGAAGATACCCTCGTAGAGTTCAACAAACAACTTGGAGAAGATAGAAAAATTGTGACCTCACGGAGCAACTTAAATGAGCTACTTAAGGTACACTGATCTCAGATTGAATCTCGTTTAGAGAAATGGAGTCAAGTTATATAATCATTGTAACACTTTGAGAACTTTTTCTCCCAGGCGCTTGAGGAAAACGAGTTATTATGCACAGACTTGTACCAAGTGAACACCGATGGCGTAATATTGACAAAGCAAAGTGTGTAACTCCTATGAAATCCCTGGTTTATTATGTATGTGTTTGTTCGTTATGTCTTAGCAATTTCAGAATATCAAGCTTGCCGTTACTATATGTTTTGTATGCCATTTGGTGCTATAATGGCAAGGATCCGGCTGTTAGGAGACAACTATGATAAGGCTTTTACTTGCACGTGTGTGTTTAGATCTATCACATTCCCCTTGCTCTGATTGTCCTTTTTGGGAATAGTTACTATTATGTAATTGTATGAGTTGAAACATGATACAGTTCTTGTGGTTGACGTTGATATCTGCTGCTGTCTCTTATTTGTCCCAGTCACTTATGCTGAGACCAAGAGTGCTCAGAAACTTGTTTATTTTGTTTTTGCAGGGGCAGAGAAAGTTATTGGCTGGGCCAGAAACCACTATCTATCATCTTGTCCAAGCCCATCGATTAAAGAAGACCGCCTGATTCTTCCTCGTGAAAGGTAATGGCATGGTTGTGGCCTTACCTTTTGAGTCTATGACTTATATTTGATTTTATCTTACTGATGGCATCCTCTTTTGTAGCATTGAGATTTCAATTAAAAGGTTAAAGGCACATGAAGATATTTCTCGAAAGCCTTCACATAGCTTGAAGGTTTAGTTTCTTCCTTCCCCGTCTGGTGTCTTGGGATTTGGAAGTTGAATACTCATAGTAACTAACAGAGAGAGTTTTCATTGCAGAATATAGCAAAGGATGAGTATGAAAGCAATTTTGTCTCAGCTGTAGTTGCTCCTGGAGAAATTGGGGTCAAATTTGACGACATTGGTGCTCTGGAACATGTGAAGAAGGCATTGAATGAGCTTGTTATTCTTCCCATGAGAAGGCCAGAGCTTTTCACCCGTGGGAATCTCTTGCGGGTATGTCATTATTTTTCTTCTCCTTACAAAGTTGTACTACCAATTTTTTTCCTCAGCTGTGTGTTTCCTGATAGCCTGAGTCTTCTTTCTCTTTTCTGTTCCAGCCGTGTAAAGGCATATTGCTTTTCGGCCCTCCTGGTACGGGTAAAACGTTGCTTGCCAAGGCGCTTGCTACAGAAGCTGGCGCAAACTTCATTAGCATAACTGGCTCAACACTTACATCAAAGGTGCATGGAACTTAGATAGTATGGCACTGTTACATCGATATCTGATTGGTTCTGACTATGTTAACTTCGTTCATTGTTTGGCACAGTGGTTTGGAGATGCAGAGAAGCTCACGAAAGCTCTGTTCTCCTTTGCAACCAAACTAGCGCCTGTCATTATTTTTGTCGATGAGGTGAGAAATTGTCTGTAACTTTCTTGTGAAACGGTACGGCATGTTTTCAAGGACGGACTGAGATTTTCCTTTTTGGTTGTCGAGTAGGTTGACAGTTTGTTGGGGGCTCGTGGTGGTTCTTTCGAGCACGAGGCGACCCGAAGAATGAGAAATGAGTTCATGGCAGCTTGGGATGGTCTCAGGACTAAAGATAGCCAAAGGATCCTAATCCTCGGCGCCACTAATCGACCTTTTGATCTTGATGACGCTGTCATTCGTCGTCTACCAAGAAGGTGAAAACCATAGTCCTGAGTTTTTTTCAACTTGTCCTTTTTCAAAACATTTGTCTCATTTGTTGTTCTGCTTTTTTTGTAGGATCTATGTCGATTTACCAGATGCTGATAACCGGTTGAAGATTTTGAAGATATTTCTGACTCCAGAGAATCTTGAAACTGGTTTCCAGTTTGATAAACTCGCAAAGGAAACCGAAGGATATTCAGGAAGCGATCTTAAGGTTTTGGATCATTCAAGTTTGGGGAATCCGTGGCATTTAAAAATGTTCTTGTTTATGATTCCTTATAATTTTCTGGTTTTTAAATCGCAGAATCTATGCATCGCTGCTGCGTACAGACCTGTTCAAGAATTGTTACAGGAAGAAAACAAGGTAAATAAGACATAACCCTCACGGTTGATTTCTTTTGATGACAGAATACAATTTTTGTAACCACTCGATGCCTTTTGCAATGTTGATTCCTCAGGGTTCGGTCGCAAATGGAGCTCCTGATCTCCGGCCACTAAGTTTGGATGATTTCATTCAGTCAAAAGCAAAGGTAAGAAAACAGCATCGGTGTTTATGCTGCTTTTGTCTTCTTTTTTTTTGTGCTGTTCTTTGTCAGATATTGAGATTGCGTCATCTTAATGTAATTGCAGGTAAGTCCGTCTGTGTCGTATGATGCAACTACGATGAACGAATTGAGAAAATGGAACGAGCAGTACGGTGAAGGAGGAAGCCGAACTAAGTCTCCTTTTGGTTTCTAAAGCAGTTTTGTTCCCTAGATTCAATGTCTCCTTGAACAACAGAAACTCACTAAATTTTTTTCATATCATACACAATAAAAGTCACTATTTAAATTTTAATCTTAGTTTCATTTCATTCCTTATACGTCACCAGTAAAAACAAATTACTCAAAATTTTTTATATTAATAAATGGGGAAAACAGCTAAATTCACTGAGACATTGACTCATTCTGCTTAAACTATTATTAATTTCTTTCATCCAGTAATCACAATTCTGTACCTCTCTTTTTTGGTTGACTAAACAATTATGTAATACAATAGTCAATAATATTCACAAACAAACAAAAAAATCCTAACCTATTTCTGTTATCTCTTTTGTGATTATGTTTGTATATTTTCAACTATTTATTTAATACTCTATTGGTAAACAAAAAGAAAGTGATGAATAAAACAAGAATTATACAAATCTCTCTTCACGCGCTCTATTTTATGTTCTACTTATTTAGCGGATAACCATTACAACGTTTACACGACGCGCCATAGATGCTCGTGGGATATTTCGGAAACATATGTATTTTTCTCTTTTAACAAAAAAAAAGGTTAGAGAACAAATTTAAATTGAAATAGCCGTATCTGCTAATTTCAATGGCGGAAAGGAACGGCGAGGAAAAAAAAAAAAGTAGTAGAAAAGAGGACTCACACACACACACTCTTCCTTCCCTCTCTGGTCATCTTCTCATTCTCGAAGAAACGATGTCTGATGCGTCAGCGTCAAAATCGGTGACGGTTGAGAAAATGACGGAGGAGGAAGACGACGCTGCGGCGGCGGAGGCGGAGATTGAGGAGCGGTGGAGTCTTTACGAGGCGTACAACGAATTACACGCTTTGGCTCAGGAACTGGAGACTCCGTTCGAGGCGCCGGCGGTGCTCGTGGTGGGACAGCAGACTGACGGTAAGAGCGCGCTCGTGGAAGCTCTCATGGGGTTTCAGTTTAACCACGTCGGCGGCGGAACCAAGACTCGCCGGCCGATCACTCTTCACATGAAGTACGATCCTCAGTGCCAATTCCCTCTCTGCCACCTCGGATCCGATGATGACCCTTCCGTTGCCCTCCCCAAATCTCTCTCTCAAATTCAGGTGTTTTCTCTCTCTCTCTCTCTCTCAATTGCTTGTTTCTGCTCAAAGAAGTGATCTTGTGTTAGCAACGTTTCTGATATGGTTTTGGATCTTAGGCGTATATCGAAGCCGAGAACATGAGGCTGGAGCAAGAGGCATGCCCATTCTCTGCCAAGGAGATCATTGTGAAAGTGCAGTATAAGTATTGTCCCAACCTTACCATCATTGACACACCTGGGCTTATAGCTCCTGCGCCAGGACTGAAAAACAGAGCATTACAGGTTGCTTATTCATTGGCTTGTTTAAATGTTTTCTTTTGCTTGATTTGATTTGAAGAGAGTGGTTGCTTATTCTTGTTTTCCGTAGGTTCAAGCACGAGCTGTGGAAGCTCTGGTTCGAGCAAAGATGCAACACAAAGAGTTCATCATCTTATGCCTCGAAGATAGCAGTGACTGGAGCATTGCGACTACTCGAAGGATAGTTATGCAAGTATGAGACTTTGAATGTCACTACATTTGCGTCTAACCTTGTCTTTTGTCTTTTAAAAAAAAGTTTTGATCTTTGTTCATGTAGGTTGATCCTGAGCTGTCTAGGACAATTGTTGTCTCCACTAAGCTTGACACTAAAATCCCTCAGTTCTCGTGTTCCTCCGACGTGGAAGTTTTCCTCTCGCCTCCTGCAAGCGCACTCGACAGCTCCTTGTTGGGGGATTCACCTTTTTTCACTTCTGTGCCTTCCGGGAGAGTTGGCTACGGACACGACTCAGTATATAAGTCTAATGACGAGTTCAAACAGGTCTATGCTCTGCTGTCTGAATTCCTGGATCTTTTCATGGATTCTAAACTGTGTGTCGTTTTTTGGTTTCAGGCTGTGTCACTTAGAGAGATCGAAGACATTGCATCTTTGGAGAAGAAGGTGGGCCGTTTACTGACGAAGAAGGAGAAGAATAGGATTGGTATCAGTAAACTGAGGCTGTTTCTGGAAGAACTACTGTGGAAAAGGTAGAACTGCTTTTTGTTCTCTGTTTCCTTTATAGTTTACTTCTTTTTTTGTTATTGTCTTGACGCCATTCTCAATTCTAGGTACAAAGAGAGTGTCCCGTTGATCATTCCACTTTTGGGAAAGGAGTACCGCAGTACAATCAGAAAGCTGGATACCGTTAGCAAGGAACTTAGGTTGTTTTGTCTGTTACTGTTATTATCTTTTGGTTGATATTAATGCAGTTTACTTTGAAAAAATATAACTCATTGGTGGGTCGTATTGCTTCCTTTCAATGCAGCTCTTTAGATGAAGCAAAACTCAAAGAGAGAGGCAGGACTTTCCATGATCTCTTCTTAACCAAGGTCTCTCTGTAGAGCGCATTATGACCTTTTAAGATTTTTAAGATATCTACTTTTTATCTGTCCTGAACTCATGGAATACTAGTTTTTGTATAGTTACATCAAGTTCATTTCGTTTATTGACTATTGACACATGAACAGTTATATATCTAGGATTTGCTACTTGTTTAGAATGACTGGAAGTTAATTTTTCGCACATATTCTCTCGTTCACGTACTAAGTACCTTTGTTATTATTGATCAGTGTTAGTGTTCGGTTGTCTCACCTGTTTTGTTTTAATTTTTTTGACCAGTTGTCGCTGTTACTGAAAGGAACAGTTGTGGCCCCTCCAGATAAATTTGGTAAATGTTACTGCTCTGTTCTCTAGTCGTCAACTAATCTTTGGCAAAAATCTTTCTTGTTTGTGGTTGTTGAATTGGATATGTTGGGGCTACTTTGATAGTTATCATGATGTTTTTTTTTTCTAAGGTGAAACATTGCAAGATGAAAGGACACAAGGAGGAGCGTTTGTTGGCACTGATGGTCTCCAGTTCCCACATAAGCTAATACCAGTAAGTGTTTCCTTTGGAATTATAGGCAGATAACTGTTTGCGTCATCTGTTTAGTTTGAACATAACCGAAACCCTTCTTCATATTCAGAACGCAGGGATGCGTCTTTATGGAGGTGCACAATATCACCGAGCCATGGCTGAGTTCCGATTTCTTGTCGGTGCTATAAAATGTCCCCCAATAACACGGGAGGAAATTGTGAATGCATGTGGAGTTGAGGATATTCACGATGGAACAAACTATTCCAGGTGTCATACCATTGACCAGTTCTTACCCATTTTACCAATGTTTCTCATGTTTGTTATGGAATCTCTTATTCTCTTTTTTTTTTTCATCTTACTTTCTGTTGTAGAACAGCTTGCGTTATAGCAGTTGCAAAAGCTCGCGACACGTTTGAACCATTCCTTCATCAGGTGACAATGACATACATATCTACTATATTCTTCTTCTTTCCTGGACAAAGTGTTTTATCAGTTCTCATTTCCAGTATGGTTTTTGTGTTGGTTTAGTTAGGAGCAAGGCTTCTACACATTCTCAAGAGATTGCTTCAAATTTCTGTTTATCTTCTTCAGGTAGAAACTGTTTTCTTTTTCTTGTCTTGGTTTGATGGTCTCCTACTTATTTTACCCTTCCCAGCAAATTGCTTGATGCATGTTTTAAATTTGAATAGAAAGAAGGTGAATACTTAAGTGGCCATGAGGTGTTTCTCAAGCGGGTTGCTTCTGCTTTCAACAGTTTTGTGGAGTCCACAGAAAAATCATGTCGTGACAAGTAAAATCTTTTTTCCAACTCCTGCACTTGTCTGTTTTCAGTGACCATATGAATTCAGTTATCAATCTCCGTTTGGTTTAAAATATTGATTGTAGATGCATGGAGGATTTAGCAAGCACGACTCGCTACGTTACATGGTCTCTTCACAACAAGGTCACTGCTACAGCTTTATTAGCTCTGTTCAAATTGAACTGAATGATCATATTAACAATAGAAGTAACACTGTACTGCACAAAAGCTCATCTACATTTGGTGTCCGTTTCTGATTCAGTAGTCTTCTCTTCTCAATGTAATGCAGAACCGAGCTGGTCTACGCCAATTCTTAGACTCATTTAGCGGAACAGAGCAACTTACTACATCAGGTAATCCCATAGGATTTAGTCTTCCTCAAGATGCACCAGGCGGAGCAACAGACACAAAGTCATCAAGATCAGATGTAAAGCTAAGCCATCTCGCCTCAAACATCGATTCAGGTTCCAGCATTCAGACAACAGAGATGCGGTTGGCTGATCTTCTAGATAGCACGCTTTGGAACCGAAAGCTTGCTCCTTCTTCCGAGAGAATTGTCTACGCGTTGGTCCAACAGATATTCCAAGGCATTCGAGAATACTTTCTTGCCTCTGCTGAGTTAAAGGTTTTGCTCCAACTTCGGTTTTTTTACTTTTGAATTCAGTTTCCTTAGTAATGTCCTCTTTATGTCTTGTGTTTTCTTGTATTCTGCAGTTCAACTGTTTTCTCCTGATGCCTATTGTCGATAAGTTACCTGCTCTTCTCCGGGAAGAGTTGGAAAACGCATTTGAAGACGACCTTGATAGTATTTTCGACATCACGAATCTCCGGCAATCACTTGATCAAAAGAAACGAAGCACGGAGATCGAGCTGAGAAGGGTAAACCAAACCTTGACCCTGAATCTTATGATCATGCTTTACTTTTGTATTTGCTATTGAAAAACTAAATATGGTCTACGTATAACCAAGTATGAGACAGCTTTATGCTAATAACATACTTTTGTTTTTAATGTTTTGAACAGATAAAGAGGATAAAAGAGAAATTCAGAGTGATGAATGAGAAGCTAAACTCTCACGACTTCGCTCAAAAACTAAAGACGCCTTCGTTGCAGTAGTGACTCAAGTCATGGATCTATATTCAAGAATATTTTATCTGCCTAAGTTTAGGTTAAGTAAGAAACAATCAACTTTGAATGTCTAATAATAAAAAAACAAAGAAAGTGGTCGTTTAAAGTACTTTGGGGTTTGCTTATTGGTCCGATATTTGCAATTTTAAGTGTTTTTGCAATATGAAGAAAACAACAATTAGTAGTGGCATACTACGGTATAATCAAGACTAGAAGTTGAGCATACAAATACACTGACAGAAGAAAAGAAAAAACATGAACGAATTTTTTTGCTAATAACCAAAATTGTTACTTCTCTCAGCTTTCTGAGTAGAAAAATGCTTTTTGAATCATATATAGGTTTGTGGCATACTGAAAAGTGAAAATGTAATTTATTATATGTTTTTTTGTTAGAAATTATCTACAGTTTAAATTTTTTATCCATCACTACTGATACACATTTGACCTACCCTCCTACCTATTAACCTTCACCTAACTAAGAGCGCATTCACATTTTAAACACTCTCTTTCTTCCAGCCATACCCGCGAGATAATAATAATTAAAAAGAAAATTTTAAAGCTTAACGTTTTCTCCACGTGACGAGAAACAAATGGGTTTCTCCACGTGATGATTATTCTGTGATCTAACTAGAGTTCCCAATTTATTTTTCTCTAAACAAATAAGTTGGTGAAATAACCAACCAAAAGTTAGTCATATATAAATACATCAAAAAAAAAAATACAGAGCTATAAGGTTAATATTAAATAAACGTATAGATAAAAAAACATTAGGCATATATAAACTTAATCGGATCACTGAGATACATTTGATTATCAATTAACAAATATATGTTGTATATATGTACATTTGAAACCTATTATTTTGTGCCAAGAAAAAGCCTATTCTTTGAACTGATATAATAGAATAGAATAAAAGTTAATTGCTTAAAACAATGGATAAAAAAGCTTTAACAACAAAAAAAGATGGATAGAAAATATCCTTATTATTTTCGCCTAAATTATTACTATTTTTAATATAATAAACATTGTTGTGAACGAATATATAAAGAGAAGCAGTCCAAAGCTTTATAGACAACTCAAAGTTTCTTACACAAAAAGCAACTCTACTCAAACCGCAAATCCATGGCTCCTTCTGCGCAACCAGTTCCTACAAGGTAAAATATATCATTGCAAATATTATAATAGTCTCGCATTTGCATGTTTAAATCTGTTACTATGATCTATGATTTGCTGATGATAGTTTCTTTTACAGTGTTTCGGATGAGAAATACGCAAATGTGAAGTGGGAAGAGTTAGGGTTCGGGTTTGTTCGTACGGACAATATGTATGTTGCCAAGTGCAAACATGGAGAGAGTTTCCAAGAGGGAACTGTTGTTCCTTATGCTGATTTCCAAATCAGCCCTTGCTCTGCAGTTCTTAATTATGGCCAGGTTTGTTATTAATCAATAGAGATCAAACTTATTAAGAAAAATTTATATCATCAGAAAGAAGATATAACCATCACCATATATAGAACTAATATCGTTTTAGCATTGCATGCATATTTGAGCTATTAGACATTTAAAATTTTGAAAAGATAATAGAATATAAATCAAACGAAATGATTTAAAAGTGTTAATATGATGATATTCTTATCAAGTAAATTGTTTCATCAAATAATTACTATAATATGTTTCAATTCAAAGAAAATCTAGATATGTATAACAACATAAGTAGTCTAACTGCCCCCATTAAAATGAACTAATGAGCTTTCTTAAAATATTTATGAAGAATTAAATTATTAGATGCTAGATTGAGTGATGCGGAAGCAAAGTAGTCTGAAATATTTGTAATTTGGAAATAAATAGGGTTTATATGAAGGGCTGAAGGCTTACAGGACAGAAGATGGCCGGATAATGATATTCCGACCAGACCAAAACGGTCTCCGCCTTCAAGCCGGAGCCAAGAGACTTTGTATGCCGTATCCATCGGTCGATCAATTTGTCTCCGCCGTCAAACAAGTTGTTCTTGCCAACAAGAAATGGGTATGTACAGGCTCGGTTCCAAAAGAAAAAAATCTGGACCGCTCAAAAAAACCAAACTGTGTTCTACATAAATTCTAAATTTTGAAATTATGGTCGTGTTAGGCATAATTGTAAAAGAAAAAAAAATGCTTTAGAATGCTTCAAAAGGCAAATAAATGTAATTTCTATGCATTTTTCAAGATATTAAATCTTAACAAATGTATATATTTTAAAAATTATATTAATGTTCTTCTTTGAATTTTATATATATACAGATTCCTCCTCCGGGGAAAGGAACATTGTATATCAGACCTATTTTGTTCGGAAGTGGTCCTATACTTGGCTCACTTCCGGTCCCTGAGTACACCTTCTCAGTATTTGCTTGTCCCGTTGGACGTTTTCACAAGGTGAGTGTTCTTGTCAATATATATTATTTTTATTTTAGTTTAAACAGTAATAGACTAGAGCAATTTTTTGGAATGATTTTGATTATAATATGTTTTCTGGTATAGGATAACTCTGGCTTGAACCTGAAAATTGAAGATAAGTTTCGCCGCGCTTTTCCTAGTGGAACCGGTGGTGTGAAGAGTATCACAAACTATTCTCCTGTAAGTTTGAAAACGTACATCAAATTTGATATTAACATGATTAGCTGTGTTTTAGATTTTTGTATGAACGATTAATAGTTAATTAATATAACGGATAATTTTTTCTTAATGAAGGTTTGGATAACATTGGCAGAGGCGAAAGCTCAGGGTTTCTCTGATGTTTTGTTTTTGGATGCTGCAACTGGCAAAAACGTCGAAGAGCTTTTCGCTTCCAACATTTTCATAGTCAAGGTAATTATATATATAAATATATATATATATAATACGTTTTGAAAGAGTTTTAAAGAATATTAAGATCGATGTGATATGGTCTGTATAGGGAAATGTTGTGTCGACTCCAGAAATTTCAGGAACTATTTTGCCCGGAGTCACACGAAAAAGTATCATTGAATTAACTCGTGATTTCGGCTACAAGGTTTGAATATTTCAATACCATGATATTATAATTTTTTTTTTTTTTGAAAAAGGGTTTCATGATATTATAATTTTATCCATGTTGATTTTGTAAATAATCTAGTTTTTTTTCCTTGGATTCTTATTATAATAGGTTGAGGAACGTGTTGTTCCCCTTGAGGATCTTCTCGACTCGGAAGAAGTTTTCTGCACTGGCACTGCTGCGATTGTGACAACTATTGCGTCCGTAACCTTCAAAGACAAAAAGTAATGTTTTATTCCACATCTAATCATTTTTCTCAACAAAATAAGAAGAAAAATAAAACAAATACAGAATAACTATACCATGATTTAAATCTGGATTTTGCTTTATTCTCATATATAAGTTTGACTAAAAATTGGGTGTACATATTCAATGCGTACAGGACCGGATTCAAAACAGGAGAAAAAACATTGGCCGCGAAGCTCTTTGCGACGTTAATGGATATCCAGATGGGTCGGGTCGAGGATAAGAAGGGATGGACGGTGGAGGTTGACCGGTGCCACCAGGGTTGAAACTTGAAGCCGTATAACTTGACAATTATATAAATACTATAGCTAAGAAAACATCTGAAGATGTCTCTGGATCTCTGTGTTTTCATACTATAGTATAGCTAAGAAAACATCTGAAGATGTCTCTGGATCTCTGTGTTTATCATATTATGTCATGCCCTTGTGATGTAATAATTTTAAAAAGTTGTTGGTAATAATAATATAAATAAACATTCATGCCTTTTCAGTTTTCTTTTATTCTTCCTCAAAACTATAGTATTTGTTCTTGTGTAGTTTTCCATTTGAATAAATAATACGAATTCATCCAGTTGTATTAAGGTAATCATTTTTCTAAATTAAAAGTCTTAAAAATAAGAATACTTTTGTTTTCTAAAAGAAAAACATTAATATATATATACTAGTAACTTGTTCTTCATAATTGTGATAACTTTTTCCCCCAAATTTCTGTTTTTTTTAAGTTGTATCCATTTTTACTAAATAAAATTTTATTCATGCACCAACATGTTAGTACGTTACACCTTACATGTCTATACATAATACATATACTTTTTTCGAATTATATTATTCCCCTTCGGTCCTCGATTTTTCATTGACTTTCTATTTCTTTCTCATGTACATGTATATCCACCACTCTTTCTTTCTTTTTTTCTTCTTCATGTTATTTCTTTCAATTAGTTTCCAAATACAGGCAACTAATTATAGGAGGAAGACGAATCTCCACCGTCCAGCATCCATACCGCCGATGAGGAAAATGACGAACTACGTGAACATTGAAAAGTTGAAGGAAGAGCACCCGAAAAATTTATAAGTCAAATGAAATAAAATTCTGACAGCTGTGGGATTTGAACCCACGCCCTTTCGGACCAGAGCCTAAATCTGGCGCCTTAGACCACTCGGCCAAACTATCTTTGTGAACAACTCAAATTTGTTTTATATAGATACTAATTATTTGGATAACTGGATTATATTTCTAAGAACTTGGAAATATTGAAACTTTCCGCTGGCAAAAAAAAAAAAAAAAAAAAAACTCTTGTATAATCTTAGAACAATTCCTAAAAGTTCTGTATAATTTTATAACTATTTGGAAAAAAAATTATATTCTTGGTCCTTAGACATGAGCTAGATTGACAAGTAACCCTTCTGTGAGTTTGTTCAATCTATGAGCTATTAAACATCAGTAATCTCCTCATCATCACTCACAACGTAACTTGCTTCTCCACTTTTGTTGTTGCAAGAAGGCTCTGTTTTCTCCAGCATACAAACCACTGATTTCATAAACGGTCTAACCTGAGGAGACTTGGCAGTACATAACAAAGCAATTGTCAACACTTTAAGAGCATCCTCTTTGTATTCATTTTGTATAATCGGATCGATGATCTCCATCATCTTCTCTCTGTTCATCTCCTTGCTCCTGTTCCAAACCCACATGACGATGTCTCTGTCCTCTCCGAACTCTGCCTCCACCGGCTTCTTCCCCGTCACCAACTCCATTAGAACCACCCCAAAGCTGTATACGTCGCTCTTCTCGTTCACGCTCGTAGTGTAGGCGTATTCTGTGTACGTCATAGAAATTATTTGCAACTGAGAGAAGTTAAGAAACTGTATATAGAAACGCAAGGAATTTGAAGCTTGAGAAGCAAGAAACTTGGAGATAATTTTATAAGGTTGTAAAATTCGGATAGTTCATGTTCTGGTTTAGGGTTTATATAGTTTCATTAAACCAAAGAAAAGACGACGTACCAGGGGCAATGTAACCGAGAGTTCCTTCAACGAGAGGAGCAGAGAAATCTCGTTGAACCGAATCAGACTGAATGATTTTAGCCAATCCAAAATCAGCAATCCTTGGTCTCCACTCCTCATCAAGCAAGATATTGCTGGACTTGACGTCACGATGAATCACAGGCCGATCTAACCCATGGTGCAGATACTCCAGCCCTTTAGCAGCTCCTAAAGCTATCGTTTGTCTCACACGCCATCCAATCTCTTGCTCACCACGACGCTCGTGCAACTGTTCCCACAAGCTTCCATTAGGCATAAACTCATACACAAGCAACTTGCTGTCTTCACTCGTTATGCTACACAACAACTTCACAACGTTTATGTGTTTTACATTGCTTAATGTTGCAACTTCCGCCTCGAACTCTCGGTTATTGTTGTTGCTGTTGTTGTCTCTGTCACTTAACATTCCCGTTGAGCTTCTGAAGCTTTCGTTGCAACTTCCTTGTCCCCATACGTGTTTGACGGCTAGTGTTTCGCCGTTTCCTAAGGTTACTCTGTACACGTTTCCGTGACCGCCTCTGCCTATGAGATTCTCTGACTTGATCTCATCGATGATTTCCATTTCATCCAAGTTTATTAACCGGAAAGAGCTCACTACCCAGTCGTTCCTCTCCTTAGCCGTCTGATTTGACCTATCTTTCTTTATCTTGAAGATCACGTAACAGAATAAAAGAGACAGAGCAAATACCGCAGCAAATATGAAACAGATCTCCAATTCTGACAAGTGTCTCACTGTCCCGCTGTCGCCACGGGGTTTTCCAAGCGGACAAGGCTGAAGATATGCGATCTCTGAGCTGCATAGCCCTGAATTTCCTTCAAAGCTTCCGCTTTCGAGTGATTGAGGAACAGAACCGGCCAACTCGTTGTTGGATAAGTCAAGTAAGCTTAGCTTAAGAGACGATAAACCGAAGGGAATCGTTCCTGATAGTTTGTTTCCTGAGAGATTCAGAGAATTCAACAACTGTAAAGATCCAAAACTTTCCGGGATATTACCAGAGAGTGAGTTCCCAGCGAGGTTTAGGTCAGCCAGAGATGTACACAAGCCTAGTGACTCTGGTATAGCACCAGATAGATTATTCTGGTCAAGATAGAGACTCGAAAGCTCCTTAAGTTTTCCGAAAGATTCAGGGACTTGCCCTGAAAACTTGTTCATACGAATATTAACAGACACTAGCGAGTTAGCTCCTGAGATCTGAGACGGTAGAGAACCTGAAAAACGATTCCTGCTCAAATCTAAAGAGCCAAGAGACTTGGCATCACCGAATTCACCAGTGAGATTTCCTTCGAAACGGTTTGAAGCAAGATCAAGAAACTGGAGATTAGGTAAACCCCAGATCCCATAAGGAATCACACCAGAGAGAGAGTTATTGCTCACACGAACACGAATCAGAGTCTTGCATTTTGCATAGCTCTCTGGGAACTGTCCTGTGAATCTGTTCTGTAACATGAGAAGATGCGTCATTGCGCCTTTCTTGCACATACCAGGAGGGATATCACCTTCCAAGAAGTTCTCGGAAACATCGATGTGTTTAAATCCGGTCCAAGATCCGAGTCTGTCCGGAAGCTTCCCTGTGAGCTGGTTTCTGTAAAGAGACAAACCAGCTAACCTCTTGAAATCTCCAAACTCTTTTGGGATCTCACCGGTTAGTCTGTTTTCGAACAATCCAAGAGATACGAGGTTCTTTAAGTACCTGAGCTCTGACAAATCACCTTCTAACGAGTTGTTAGAGGCGTCGAAGTTCCTCAGATTCCTCAAATTTCCAAACCCTGTCGGTAACTTACCGGTCAAGTAATTGCTGTAAATCTCAAGCTGCCTTAGGTTTCTGAGCTGAACTATCCCTTTCGGAATCTCACCGGAGATTTCATTATTGGAGAGCTCAAGGTTTTGTAGAAGAACAAGGCTTTTGATCCCCTCCGGGATCTTTCCGGCGATGCTGCTGTTACTCATGTAAAGCCAATTCAAGGCGGTGAGGTTTAGAATCTCTCCGGGAAATGGATGCGGCTCGAATTGGTTATCTCCGACGCTTAAGAACTTCAATCTCTTCATGTTCTTCAGTGAACTCCACGGGAATTTCCCAGAGATTCCAGAAGCGTTTACGCTCAAAAACTCGAGTAGTCGCAACGAACCAATAGCCGGAAACTCGCCGGAGAAATTGTTGATTCCGAGGTCTAAGTATCTCAGGCGATTACAGTTTCTGAGATTCTTAAGAATCCGGCCACGCAAGGAGTTGTTTCCAAGAAAAAGCTTCTTCAGAAACTTCAAATCGCAGATTGAATCGAAAGGAAGATCGGGACTAGTGTTATCTCCGTTGATCAAACTCCGACTTCCAAGGTTGATTTCGACGACGTTTCCGCCGGAATTGCAGACGATGCCGGCGAATTCACAAGCCGAGTTCCGGTGAGTCCAGGTGGTGAAGACGTTGTCTGATTCTGTTTCACCAAATGCGGATTTCAGTTTGAGAAGATTCTCGACTTCTCTTATATGGTTGAATCTTGATGAAACGATGGGAAGTAGAAAGATGAGGCGAAGGATAAGTAGTCGCCGGAACATTATACTCTTCGCCGGAGGGATAAAAAAAGCGGTGGTGGCTCGTTGTTGTTATTTGATGCAATGGAACAAAGAAACTGTATGCAATTGCAAAGGCGGCTTTGTATTTCTTATATTCAAATTTGGAAAACATTTTGGAAGGTGCCTCTTTGGTTTTTCGTCACTTGTTTATCTTGAAACTAAATCATTTTTTTTTTTATAGAATAATCATAAATTCAACCATATGATTGGTGTTCGGGTCGGGGTATTGGATAATGCAGTACGTAGTTGTGCTAAAACATGCTAGTATAAATGAAAGTATTCGGATGTTGTTAAATTATACTTACGAACATAAAATATATATCCTTAAAATCAAAATAAACCATGCTCACCCTTGTTTTTACTGAAACATTTGTTTGTTGGTCAAGTAAACATTTATTATCATACCATGTTTTGTCTTTAAAAAAAGGCTATTGGAACTTGGGTTGGCTATTCTGTATTGTGCAAAGTTACAGAGTGAAAATTGAGTTGGGAAAAATCGAAATAAAAAAAATGATTTCTTATATGTATAATTGGGGATTCGAACCGAAATTCAAGTCCATGAGACCTGTAAGAAACCGATACTTTAGTTTTTAAAACGTTGACATAGCTATGACTGAATCATTGTAGTCATAGTGAGCGTATATGAACCTTGTCCTCCAACCCATAGTGAAGCCTTCATCTATGACCACCATGGGTTGGTTAATGGTTAACCACATGTATCATATTTGTTGGATACACGCTACATACATTTATTTCGTTCCTATACTCCATTATTTTTTCTATAACCAAAAATTATTTTCATCATTGACTATTAAATAACCATTTGTGGTCATTTTCCAAAATAAGAAAATGTAAGATTTCAAATTTTCAGTCGTTATTCACAGATACGTGTACAAACATTCAAAACCCCAAAAAATAGCAAAATCCAATGAATCCGAAGAATAGAATGTAACGTTGACTGCTTGTCTTTATTATATAGAGAGTATGTTAATACGGTCCTCTTTTTAATTTTGGTAAACATATGACAGCAATTTGTTTTCTGTTACAACTTACAATCCATAAGTTGTTAATTGTTCCAAATTTTGATATATAAATACTCATATTAACTCCTAAGCTTCACCGCATGTAGTCAACTTCTAATGAACGATGTCCTCTTATTAATTTTGGTAAATATATATATGACAGCAATTTGTTTTCTGTTACAATCCATAAGCTGTTAAGTATTCCACATTTTGAAATATAAATACTCCTATAATCTCCTAAGATTCACGACCATCACGTAATCAACTTCCAATGAACAATGTCTCCACTCAAACCCAACATCTTATTTCTCTTTGCAATTACTCTGTCCTATAGGTTAATCGTTCCTTCTTTAGCCGAAGATTGGAAGCAAGAATTCTTAGAGGCCCACAACGAAGCCCGACACGAGTGTTGGGCTGGATCCTTTGGTTTGGGACGATGAAGTGGCTGCTTATGCCACGAGCTATGCAAACCAAAGAATCAGTGATTGTGCCATGGTCCATTCCAATGGACCGTTCGGAGAGAACATTGCGTGGAGTAGTGTAGATATGTCGGCTGAGGATGCTTCGGAGATGTGGATCGACGAGAAACAGTACTACGACTACAATAGCAACACGTGTAATGATCCAAACGGTGGCACGTGTCTACATTACACACAAGTTGTTTGGAGAAACACTCTTCGATTGGGATGTGCTAAAGTCGAATGTAACAGTGGTGGTACTTTTATTACATGCAACTATAATCCTCCGGGTAATTATAATGGCGAGAGACCATACTAGAGAGATTTCTGAGTGATGATATTATAAAATAAAACTATTTTTCTGGTTCATGGGGACAAGAAAAAGGGATAATGAGATAGGAAGAAGTTGTTTCTGTCATTTCTTAGCTGTACAAAAAGATATAAAAATTACAATAATGATGACATCCACCTCTCAAAAATTGGCTGGCTAATTCCTAACGCTACCTTAAAAAAAAAATAGAAAATGCAAAAACATTTTTCGAAAAGAAAAAGAGAAAAATTGTGAGTGGAAGACAACTCATGAATTGGTAAAACGACAAAGCGATACACGTCAAACGACACCAAGCTGGCTTTGCTGTCTCAGCTCTTTCCTTAGCTTATGAGAAAACAGCCTGCAAGCGTCCAAACTCAGATCCACCGCCGCAGCTAACGCCACGTGCGCTGCTGCATCCTCCGTGCATGTCACGTGCGTCACACCCACTTCTACCTCCGGTTTGCTCCGTTTTCCCACTCCTTCCACCGTAGTCGACATCACAAACCCTCTGTTTTGCGCCGCCGCCGACGGATGCTGCGGCAGTAGATACCCGAAATCCGACCCGGATCCTGATCCTGGTCTCGATGCGGGTCTCGACCCGGAACTCGAACCGGATCCGAGATCCCAGCTTCCTTGAGGACTCGTAGTCGGCGTGGAAGCCGCCGTGTTGGTCCCGCCGGTGACATCGATGACGAAACTCCCGCCATTTTTCAAACTGATCGACGACGATGCGGAAACAGCCGTGGCGATTCCGTCTTGGAAGAGCTCGAAACGGTAACCGAGTGTTTCGGAGTATCCGGCATCACGCCATGCCTCTAACCGTCCCCACGGCTTCCAGGTGCAACCGTCGGGTCGGAGGATGAGCCACGCGCCGGGGCTTGATCGTGTCACGCGGTTCGAACCGGGAGATGGCACGAAAGGTGTGACCATGGAGGCCATCGCCACGGGAGAGCCGGAGAGATCATGGACCGTTATCGACCAACCTTTCCTCTCTTTCGACGGTTGTTCCTTTTCCGATTTCATCGACGATATGCAACTTCTCGTTGATATTAACTCGGACATCATCGAAGAACTGCATAATTGAAACGCAAAATCAATTTAGAATCTCAATCAAAGCAAAATCAGTAACAAATCCTAAATTTGGAGAATCCCGAATATCTCTTGCTAAATTAGTAAGTAAAGAATATATCTGAAAAAGGCAATGTTTCTATTTTTTAATCGAAGCTAATTCCAAGTGGAGAAGAAGGTTATACTGACCTGTGAATAAGATTCCGATCACCGGAGTTGGAGTTCCTGGCGCCAAACTTGCAAGTGAAGACGGCCTGTTTCGTATTTCCCTGGACTTGGAAAACCTGAGGGCTGCACTCTGGCTCGCCGTCGAACTGAAATACGAATCTTGGGTCAGGTTCGACCCGTAAGCTGACATGGAGGTCCGGATCGGATCCAGCCTTGCTCCTCGATTTCCCCCCTTTCTTAGACCCCAAAGCAACCCAGCCGTTGTGCGCCAAACACGTTTTCGTCTCCGCCGCTTTCAAATCAAGCGAAACCTCGAATCGACCGAGCAGCTTCTCTCCCGCCATAGCGAGTCCACACGACGCGCCGCTAACGACATCAGCGTCGCTGTATCCGCGTGAGTAAGTCTCGACGGAGAGGACACTCCACTTAGGCTTCTTCAGGGACGCCTCTATCTGAGCCTTGCTGAGACTGAAGCAAGCAGCGACGGTGGAGATGTTACCGGAGCAACGGGTCTCGGATTCAGATTCGGTTCGGAACATAACCGGAACGGAAACGATCTGGCGAGGAAAACTCTTGAATCTGATTTTGCAGTAGCAGTTAGGAGTCGATAAGGAGGAAGGATGGATTCCTGAAACGGACGGTCCGGATGAAGAAGACGAAGACGACGCCGGGAACCTAACCGCCAAGTTTCCGACTATGATCCGTACGAAAGAGCACGGATCCATTGACTTAAGATTGAATTCTCAACGCTTTTGATCGAATTGAGAATAGCGAGCGATAAGCACGCAAAGCAAACACCCACTGGTTTAAGGTTTGAGAGAGAGAGAGGGGTTGAATGAAGAAGATATGAGTATGGAAGAAAAGGAGATGAAGGTATAAAAATGGAAAGAATTGAAAGAGAAACAGGCTGGAAAATAGCTGGGGAATGTATATAAAAATAGTTAATAAACTAGAATTTAAATAAAATAAATAAACTATTTAGTTACAAAACTACAGATTCTGTGGGGTCGAAGCGAAACAGTGTGCTTACTCCTCACCTATCACATGAATGTTTTTTTTACTTTTCAAACGTTCAATAAAAATATGTTACTGTATTTCTATCATTTGTTGATGAAGGTCTTTTAACCAAAAAAAAATTGTTACTTAAAATGTGTAACACTCTTGTTCCAAAAAAAATTTGAAAAGATCGAAAAGACAAATTAGAATCCGCAAAAACAAAAGCTAACAAGTTTGGACTAGAACCATTCTATCTTCAACAGCCACCTCCTTTAACACGTTTCCACAACTTATTTATGATGCTACAGCCATCTCCCTTTTTTGTCTATTTATTGAAGTATACAGAAAATGTATGTATAAGTTTTTGTAGTAATGTTAGCTAGCTGTGTGATTGATGAAGTCGTCAGATAAATTGGTTTATTGGGATTTGTTTCAATGGTGAACAGAAAACAGTTAATCCAAATTTTCATCAAAACATAAATAAGAACCATTACTAGTAAATTATCATATAATATATAAAAGTTGAAGACATGCATTAAGGACATCTACATGAGATTAAAAAACTCGATCTGATTGGTCCACATCAGCATATTCATTAAATAAAAAATATTAAGTATAATTAGGACAGAAAACTTGATTTAATTAGTCCACATCAGCTTTTAAATCAAACCAAAAATTATTAAGTATACTTAAAACATTAAAAGTTAATTTAACAAATTATATACAAAAAAAAAAAAATTCAATCTAATTGATCTAAATCAATATATTTATTAAATCAGAAAATATTAATATGGTTTAAATTTTTAAAAGTTAAATAAATAAATTAACAATTAAAAATACATATATAAAAAGTAACTATTATCAATTATCAATTAAAAAAAATATACAATAACTCGATTCAACAATTAAAACAATGAAAACTGAATAAAAATATAATATAAAACTCTTGAAAGACATGATGGAGAAGGAAAACATGGTTTTGCATGATCATTATAGCTTTCTAACAAAATTAAATGCGAATCAACATGAATCATGGATTATATATGCAGTGGTACACAACATCAATAAAACTTTCAATAAAAAAACTAAATATTTGAACACATAAACCTTAAAAAAAAGAACTATAGAAATTCAATGGAAAACAGAAAATAATATCAAAATTTTAGTAAGATTATATTTCTCTAAATCAAATGTATATGTACGTCAAAGTTGGATAATTCGATAGGTGTCATTGTTATTATTTTACCTAATAGTTTTTAAAATTTTATAAATAAAAATAGAATAAACTACACATTATATATTAAATTCTCTTATATAAATGAATTTTTTTATAAATATATATAATTTTTAAACCAAGATATTAATACAGATTCGCGCGTAGCGCGAGTTATATACCTAGTATAATATATAAAAGTTGATGGCATAATGCATTGAAGGCGTCCACATGGGATTAAAAAACTTGATCTGATTGGTCAACATCAATATATTCATTAAATAAAAAAATGTTAAGTATGATTAGGATGAAAGAACTTGATTTAATTGGTCCACATCAGCTTTTTTATCAAATCAAAAATTATAAAGTATAATTAAAATATTAAAAGTTAATTTAACAAATTATGTCCAACAAAAAAAGTAAATTCAATCTGATTGATCCAAATCAACATATTTATTAAATCAGAAAATGTTAATATGATTTAAAAATTTAAAAGTTAAATAAAAAAATTAACAATTAACAATACATGTATAAAAAAAGTAACCATTATCAATTATCAATTTTAAAAAATCTACAACAACTCGATTTAATAATTAAAATAATGAAAACTGAATAAAAATATAACATAAAACTCTTGGAAGACATGATGGAGAAAGAAAAAATGGTTTTGCATGATCACTACAGCTTTCTAACAAAACTAAATGCGAATCAACATGAATCATGGATTATATATGCAGTGGTACACAACATTAATAAGATTCTCAATAAATAACTAAATATTTGAACACATAAACCTTCAAGAAAAAGAACTATAAAAATTCTATGGAAAACAGAAAATAATATCAAAATCTTAGCAAGATTATATTTATCTAAATCAAATGTATATGTACATCAAAGTTGGATAATTCGATAGATGTCATTGTTATTATTTTACCTAATAGTTTTTTAAAATTTATAAATAAAAATAGGATAAATTACACATTATATATTAAATTCTCTTATATAAATGAAATTTTTTAAAAATATATTATATTTATAATAATTTTAAAGATAATAACTAAAAATAATTAAACCAAAATATTAATACAGATTCGCGCGTAGCACGAGTTATATATCTAGTTACCAGTAAATAAGTACCATTCATATTCATATAGGTTTTGATTCGTAATATATTTTTATATTGTAGAATAGTAAAAAAAAAAGAATTGCGAAATGATTTATCACAAAATTGTGAAATATATCTTTTTAACATAATTATATTTATTTGTATTTATTTAAATAATAAAATATAATTAATTATATAATTAAATAATATAAATGTAACTTTTACAAATAATCTACTTTAAACACACTTTTCATTTAATAAAAGTTTATTTGTATTTTTTTGTAAGTTTAAACGCAATTTTGCATATATTATATTTTGTGTTTTTTTAATTAGTAAAAAAATTGTGTTTTTTTGCTATGTTGCAAGATTTACTAATCAAAACGATAATTTGTACTCGATAGAAATGAGACAATATATATATATATATATATTGATTTTGAACCGATATAGGAAAATAAAAGTATTAAACCAATAAGTGTAGAACACCGTGGACGCAAGAGATTAATCGCTGCCATTGGATCTCAGGTGGGGTCGAATTAGCTACAGTGAACCCTCCCTTACGCAATCTTTATCTGTCGCTCTGTTCACCACTTCGAGATGAGATGAGCTGGCCCCAAAGTGGAGCACGTAGGTATTTAGTTGGCATCCTCTTCAGTGGCTAATAATAATATACAAATACTGATCAATCTAAATTATTTCTTTTATTTTCTAATTGAATAGAGTTAACTGAATATGATAATTAAAAGTAAAATAAAACATTTTCCTACTATTTGTCGTTTCCTTCATTAACTTCTGTCGTTTTTGATCTATTTCCCACACGTATGATACTATGGTTTCGTTATTATATTATTCATGGGCTTGTTACCAACTGTTGAGTGATAATTATTAGAAATTAATTGCAAGTTTGACAGATAGGAACAAAAGAAATACAAGTTAAGTGAGTAAGAAGACCAATCTCTGTACTACAGAGAGGATCGTGAGGAGACTGTCGAGCCGCAGCTGTATGGCCACATAGAGCCAGAGATTATTTTAATTATTTTCTATATTTTATTGAGTATTCAAATGTACCTTGTTATTATATAGTAGTATTATACTAATCCAACTTTATGTTTCTTAATACATCAATGACACATGCGTAGAATTTAAATCATCAGAATCCTAAGAAATGCTAATATTCATGCAAGTTTCCTAGTGTTCAAACACTTTTAAACTAAAAATTATCCCTAAGCTAATACTTCCACTGTTGACAAAGAAAGTATTATACATTATACTTTACTTTACAACAGAACCATCATATTATAATTAATTTATATATTGCAAATTTGTCAATGCCAACAAATTATCTTGTTCATTATAGAAGTTGAAAAAAAGGAGAATTCATTGCATTGCTGAAACATCTGAAATATAAAATAACAACAACAAAACCAAAGAAACAAAAACACTGTGTTTATCAAGCTAGGAAAATAAAAATTGTGTTACGACATCTCAAATGTATAAATAAAACATCACAAAACAAAGTAATTAAAACAAAAACAAAACACTGTGTTGCACAAGCCAAATCTGCAAAGAAACAAAAGTTAATAGTAACCATGCCCAAAGTGACGAGGAGGATGATCTGGATGCTGGTCACATTCAGAAATCTGTTCTTGTTTGAAACAATACTGGTTCTGGTTTTGATTGTATTCTAGAGCGAACCCTTCAGTATTATTACCACTATTCGCAAACGTTGTTGTTGCAGTATGATCAGGAACAACCATGTTGGGATTGTAATTGAATCCGTTCATGCTCGCCATTCTTCGATGGTTAAAAAGATCCAAATCAATGTTGAGTTTACCATCATCGCCAGAGATCCCAGCAGCAGCATTACTAGAACTTCCAATATAGAAGTTGTGACGAGGAACCGTTGCTTGAAGATATTTGGAGGCTTCAGTTGTCAAAGTCTTCCTCAAATTTTCCAAACCAGACTTGAAATCATTGAGTTGAGTTAAGCTGAGTGATTCTATAGGATTTTCCCACCAATTGTCAGGCCTTTTGTTATCTTTTCTCTTTTGCTTCAACTCTTCACCTCTCTTTTTCTCTGCTTCCAATTCAGCGGTCACCTGTAATTTTTTTTTTAAAAATAGTATTTTATGTATCTTTTGATTTAATAATCACACTCACAAAACAAAATTTCAAAAAAGAAAAGTACTGACAAAATAAATAGCCATTATAAGACTTCTATAGTATGTATATAAAGATTTTCATTTGACTAAAATTCAAATCATTTATGTTTTCAACGCGGTTAATCATATTTATGCTAAATTTTTCTTGTCAACTGATTTAAATCGAGTAATAATTTATAACCGTCGAAATAAATCACAAAACCAAGAAATCATGAACACTATTCTAATAAACAAAACATTTTGGAAGTTATTACTTAACTGAAAACTATTAACAAAACATTTTTGAGTATAATTTGATAAATTTATAGAGTTTTTAATATTATAATAATAAAGTAAAAATGTAAAATTTACCTGAGCAAGATGGTTGTTGAGATCTCGCACAACTGCGTTTCTGCGTGCTTCATTAACTTGCAAGTTGTTGTGTTGGTGAGGATGCAGTTGATTAAGATTTAGGAAGCGATCAATTACAAAATCAACATTTGGATGACCAAAAGAAAACACTTTTCGACCAGGTGAAAACACAATAACAACGATTTCTGCACCACAAAGTGTGCAAAGTTCACTAGCTTTTTTAAAAAGACCAGATCTTCTTTTTGAAAAAGTAACTTGAAGGTTATTTTCGTTTTTCATTTTGACCATCTCTATCTTTTGACGACCTTTACTTTTTCTCACCATTTTTATGAATTTTCAAGAAAAATGAAATATGATTTGGTGTTAACAAACAGAAGAATGTCTCTTATTTATAGTTGGATGTTCAATACTAACAGTTAGCATTTTGAGTGGTCTCTGAATAAACTTATTTTTTTTTTAATTTTGACGAGAAAAGAAACAAATTATAATCTTACTATTCTATCAAAATTAGGTATGAGATTTATGATATTTCATTGTAATATTTTTTTATTTCCTCTATTACAATGTATCAAAATCTGTGAAATATTCACGCGTGTTAATTGAAAACGCGTATAATTTTTTCGGATATGTTTTATATACTTATTTTCTATAAAAACAAATTTATATTCAAAGATAATTATGACTGAATACAGAGTTCACTTTTAAACATGACTCCCAAATGAATAAGAAGTCAATCATCTTCAAAAGGGAAATAAACTCTCAAATCACGAATAAATCTCATCAGATATAAAACCGGTCAAATATTGAATTTGTATAGAAACAAAGCGCATAAAAAAAGACAATATCACAGGTGGTAATGGGCTAGCGGATAAGCGCAAAGATTGGTTTTGTTACGCTCCTAGTTCGAATTTCGATAGGAAAATATTTAAATCCGTTCTTATCCCTAGCTAACCCACATAAACTATGGACCTCAACCCAAAAACTTCTTGGATTTCAAAAATATAAAATAAAGCATGTGAAAAAGAAACAAAGCTCAAAATTAGAACTGTTGGGCTTAGTTTTACCACGACCAATGACACCACGACACATGGACACCGAACCACTCTAAACACTGACACAACATGACTAGCTCAGCCAGCTACTCCATAGCGCACTGTTCACAGGCAGTTGGCAAGCTTCCCAAATCATGCATGCACCACCAACCCACCTGCTCTTCTAACACGTTGAACGGATGGGACAAGATGGGGGAGGCCTATATAAAAGAAGAGCCACCCTTAACAAGAAAGGGAGAGGCAGAGAGGAAGAGGAGGGATCCGACCAAAGAGAAAGATGTAGAGATCAAAAGAGATACCTCTTAAGAGCCGAGTAAAAAAAAAAGGAAGAGCCTGGCCGGACACAGCCATGCATGTAATCTTAGGAGAACGCTGAACAGGATAAGCCTCTCTATGACCCAGAACTATGCATTTGTACTCGCTACATCCTATTTCCCGCAGAGAACCCCTTCAAAACACTCATGAGCAGAAAGATGCCCCGATCCCTGGACGAGGCATCTAACCCCAAACTTGTAGAATCACCCCCTGAGTATTTTTTCCTGGTAGAGCATGCATTGGCTTGAGCGTCAGAGAACGTTTAGGAAAGAAATCCTTATTCGGTCCTCCTGAAGGCCCAACTGACTTTTCATGTAGTCTTTGCAGCCTCCTGAGAATTTGTTTCTGGTAGAGCATGCATTGGCTTGAGCGTCAGAGAACCTTTAGGAGAAAAATCCTTATTCGGTCCTCCTGAAGGCCCAACTGACTTTTCATGTAGTCTTTGCAGCCCCTTGAGAATTTGTTTCTGGTAGAGCATGCATTGGCTTGAGCGTCAGAGAACCTTTAGGAGAGAAATCCTTATTCGGTCCTCCTGAAGGCCCAACTGATTTTTCATGTAGTCTTTGCAGCCCCCCCCCCCCCCCCCCTCTACCAGAAATCCTTATTCGGTCCTCCTGAAGGCCCAACTGACTTTTCATGTAGTCTTTGCAGCCCCCTGAGAATTTGTTTCTGGTAGAGCATGCATTGGCTTGAGCGTCAGAGAACCTTTAGGAGAAAAATCCTTATTCGGTCCTCCTGAAGGCCCAACTGACTTTTCATGTAGTCTTTGCAGCCCTCTGAGAATTTGTTTTTGGTAGAGCATGCATTGGCTTGAGCGTCAGAGAACCTTTAGGAGAGAAATCCTTATTCGGTCCTCCTGCAGTTTGCACCCTCAGTTAACCATCATCTGAAACCAGCAGAGCTATTAGGTATTTTCCTCAAATAGTGGCTCAAAAAAAAAGAGTAAAGATAGGAAAGCTCCAAACATATACTTGATCAACTACTATTAAGAACTGCCTCTGATTACAAACATCCACGTGGACGAAGAAATCACAGCTATACAATGTAAATTATATAGAACCTTCTTTATCCAATTATTCAATTTGATAACATAAAAATATTAGTTTATTTAATTGAAGTTCGAGAAATAAACCTCATAAATAGAAAAATTATGTAAGTTGTTTTTTTACTTTGCATGTTTTGCCATTTTAATTTTAACTAGTAATTTTTAATGTTTAATTCTAGTAATTGTTTCTCAATATATTGTTCTCATAGTAATTTTTATAATATTATTACTATTTTCGTTAGGTTTAGGTTAAGCATAGTAGAAAATAGAGAAGTTGTCATAGTCTAGTAGCATAATATAGAGAAATCCACCAAAACTGACAGCATCTCATCTGTGTAGTTCGACGTTCCTTCTCTTTAATGTGGTACTTAATGGAATAATGGACCGGTCGGTCTGTCATGACCCAAAACGTTGCATGCGAAAGAAAGAGGATAACATTTTAGTGCAATCCATCGAGATCTTATTGTAATATAAAATTAATTTATTTGATTTTGTATCCTTACCCTAATCCATGAAAATATATCGAATGGTGTCCGTGAATATCTTCCATGGCCGTGCAACAAGGAATACAGAGATTTGGGTGACAAATTATAGATAATATATTAGTAATAATGTGGAAGGAGAGGGTTTTTGGTATTTCATAATTTTCTTGTTATGTTAAAATGTGTTTCCAGTTTCATCTTCGCTAGTATGAAAAATGAAATATATGTTCTCAAAAACCAGTATAGCCTGTACTCTTTTAAAGTTTAAACACCTGATTTGACAAAGGCAAGTCGAATCAATACAACAATAATATTCAAGTCTCTTCATAGGTTGACACATCAGATTTTATAATCTTTGAGAAACTGACACCTCAACTATTTTATAAGCCAATCAAATCAAAACATTAATACAATTCATCTACTTATTTTAATTTTTAAATTTAAACCTATTAAAAAATAAATACTTTTTTTGTCAATAATTTGTTTTATTTTTTAACAAATCAAAGCCCAAACAATAAATAAAAGCAAATAAAAAAATCTTTGTCATATTGTTTGCCAAATCCAAACCCAAAATAAATAACAGCAAATAAAAAAATTAAATTTTTGTTTTATTTTTTGTCAAACCCAAATCCAAATAATAATTAACAGAAAATAAATAATTTTTTTTAGCTATTTGTTTGTTTGACAGATACATATATGATTGAAAAAATGTATGCTTATCATCAACTATGTTTCCATAACAACAACGCAAAAAATCTTATGTTATAAAAAGCTCACACATCAGCAAAAATTTGATCTAATAAAAACATAACAATAATACATATCATTAACACACTAGAAAAATCAGTTTACTATTTTGCAGACCTATTAAAAAGCCCAAAAGTTTAGAAAAATTGGAAGTCGAAAGCAAATGAGGAGAAGCTCAAACTACCATAACTTGGAGATTCGTATTTCCAGTGGTTACTCATAACAAATTTTCATGGGTTTAGCGGCAATAGGGAATTCTTTAGTTTCAGTAGGAAAATGTGATTTTCAGTTTTGCTAGGAAAGCATAATTTCTTGGTTATGGAGGAAAAAATGAATTTTTGGGTTTGGCGGAAAAATATGAATTTTTGGTTTTGGTGAGAAAACAAAAAAATTGATTTTGACACGAAAACAAAATATCATAGTTTTGACGAGAAAATGCGAGGGAAATGCAAATTTCAATTGACAAAAAATATAATGTCTTGGTTTTGATAAAAATACAAATTTTCGGCTTTTGATGGATATTGTGATTTCTTGGTTTTTAGTTTGATGATTTTTTTGTGTGGGAATTGACGATTTCTCGGTCTTCATGGGAAAATGAATTTTTTGGTCTTGGTGAAAAACTTGGTTTCTCTGTTTTGACGGGAAAACATAAGTTCTCGCAGAAAAATGTGATTTTTTGGTTTTTGCGAAAAAATACAATTTCTCTGTTTTAGTGTGAAAATAAAATTTTAGGTTTGATGAGAAAATGAATGTTTTTGGTTTTGGCGGGAATAGGTGAAATGAAATTTTTTTGTTTTGTCGGAAAGTACGATTTCTCAGTTTTTTTTTTAAAAATAGCAATTTGCTTTATATAATTTCAAAGGAGGATCAATTGGCAATTTAGTTGAGATAACAAATTACATTTACCATTAGCATAAATGTACTTAAAAATGTATTGTTTTATTCTTACATATATATCTATAGATAGTTAGCTAAACAAATTTGATAGTAGATTATAATTTTGAAAAATAAAAAATATTTTAAGGATATATAATGTTTATTCAGATTTAAAACATATAAATATATAACTTAAGATAATAAAAAAATAAATATAATACTCATTTATATTATAAAAATAATTTTATTATATTAAAAATCTATACAAAATTTAGAAATATATCCCGCAGCGTAACGCGGATATATATAGAGCAACGATATATTGATTTTGATGCGATAATCTACGGTTTGGAATTTCGAAGAGGTAAACCATGATTAACCGAGTTAGAACTAAACCAAGTTACCAAAACTGAATTCAAATTATAAGTCAAACTATAAATACAAGTGGACCGAAATTAGTTCATAACCTGAAAATAAATCTGAGTAAAAACATTCCCAAAGATTCATGATTTCGGTTTGATAAGTTTTTTATGGTTTGATTTCAACGAATACATCTCTAAACAGTATTAAACCAAGATATAATTACACTAGACCGATACAAAACTAGGATTTGGGCCACATCTCGTGGGTAGGCAGGCCCGGCTTATGACACAAAGATATTTGTTAATTGTTTTTTAATTTTAATAATATAATAGGTGAAGAGGCGCAGTTCCGCCGAGTTGGCTCTCTGAAACTTGAGTTCAACTTCTTCCCTCGCCGGCGATTTGGTAATTTTCTGCAATTCGCCCTTTTCTTCGCCGGCAAATTTACTTGTTGTTCTTCATTTGGGCATATGTTTAAATTCCGCGATTCACTGAAAATAGTTGAGAAGTGTTTTTGTGCGTTTTCGATTTTTTTTTTTTGCTTGTTTCTGTTGATCTGATTAGGGTTTCTGATAAACGCGTATCTTCTGAGTTGAATTTGATTGGATGAGTTTGTTTTTTAGTCCCTTTTCCGTAGAAATTAGTTGTAATTCCCATTTAATCTGCAAGAGGGAAGTGCTTCAAGCTCCTGATTAATCATTTTTGCTCATTTACTCTCATGTTATGGCCGATTAAGTTACACCTCACGATCAGGAACATATTCGGGTTTGTAAACTCAGAGGATTATAATCTAGTATAAATTGTGAACTTGTATCGAATCACTTTGAATATATGTGAGGCATGGATTTGCTGAAGAGAGGATGGTGATTGATTTCACCGTCTTAGAATCAATTTGCTACGCAGAAGATATGTTTGTAGAGACCTGCTTGAAAATGTCATGCTTATACCATATCGCTGTTGCTTGCATACTGCAAAATACCTCTAAGCTACTTCACGTCATCTCTTCTAATTTTTGTGTGTGGTTGTTACAGGTGTAGTTTTCTTTCCCATTCTTCAACTGAGCCTACAGAGAGAAAAAAAAAACAGCCTCTTTCCATTGCTCTTTTTGGGTGGATTACTGCTAAAAGATGGCCAATAATCCTCAGTATCCTGGCATTCAGGTACGCGGTAGGATTAAACTAGTTAGCGAGTGTACTCCTTCATTTTACTGTCTATCTTGAGGCTGCTGCTTGTGTGGGCTACTCTCTAAATGTCTCAGACCATTGAATTTATAAATATAATGTCTTTTAGGATATTCGTCTTGGGATTATGAGTCTTTATACCGGTTGGTGTTTGATGAGCCTGTTTTAATTCATGTTTCCTAATGGTTTCTCTTTTCATCGCCTGGATAAGAAGTTAAAGTGCGAATTTGTAACACTAGGCATAAGTGTGCACTAGATTTTCTGCTGGTTCGCATCTTTTCTGTTTTAAACTCTTTTCCTCACCTGTTTTTTTCTCATCTGTCCTTACAGGAACATAGCTTTATCTCATTTGTAATTTGTTATTTGATAGTTTAGTCCCTTTATACTAGCTGCCAGGGGATTTAGATATGTTTGTATTCTTGATATTATATTCCTGGATATTATATCTAATTAGCAAAAAAAATTCTTGAAAGACATTTCAGCATCATAACGCTAGCTCCATAGATGTGCCCCGAGGCTTTGCTCCTCCCATGAATTTTCAGGTAACGTTTTTTTTGTCTTCTATGTATGTGAGGACTATTTATTAACTCAACTCATAAACATGTGTTTTGCTTTTTTTTTCTCTTTTTCATTTTCATGCCAGTTTCGTCCTCCCATTCAAGCTCCACGGTCTGAGCAAGTTGCTTGCTCGCCTTCTCAAAATTTTCAATGTGTTGGCAGAGGTGGCACAACGATGAACATTGGATTTCCACCTCAATCTTACGCACCTCAGTTATTACAATCAATGCACCATACGCTTGACAGACCTAGCCAATCAAATCAGGTGCAACATGTGCCACTAGGAACCCCGACTCTGATTTCACGACCAATTGTGCCAGTTGCTTCTGGTACCTCCTTGCCTCAGCCTTACGTACAAACTCCAGATATTAGCATGAACGGCTTTGGTGGCCCTAGGGCAGTCATTTCTTATCCGGTAAGGAAGGAAGAGATTTTTGTATTTATATACACAGAAACTAGATTTTTAGTTCCTAACTTTGTGAACAAAACAGACTGCCGCATCTTACGAAGGTTTGAGGGCACCAACTCAAGCCATTGGACCAAGCAGTCATGGCCAGGCTCAGCAAAGAGAATCTATCAGCCAGACTACTGCGCCTTCTATCATCAATCCGACATTTGAACAACCGAAGGTTGTTACCATGCCTCTTACTATAACCACCTTCTGGACTCTTTTTTGGTTACAACACTAATCTATGTTTACTTTTGCGTTTTGAAGGCAGCTTTTATTCAACCTATACCTTCTCTAGAGGCTCTAACAGATTGGGTTGAGCATACCTCGGCAGATGGAAGGATGTAAGAATTACAAGTCCTGTGACTTTTATTTCTCATTTCATTTTCTTTTGATTGTTTTGCATGCGTTTTCACATACGATGCATGCAAAGCTAAAATATTGACATTCAAAGGAGATAAACTGCTGGCAACTGGAAATCACCCATTAATCTTGTGCAATTCTTGAAAGGATATGTCCAGAACAGATATTTTAGTTTGTGTAGTTGTTTCTATATTTTTACTAATGCTGATGATAATGTTTTTTCATTTATTGGATTTATGGAATTGTTTGTTTGTGCTCTCTGAGGAGTTCTTTTTCCGCACTATTTTAATTGTTTTTAGTCATGTATCTTTGATTCGGTAAAAAACTTGTTTGATAAATTTGCCAGCCCTGTTAAATCTGAAACGTAATGGTATGTGATCTGTTCAGTCATTGCACATGTCTCCTGCTTTCTTTTACACAACAAATTCTATCTAGTGCTTGTTTTTCATGTTGATAATATTTTGCTTGCTTATTGTTCTTCCATCTGGACTTGGATGAAAATATTTTTTTGGTGGCTTATTATCAATCTTAAGTATTAGTGTGAAGCAACCATAATCGTAACATCTTAGATATCCATGTGTGTGGTGTCTGAAAGTCGCAGGATTTATTGGCCGGGTATCCGATTTTGCTTTTCTTTTGGCTACTAAGTATTTGTAGTTTATTGTTTCGTCTCTGTTTCCTGATGATTCATTGTCCTGCGCTGCTGCACCTTGTGCACCCATTGTTATTTTCTAAACTGATGACATTTGTGCTTAACATTTAACTTGTAGAATAAATTTTATTTTAGTTCCATGTTTCCAGGTGTAATGAGTTTATGGTGTATGACGTTGAGTTTTTACTTCTTATTAGATATTTTTTCAACAAGAAGACGAAGAAGTCCACTTGGGAGAAGCCTGTTGAGTTGATGACTCTTTTTGAGGTGAGCTGTTTTGGATCTCATCTGTTTATGGATTTAATTGTAGTCCTTTAAAACCACCTGAAGTCATGTAAGCTTCCCTAGCTTAGAGAAATGAAGTTTCATGAATGATTTCCTCATTTGGATTTCTAAGCTGCCTTGTGCCATGTAATTCCATATACTGCTTACTAGTAGTCATCGCACCTTGGTTTGAGGCGGACATGCTGTCTTATTTTATAGGGATGTGAGCTTATATCTGGAATTTCAAATGGTGCAAGCTCGTGTGATATAGATGCTAGGGTTACATAATTGTGACACATTTGCTCTGCTAATGAAAGTGATTAGTGATATAGTTCATGCCTCATATAGAACTTCTCTTAACTTAGATGAAAGCATATGGAAGGATACCTTTCAATGTCTATTTCTTATAATGTTCAGATATTTTCAGCGAGAACAGTTGTGATTATTCTTCATTGCTAATATCCAATTTTATGTTATGCTCTGGTGAACTGGACCGTTATTCTTTCTCCCTTTGTTCTTTTGTGATCTGAAGCAATGATAACCAAAAATGTATGATTATAGTTAATGTATATACGCTGTTGCAGAGAGCAGATGCAAGAACTGATTGGAAAGAACATTCAAGTCCTGATGGAAGAAAGTGAGTGTGTAACTACAGATATTCTTTTATTAACAGAGAAATGATAAATAAAACAAATCTTCTGTAGCTTCGGATGTTAAATCTCTTTCCAATTTGATATGGTTGCAGATATTACTACAATAAGATTACCAAGCAATCAACATGGACAATGCCTGAGGAGATGAAGGTTTCTCTTAAGACATTACTGTCTCCTCTTCTGATTTTCTGCGTTATAATTTCTCTGTTTTCCAGTGCGTGAATTTTAATCTTCTCGCCAGATGGCTCGTGAACAAGCAGAAAAAGCATCTGTTCAAGGGATTCATGCAGAAGGCATTACTGATGATTCTAAGGTGCCGTCTGGTTCTCATACAGCATCGACTGGTTTACCAAGCCAAACTTCATCTACACTTCCGACCTCTGATGCCAGTGAGAAACTAGTTCTTACTTCTGATTGGAAGCAGGCAGCTTCAGTTCCTGGAAGTTCTTCTCCGGTCGAAAATGTTGATCCTGTTCAGATGATTGCAGATAAAACATCACAATTGTGTGAGGCTGCAGACACTGCTGATCCTTCTGCCACTGCGATGATAACTTCTCCTGCTACATTGTACTAACAGTTGTAGCAGTTTTATCTCACTTTGTCTATATTTTGTTTTAGCTTTGAATCATGTGCTAAATATTTTTCTATTAACCATCTTTGCAGGGTTGACAAGGATACAGTATTAGCCGAGAACAGTGGAGACTCAGTTGACATGTCAGCTAAAAACACAAATGTATCTGAAGCTAAGCCATGAACATATCTTGTTATCATTCATTTCTTTTGTATTCGTTTATCATAATTGTTCATCTGCTCTATAGCAAGGTAGTGGGACTGGACCAAAAGAAATCCAAAATCATGTGGTGGACAGCGAAAGAGTTGACAGTCAATCGGAAGAAAAACAAAGTCATCATGAAAATTTTCCTTATAATAACAAATCGGTATGATTTGTTTTATGTCCATGAGCACATTCTCTGGTCTTATCTGTCTGCATAAATTGATTTTACTTTATAATATACAGGAAGCTGTAGATGTCTTCAAGTCACTTTTGAAATCCGCCAATGTTGGATCTGACTGGACATGGGAACAGGTAGGGCAACCTTTGCTATTAGCTGTGCTTCGAGCATGTCTCTGAAATTTCAGATGGTTGCTGCCACAGGCAATGAGAGAAATAATTAATGACAAAAGGTACGGGGCTCTGAGGACTCTTGGAGAGCGGAAACAAGCCTTCAATGAGGTTACTTTTTTTTTTATCGCATAATCTAAAGATAGCAAAGATATAGTACATTACATTTACATTCTTCTCCAGGTTTTGAACAGTGATGCTTAAGAGATACATCTGATCATAAATCTTAACTGCGTACTTTTGGATTTTTTTTTGCTGGGATTTAGTTCTTAGCTCAAATGAAAAGAGCAGCAGAGGAAGAAAAGGTAGGCAGACAGAAAAAACGATATGAGGATTTTAGAAGGATGTTAGAGGTTAGTTGCAGATCTACTGCTGCATGATATTTCTGCCTTTCTTTTATGTGGCAATTTCAGTCTAGTCCATGCCGATTGTCGTTTATAATACATGATTTTCTAATTAGGAATGCGTGGAGCTTACTCCTTCTACTCGATGGAGGTTTGTTCTCCATAATAGTTCTGATTTCTACTCTTCTTTTTTTTTTCTCTACAAGAATTCCTGTAGTGCGATATATTTCGTGATATAATGCTCCTTTTAAATCCAGTAAGGCTGTGGCCATGTTGGAACACGATGAGCGTTTCAAAGTTGTTGAACGAGAAAAAGACCGCCGTAATATTTTTGAAGATCATGTCAGTGACCTAAAGGAGAAGGTATTACATGGTGTATAGATTAATGACTCTTGTGTTGTTTGAGAAGTAACTGTTTTTTGGTTTCTCCCATCTCTTTTCTGTAAATATGCATGTAATTTTGGCAATAGTTTTCCACTGGAAATTTTTTCATGGAGTGGTCAAGTGAGATTTTTTTAATTCTTATACAAACTTGATCATTCATTTGAAATTTGTGTACATTTGAACTTTATAGAAGCGTGTTCCTTCTCTTGAAATCTGAAACTCATTTACTATGTGTGCCTTTAGCTTTGCGAGGACCAATCATCAAATTGTTTTAATTTGTTCGAAGTGTGGACTTGTAATTCAATTACGTTAATCTAAATGTGGTTATATTTATAAGGAGCGGGTGAAAGCTCTGGAGGATCGCAAGCGAAACATAATTGAATACAGGAGATTTTTGGAATCTTGCAATTTCATCAAGGTGATTGTCCCTCTTTATTCTTATTCCCCACTCTATCTTGTGCTAATTCATTCTGACATAATATTTTCTATCTTCAGCCTAATAGTCAATGGCGCAAAGTTCAGGACCGCTTAGAAGTGGATGAAAGATGTTCACGTCTTGAGAAAATTGATCAGCTAGAAATCTTTCAGGTCATCTCATTGACCAGAAACTATTTTCTAATTCGACACTCGACTAATTTTTACTGTTGTACAGGAGTATCTGCGCGATCTGGAGAGAGAAGAAGAGGAGAGAAAGAAGATACAAAAGGTACTTGGGTACTAGGCCTCTTTTGTATTTTACATCTATTTGTTTGTTTTATTGGGCATTACCATTTTATCTGTCATTCATGACAACAGGAAGAACTAAAAAAGGCAGAGAGAAAGCATCGTGACGAGTTCCGTGGGCTCATAGATGAACATATTGCGACAGGGGAGCTTACTGTCAAAACTAGTTGGCGTGATTATTTAATGAAGGTTAAAATTAAATGTTATGTCACCCAGAATAATTATTTCATTTCAAGTATTGAACTAATGATTTTGATTCAAGTTTTGAACTAATGGTTTTGATACAAAATGGATTCTGCATCTCAGGTCAGAGATTTACCAGTATATACAGCAATTGCGTCTAACTCCTCTGGAGCTAGTCCAAAAGACTTATTTGATGACGCTGTTGAGGATTTGAAACGAAAGGTACTTGATTCTTCTCACTAGTCTTTTTTATTTTCCAAGATATCATGAAAGCCACTGTAATCTTTGACATGATGAGCAAAACTGCTATGTGGTGTCTAGACTAAGCCAGTTATTTGAATTCTTAGGTAGTTCTGGTAGCATCACTTTGCTAGTTTTATGAGTAGTGGTTTTTCTGTTTCTGATTCAGTTTCTTGTTTATTTTTGATTTTTTCCCCTTTCCTGTAATTCTTGAATTAACCATCTGTTACATATTACATGTTTTTGTCTTCACAGTACCAGGAGCTCAAATCTCAGATAAAGGACGTATTGAAGCTTAGAGAGGTAGTTTTTTCTTTTTCTTTTCTGTAAGCACTTATGGAGTTAATAGGTGTTTTGATCTCCAGACTCCAGCATTTATGTTTTATCTCGATTTCTCTCCAGGTAACATTAACCGCGGGATCAACATTTGATGAGTTCAAGGTCACAATTTGTGAAGGTATCCCACCTATTCCTGACGTTAAACTAAAGGTCTGTAGATCTTTTCCTTGACTCTAAATTTTTGACGGTAGTTCCAGACGAGTGAAGATATAATAATGTCTTCTTACTTCTCAATATATAGAATAGGACAAGTAAAGTCACTGTACTGCCAGTATATTCCTTTATTTAAACTTAAATGTCTCATGGTCATTGGATATGACTGCAAACTATTTGTTTTCGTGATGCTTTGCAGTTGGTTTTTGATGATTTGCTGGGAAGGGCAAAGGAGAAGGAAGAGAAGGACGCGAGAAAACAGACAAGGCAGACGGAAAAATTGGTGGATATACTTCGCTCCTTCAAGGTGTTAATCTATTTGGTCTGATCCTATATAGTGTTAAGTGATGGGTTAACTTTTATGTGGTGGTCTTGCTTTCTCCCTGATCATTAGTTTTGGTGCAGGATATAACTGCCTCTTCATCCTGGGAGGAATCAAAGCATCTTGTTGAAGGTAGTGAAAAATGCCGGTACGTTTTTCATTTATTCTAAAATGTAACTCAGACGCCTCTATAACCTGTTTAAGAGCTTATGCTTGCTGGGAGTAGGTTTTGCCATAAATGGTTTCAAAGCATATTTTTTTGACGTGATTTATGGTTCACGCTGTACTCTTTAATTTTTGCCAAATTTTGGTCTTTTGCTTAATGTTAGGACTCCCCTGGGGAGTTTTAACTGCATGCAGTGGATTACCACTCTTGCGTTACTTCAAGTTCTTCCTCGGCCAATCCTTCTTTAATCATAGTAGAATTGGGCCCTTTCTAGCATGGTTATTATAATTGACAATTACCGTTGAATGAATTTTTAAACCTAATTATCTATTATTTTATTGTCTCTGTATATGTAGTATTATAGGAGACGAGAGCTTCCGAAAGCAAACATTCAAGGATTACGTATCACGCCTCAAAGAGCAAGCAAAAAGGATCAAACAGTACAAGAAGGTAATGGTGGATTTGTGTTTATAAATTTTTTTTGCTTGAGTCGAGCAGTTACCAGTTTTGATGGAACTTTTCATAATACTTCGTTTAGGTTATAGATGATTCAACTGTTACATACTGATGGCATGTCCGCAAGCTCACAGAATGTTATATTACTACTGCAGGTACCCGAAGATGTGAGAGAGGAACATGACAATGGGAAGGATAAATACGGAAGAGAGAAGGACAGAGTGCGAGAAAGAGACGGCGAAGATCATCATAAGAAATCTGCCGCTGAGAATTACAATTACGATAATAATGAACCCCATGGAAAAGAACGTAGAAGATTAGGAAGAGATAGCCATAATAGACATCGAGAAAGACATAGTAGTTTGAGGGAAAATGCGACAGACCATTTCAGAGAATCCCATAAACCTGATGGTGGCCATAAGAAATCAAGACAACAGGTACACTTCTTCACTTTGTCACCATGTTCTCAAGGGAGTGACGCACATAAATAGAAGAATAACCGTAGTACACAGTAATTTTTGTTCTTTCTAGGTTTTAATATTCTAGAAAACCATAAAGTTGTGGTATAGTATTATCTGGTATCTCTCTCTCCTTGACGATTAACCTAGTAACTGGACTCAGTAAATGACTGTAGTTTGTTGCAGAAGTGCTTTTACTGAAAATCAGTTAAGAGTTAGGTCCAAAACCATTTGATATAAATTGTTTAGCTACGTAGAGTTAATGTCAAGCTTTTTAAGTTCTAGAGTGTTGTGCAATTGCAGCGAGGTTTGGTGCCGGAAGCTGAAGATGAAGGCAGGGAAAAACGCCGTAGAAAAGAGGAAGAGAGCGAGCAAGCAAAGGAAGAGGAGCTTGAAGATGGAGAATGTGGTAGGTATTGAGAATGTTAATATCTCAATCCGATGTTTGGAGATGTTTAGGCTTTTCCAACTTCCTTGGATTGAGTTTTTTTTTTTTTTTTTTTTTAAATCATTTTTATCATAAAATAGTTTGTTTCAGCCATCATCATGTCTCTAGCTCCAGCTTTAACGTAATGAGAAATGGATTATATAACTTTTTACCTTGTTAAAAAAATATGTTTTGTTACCATTTGTGTTGCATTTTTTATATCTGCGCTTTTGGTTGAAAAGAAATTAAAATGGTTCGACCAATGGCGTTAATTAGGTTCGGTGGTTGTGTAACTTGTGTTATCTCAACATCTTTGGTTTAGTTCTTGCTTGGGATGACTTTTGCAATCTCGGTGCAGAGGTGTACCGTGTCTCAGTCCGTAGCTCTTCAATTAATTATACATATCTTTGGAAATTAAAAATTACATAAAAAATTTGGAAACTAAAAATTTAAAAGTTCGTTAACCATAGCAAAAGTATAACTAAAATGAGAAAAAGCTCACCATTAAAGCTCATGCATTTTAAAAAGATGTCACATGTAGTCCTCCAAAATAGTTAAATTGTTCTTTTATTATTAGTGTTTAATTCCGGAGATTTTGCAGAGATATTTTTTTTTTGTAAGTACATTCCAAATGTTTGGTATATCTAAAGAGATATTATCAGAGAACACTTTTAGTAAAAAATTTTAAATAAAGAGCAATTATCAGACATTATTTTCTTGATTTTGGCATAAAATAAAGAAGATTTCTTAATTTTGCTATAGAATATAGTCAATTTATTGAAGAATCCCCTGGTTGTTCACGCATTTAATCAGTTTAGATTTTGAGTTTTAATCTTAGAATGGTTGCATATCCAGAAAATCAATACATGATTTCTGAATAAATGCATTTAATCTCAAATTAATTATTTTGTGAGATAAATGCATGATATTCTCAAATGGTTTTATTATATACCATTTTGTTATATAATTATTTTGTTATATGTTTTTGTATAGAGTGACATATTCTTGTTTAATAATAATATATCAATATATATATATGTTATTTTTTATTTTTTATTCAAACAATGTGATAGGTATAATTACAAAGTTGAATCGATTTTTTTTAAAAGAAATTATAGTTACCAGAATATAATAGATTGAAAAACAAATTCTTTATGGACAGAATATTTTTAATAAATGCATTTAAGTGATATGATTCTCAAAATATTTTTAATACACATACCATAAATATGTAAATACAACATACTGTATGTTCGTTTACAAATCTTTATATAATATCTGTCTTTATGCAGTTAAAATACATCACAATTTCACGTTTATCATAACAAACAATAAAGACAAACCAAAACAAAAACATGAAAGGTTTCTTTGGAGTTGCTCTGTTTCAATTCCTATTTCTTACGTTATCATTAGCTACTCGTGAAATATTTTTCGTTTCATCAGATTTCGATGTAGCTGAGAAAGTTTCTACTGGTTTGAACAAGATGGAATCTGCACCATTTTCCACATCTCCACCTACCCCATCACTTTCCATAGCTGCTGATACTGAGGCGAAGAGGTTGGTTCCAAGCGGTCCAAGCAATGAAACATCTCCACCTTCGCCAGATGTTAGAGTGAAAAGATTGGTTCCAAGCGGTCCAAACAATGAAACATCTCCACCTTCACCAGATATTGAAGTGAAAAGATTGGTTCCAAGCGGTCCAAACAATGAAACATCCCCACCTTCACCAGATCTTAGAGTGCAGAGATTGGTTCCAAGCGGTCCAAACAATGAAACATCTCCACCTTCACCAGATGTTAGAGTGCAAAGATTGGTTCCAAGCGGTCCAAACAATGAAACATCCCCACCTTCACCAAATCTTAGAGTGCAAAGATTGGTTACAAGCAGTCCAAACAATGAAACATCTCCACCTTCACCAGATCTTAGAGTGCAAAGATTGGTTCCAAACGGTCCAAACAATGAAACATCTCCACCTTCACCAGATATTGAAGTGAAAAGATTGGTGCCAACAGATTTAGTGCCTACTCCATCACTTTCCAAAACCTATGTTGGAGCTAAAAATGGATTTTAACAATCCAACCGATGAAGAATGTCCCAAATTTACCACATTTCCTTTTTCTTATTTGAACTTTTCTTTACTATAATTTCTTTTATTTTTAGTTGGACTTTTGCTTACCTTTTACTCAATAAAAAACTTGGGAATGTAGTCAGATTTTATGTTATTTTTCCTTTAAAACTAGATTACTCAAATTCTCGATTTCCATCTCTATACAGTAGTATTTATGGTTTGAATGCAACCAAATAATTCAAAAGTAACAAATGGCTAACATTATAGCAACTTGTGGTGCTTCGTTTGTAACACAACTATCTAAATCTAGTTCTGCTTAATATAGTGCTTAACATGAGCTCTAGCATCTAAATCTTTTTTTTATTATTAATCTAGAACTCGTTCGTTATGCTTCAGGTTCTTCATCTCTTCTTAATCTCTTAGGCCTATAGGACTACAAAAGGGATCATAAGTATAAATGATTATTTGTCTTAATTAGTAAGGTTTTCAAAAATATTTTGCCAAACTAAACAATTACGGTAAGAGATAATCATTAAACGTAAACTAACTACACATAACGCTAATAAATCCGCTTGTACGTATTACAAAACGATAATTAGTGCTGAAACAACATTTTCTCTTCAGATAGTATTTTATTGATAACGTGCCAGTGACACTTTACTCCTCAAAGAACAATAATAACAACGGATGAAACATATCAAGAACAAGAAGATAATGGTGAATTTGTGTCTATGAAAAAGTTTGCTTGATTCCAGCATTTACTCGGCATTATTTCCGTTGATTATAGTCAAAAGACAAAATCTCAAAACACATCATACCATATCCCTAGATCCTGACTAGTGTTAATCATCTTTTTTTTCGAACATACAGTACACTGGATTCAAATGATCGAACTACATTTTGAATCTTTAATATCCCAATAAGAGATTAAAAAACACAACGTTTATCTATTGACAAGAAATGTACTTCTTTGTTAATTAATCACAAATGTGATATACATGGGCAATTAACAAGTATGGCGCATAAGTGCTAATTAATTAACAGTTACAAAACGAGACCAGTGAACTTTTGATATGGGCGCAAGAAAAAGGGCTTTGTCATTACTGATCATATTTTCATAGGATGGATGTTAAAATAAGATGAACAGCTAATTCTTCAAAATCTTATATGTTTATTGGAGTTGTAATTATTTTTTAAGTCACATTGTGACTTCAGCAACACATCATAACAGAGATGATTACTTGGAAGATAAAATAAAAAACTCATATACTATTGTTTTCCATGTGAATGCAAACGGAGAGAAGAGTATCTTTTATTTCTTATAAATGTAAAAATGTGATTGTTGTTGACAAACACAAATGTGATTACTGATCACATCAGCAGAAAAGTTGACTAAATTAAATGTTAGAAAAAAAAAAAGTCAAAGAAGGACAACTAGTGGCAAATCTCGAAAATATCTCAAATTCAAAGCCTTATTTTCCACATTAAGTTTTATAAAGAACAAACAAAGGCGTGAGGGTGAAGAAGAGCTCGTAGCGTAACGTTCCCACAGTAAAGACTAAAGATCAACACACAAACGGAGAAACATGTTAAAGGAGCTGCAACTACAAAGTCTCCAGGCGAATCTTCTTTCTTAAGTGATTCAGGGTTCTCTTTAGAGAATCTTAGAAGATGGGTTTACAGTTGGAGTTTGAGAGCTTGGTGGAGACGATAAAGTCCAAGGTGGGTTTGCTTAGGAAGAAGAAGAAGAAAACTTACATCAAAATGGATAAAAGCTCCAGCGTTAGGGTTGAGATCCGTCGTAAGAAGACCAGAGATCTCATCGATAAGACCTTGAAAGTCGCTGATCGTCCTGGCAAACGAACTCTTGTCTGAATTTTTTTTATATACTTTCCTCTTTTTTTCTCAGAATTTGCATACGTTTCTATGATTTTTTGGTCTTCGTTCTGATATTGTGGGTGTTGAATTCAGGAGATCGAGATTGTGTGGTAAAATATTAAAATGTATAGTTTCTTGAAAAATAATAATAAGAAAAAAATGATTTGTTTGGTGGACATTCAGTGATAGAATCTTGAATCAGTCATGCTTTAACACGAAGAAAAGTCCGGTTTAGAAAATGCAATATCGGTTTAAGGTAATAACCGATGATGAGGCTTTGTTTGAAAATAGAAAATATAAACTCAGGAATCATCTTCTACACTTGCAAACTGAGAAACAAAAAGATTTAGAGGCAAGTCCACACAGAGAAACTTAACCACATGCAGCTTTAAGAAGCCAATAAGGCTTCGACTTTTGCAATCTGTTCTTCCTCGTTGGCTTTAGTCGGACTCTTGTTCGCCTCCTCGAACAAATCATGGTCCCATTTCTTCTCATCACTTGTTGTCCAGCTTCCATGAAACCCACTTCGACCATTTCTGCTGAATCCGTCTCTATCGACTCGATAACTCTGTCTGCTTCCGGCACCTCTTTCACCATCTCTGTTCCACACTCTGTCTCTCCCTGTGGCTGGTCTCTCATGTCTCTCTGAATGCAAATTGCTCCTCCAGTTTCTCTCGTTCCGTCCGCGACCGTTTAGATTTGTGTCTTTTGCCTCCTCAGTTCTTGTTCTGTCAGTGTCATTCCCAGATTCCTCTGGAATCGTCTTCTTCCTGAAGGCCGGTCTTTTCCTAGAGAAGGTGTCATCACTCTCGTGGAACCTATCATGTCGCCTAGTGCTTTTGTCTTCTTCTTTACGATGCTGTGGCTTGTCATCATCTCGAGCTCCTCGATTACTCTGATCTCTTGAACCTCTCCACGATCCTCTCTCTTCAAACAGTTAAAAGCAAGTAGTATGTTCATAAGACTAACCAACTCTTCTTGTAAGGTATATATCTAAATTATATTCGTATACTTCCTTATGAGTTATGGAATGCAGAACACAGGAAAAAGAAGTCGTTCCAGGGAGAATTACCAGAAGTTGTTCTCCTGTCGTCTTTCCCAGCATTACGACGATCATCATGCTGTTATTAAGACACGCACATGCAAGCCAAAGATTACATATATCTGAGCATTGGAAGGCAATCATATTAAAAGTTTTGGCTCTTTCATGGCCAATGGCAATGCTACTCAAAAGACTTCCAAAAATCTCCCATGACCATAGTAACACATAATAGATGGAAAATGAAGGAAAATATATAGCTGTTCCGAACCTGATGGTGTGGTCTAGAACGAGGTCCTTCGGACAGATGGGGAGCTTGTTTGGTCGTCTCATGATGTCCAGAGTGCTTCTTTTCACCGTCTTTACTCAAACACAGAGCATCAGGTTCCAGTGGTGCAGCGTCTCTGAGAGACTGTCGTGGTCTCTTATCAGTCTCATTACCATCTCTAACATCCAAATCCTTCTTACTCAGAACTCGCTCTGCTTCAGGCTTTCCATCTCTTCTTGATCTCTTGGGGCTAAAGAAGAAGCACAAACGATTATTTGTGGACTAAGGAAGTTTCTTAAGACATCAAAAATTGAGTTGAAGAGTGTACAATTGTGTGTTTCTGTGTTCATACTACAATGGTTTAGACTCTAAACAACTGACCAACTTATGCAAAATTCTCCACTTTTTCGAGAATGAATATGAGCAAACAGAGATATTAGATCACAGGAAGACTTAACATTTGAGCTAAGTTCTTGCTAATTTACAGCAAATCACTCCAACACTAAACACAGCTACACAAACAATCAGCCTGCATTCCGATTCCTCGTTGCTAAAAAACGGAATTTTACTTCTTTCGAAGCTAAAAGACAAAATATAGATACGGCACAAAAGGAGGGAGATGAACATAAGAGTAGGAATCGGAAGAAGAAGAAAAATCAGAGGAGTATAGTGTAAAGAGTAGAGAAGCAGACCTGGATTCTCGATCGAATCTAGAACGTTCTCGTTTAGGGTCTGAATCTCTGCTCTCTCGCCTCGACATGTTTCTCTTCTCCCTCAAAAACCAAAAGAAATCCGACGAGATTGTTTAGGGCTCTTTCCACGCCTGCAACAACATTTTATCTAATTTCCCCGTCAGAACAGCCGACTTCCTCTAAATTATACTTTCCGCCTCATACTTCTTCAAGTATCAGATAAACCCCCATTACAAAACAAACATCATAAATCCCAAATTCCATTGCTAAATTAAACCGAAAAATTCCGGTTGTCTGATCAGCATTTGGCTAACCGATTGAATTAATCCGATAAGATGACAACGGCGGAAAATTAACCCAATTACACGTTTTCAACAGTTTCCACGTTTGCATTAAAACCTAGTCAGAAAGTTCTCTTTCCATCTTTCACTTTTTACAATCAACAAAACAATTTTGTTTGATAGTATGGGCTTCATTTTGGAACAAATTATACTCAAACTGTAAAAACCCAAACACAAACAAAATTTACATGCATATTCAATTTTTGGACAAGATGTGAAAACAGCAAAGACGGAAATGAAATTTTCCATTTTGCTCTGCTTTACCATAAATGAACTATGCAAATAGTGAAGGACACGGATAAAAAAAGGTTTCAAGTGTTAAGATTAAGATCCTCGAGAACCAATAAAAAATAAAATAAAAAACACTCGTTAGTGTACCAAGATTTGTCAAAGAGACATTAATACGTAGATGGATGAGTCATTCAAGCAAGCGCTTGTGCTTGCACCACCCGATGGCACCAACATAGAGGAACACACTTCCGGCAATACCTCCAATCACAGTCCATTTGAATTTTGCTGGACCAGCTACGTCATCCTTGAACAGCTCTATGTTGATGTTCATACCGAATACTCCAGCAACAGCGATAAAGGCGCTCATCACGAGAGTCGCCGTTGTTAGCATCACACCCATTTGCAGAAGATGATTCTGTTTGTCATCTAGCATTATGTTGATGTAGTCCTCTGTGTCATCCACATATTCCCTTAGCTTTTTTTTTTTCCATCAAAACCAACACAGCACAACACATGAAAAATAACATCATCACCTGACAAGAGTTAGATATTTACTACTGTGTCTCTGATAAGCATATCTGGTGTATTACTTACTGTTGATAGTTTGTTCAGTGTACCATCGATCTGCACGAAATATGCTTCCAAAAGCATTTCGAGCTCTTCCACGTCGAATTTATGGGTCATGGCACTCCGGGTTGAGCTTGTATGAGTCCCACGGCTATTTCTACTAAGCGCACTATGAGCACTCATAAGAAGATCATTGGTTCGAAGATAGCTTTCATCTCTGTTAGCATCCAATGCAAATTCGGGAGGAAGCCTGGCAGGTTATGGTAAAAAAGGAAGGTGTTAAACTTAAAAACAGAACCATCAAAGGTGGTATATGTTCAAAGAAGTCTTGGTACTTGCCTGTCATCCTCGTCTCCTTCAGGAAGATCAACCTCGACGGTGTCACTCTCATCCATAGAGGAAGCTGACGAATTCTCAAGTTTCTGAGCTAATTTATCTGTAAGATACATCTCAGCCATATCTTCATCATCGTCCAGCAGATGTTCTAGTTCGTCCCTAACCTAAAACAAGCCAAGAGAAAGAACGGTGACCTCTTTAGGATTTGTCTTAATCATAAAATCAAAGAAGCTATGGATAGTATGAATTCTAACACCTTCTGAACACGTCCAGTTATTGCAACCAGCCTGCTTTTAATCTGTCGAACCCGCTCCAAGTTGAGGGTACTGATCTTGGACGTAAGCTTGTCCAAGGCTGGATGAGCCTCCAACTCCAATCTCACGGCCTACATTAGAGAAGAATGAATGAAGTACCACACAGGAGAACCAAAATGCTCTGTGTATTATAGAGTCTTAACATAAGTATTTTACCTCGCTTTCCAAACTGCTGGATGCAGCTTCAAGGCATGCTTCGAGAGCAACAAACTCGAACGGAAGAACCTTAGATCCATCTTGATTCTCAAAGCTTTGCTTCGCATCCTTCTTGCCTTCACTCCCTTGATCCCCAAAAAATTGTGGCGTTCCAGATTCTCCTTGGCGGGGATCCATCCTCGTATGAGCCTCTCCCTCATAGTTCTCTTCCTCCTTTTACACAACCCATACAAAGAAAGCAGAGAGTGATTAGTAGCTAAAACTTGACAAACATCATCTTCACACAGCAGCATCTTCATATTGCAGAAATTAAAAGAGTCAACTATTTAGCTACAACCCTATCATACACAGTTCCACTATTTAGCTACAACCCTCAATTTCTATCTCCCACAATTGATACTCCACAAGGAGAAAATACGAAAGCAGACTCCTTGTATTAGCTAACAGTGAAATAGAAAAACCCTAGTATCCAAAATCACCTGAGGTTTAGTGGCGTGATGGTGGCACAGAATCCGCCTTTGCAACTCGTCGATGAAAGGTGACACCGAAGGATCCTTGGAATTAAGCAGCAGAACCTCTTGCGCGGTGATGATCGCCTTAATATGCTCCAGATTGATGACAATCGCTCTCTCTCGACCCAGAACAGTAGATGGATACGACAACAGTGGATCGAGAATCCGAAGATCCCGTGCCGGTAATCCCGTTTGCCGCATGATGCTGTGCTTTCCAGCTTCCATCATCTTCGTCTGCCCCGACGAGCAAAGCTCCAACCACGGCCTCACGCCGACGGCTTTCTTCCGGCCACCGGCGGGATAAGTCGGTGTCGGCTGCCCAGCGTTTGGCGTCGCTGGATTCGTATCGAAATCATCGGGTCTAGGGCCTCTCATGGCGGCGTACGATGATGCCGTCAGATATCGAGCAGCTGGATTTGTAAGTCCGATGATCATCGTAACATTTGGGATTTTATAGCAAAAAGCCAAAAAAGGACTAAATCGGTTAAGACAAACCGGTTTCTTTTCCCTCCCAAAATCAATCCGGGTTTTGCTTTACCACCAAAACCAAACCGGCTTTGAGCTTTGAGCTTCTTCTTTCGATTTTTGTTGAATTGCATGTTGCAGCGACGGAGGCTAAGATTTTGGTTTTCAAGTTTAGGGCTTTAAGATCACTGCGGCGACTATAACCGGCGAGGCTTAGCGACGGCGGGATTAGGATTTTGAGTTAAGAACGATGAAGTTGAAATCGGTGTTTGACGCTTCGGAAATCAGATCGGAATTCGAGTCAGCGGGAATAAACCCTAATTTCGTGATTCCCATCTGGAAGTATGTAATTCAGAATCCTGATTGCGTTTGGGATGAGATTCCTTCATTGCCCTCCGCTGCATACACGCTCCTCCATTCCAAGTTCAAGACTCTCACTTCGTCTCTTCACTCCCTCTTCCACTCCTCCGATGGCACCACCTCAAAACTCCTCATCAAGCTCCAGGTTCCTCTCCACTCACTCTGTTTCTTAGTTTGTCATGTAAATATTCTGGGCATGATCTGAATGTCTATACAAATACGATATGAGTCTGTTTTTGACTTTTACGATTGTAAGGAAGATTAGTCTTGTAGATAAAAAAATGTACAAGAAGCAACCATTTTGTAAATCGATTAGAATACATAGGAGATTTGTCTGCTGAAAAGGTTTACTTTTTGATTACAACTCATTGGTTAATACACTCTGAGACCTCGTAATTAGCCTTGGCTTTGTAACCTCTGTGTGAGTTGTCTCTATCATCTGATGAACTCATATTCCATTCTTGTTTTTGTATTTGACATTTAAGAATGGAGCTTTTGTGGAAGCTGTGATAATGCGATACGATACTCGGTTGGGGATGTGTGGAGGGAAACCACGTCCAGGAGGTGTAAGGTCTACATTATGCATTTCATCCCAGGTATTGATTTTTATCACCCAGTGTCATCTTTGTTTCATTGAATCGCTTTTTTGGAGTGAGAAGAGCGTCTGATGTAAAAGTATTTATCAACAGGTTGGCTGCAAAATGGGCTGCACATTCTGTGCAACTGGAAGCATGGGATTCAAAAGCAATTTAACATCTGGAGAAATTGTGGAGCAGCTCGTTCACGCCTCTCGCCTAGCTGATATACGCAACATCGTTTTCATGGTACATTCCCTATTAAATGCATTTCACCCAAAGTTCTTTGTTTTTGCTGCGTTTTCGGTTGTTGTTGTTGTTCATGTGCACTTTTCCCTGTGGTAATGGTAAGGTGTCTTTCTATACTCTCTCTATCGATGAAGTTCATTCCTTGGTTTGCTGATTGTGATCAGGGAATGGGAGAACCGTTAAATAACTACAATGGTGTTGTTGAAGCTGTCCGCGTCATGTTAAAACAGCCTTTTCAGCTTTCACCCAAAAGAATCACCATATCAACTGTAAGTACAGAGAAACCCACCTTGAAACATTTAGAAAACAGAGAAATAGTTACTGAAACTGGTAGTAATTATCCTTTAGATTATGGGATTCCTTAGGGTATCGGTGTGAAACAGAGAAATGATAAACTTCATCCTATAAACCTCTCAATTTGCAGGGCTTTCATGGTTTAGTTGGTTACGCTTAGCATTTGGGACTATAGTAGGATTTACTTTGTGATTTTCTTTTTCTCTCCACTAACCCACATTCTAATTTATTTTGCATATAGGTTGGAGTTATTCATGCGATTAACAAGCTTCACAATGATCTACCAGGTGTAAGTTTGGCGGTATCTCTTCATGCGCCAGTTCAAGAAATTCGCTGTCAGATCATGCCAGCAGCTAGAGCCTTTCCTCTTCAAAAACTTATGGATGCACTTCAAGCTTTCCAGAAAAACAGGTAGCTCAAAATTGCTTCTTTGCTACCAAAATGTTAAAACCATAATTTATTAAAGATCATATAACATTTTGCCACATTTTCCCTGGATTTATAATAGTCAACAGAAGATCTTCATTGAGTACATCATGCTTGATGGAGTAAATGATCAAGAGGAGAACGCTCATCAACTCGGCGAATTGCTAAAGACATTTCAAGTGGTAAAGTCTTCGATTTCTTAATACTACAAGAGTTTCTGGGACTATCTGATGGAAACTCTGTGCCGTTTTTCTTTAACCAGGTGATAAATTTGATACCGTTTAACCCAATCGGATCCACAAGCCAATTCAAGACCAGCACCAAACAAAGCGTCTCAAGCTTCCAGAAAATCCTGAGGGAAACATACAAAATCCGAACCACAATTCGCAAAGAAATGGGTCAGGATATTAGCGGTGCTTGTGGTCAGCTAGTCGTGAATCAACCGGACAGCAAGAGACCTCCTGGAACTGTGGAACCACTTAGAGACATTGAAGACCTGCATCTTTAACTTTAGGACCAGACACTTGAAACAGACATCTGAAATTTCCTATAAAGAGACAAAAAATATATCGTTTTGTATTATCTTCGAAGTTACTCTATAAAACCCTTTTCTTAAACTTCACATTTTGTCCTCATTACTCGGTGGAAAACACTTGGCTCACTGTGATCTGCGAGTGAGAAAAAAAGAGATGGTCCTTGTAAACTTCTGCACATGGAGATTTAACTTCTCTGTTAAAGTATTTCACCAACTCGTGATCGTATGTCATCATTAAGGTTAGAAGTAAATAGTTTAATTATACACTAATTAACTTCTCGTCCCGCCTATAAAAACAACCCCATACTCTGTCTTCTCTTCCATATGAGAGAATAAAAAAAACAGAGAAAGATGAGTGTAAGAAGATTTGTGAATGTCTCTCTGCTAATAGCAGCTCTGGTTTCATCACTGTGCGAGTCTCAGAAGAACTTTGCGTGTGACAGAAATGCCCCTGCGACGGCTAAGTACCGTTTCTGCAACGTCTCGTTGTCGTACGAAGCACGTGCCAAAGATTTGGTCTCACGTCTCTCGCTCAAGGAAAAAGTCCAGCAACTCGTAAACCGCGCCACCGGGGTTCCAAGGCTCGGTGTTCCTCCGTACGAGTGGTGGTCGGAAGCTCTCCACGGCGTCTCCGACGTCGGACCAGGGGTAAACATGTCATGACAAAACATATATGTTCATGAGTTGATTTGTAATGAAACGCTGACGTTTGTCATTTGTGAATTATTTTTGAAGGTGCGTTTCAACGGGACGGTGCCTGGAGCGACGAGTTTCCCGGCGGTGATATTAACGGCGGCGAGTTTTAACACATCGTTGTGGCTAAAAATGGGAGAAGTGGTTTCGACGGAGGCTCGAGCGATGCACAATGTAGGACTCGCTGGCCTCACGTATTGGAGCCCCAACGTTAACGTCTTCAGAGATCCAAGGTGGGGTCGTGGCCAAGAGACGCCAGGAGAGGATCCTCTCGTCGTTTCCACATACGCCGTGAATTACGTTAAGGGCTTACAAGACGTTCACGACGGCGGCGGTCAATCACGGCGGCTTAAGGTGTCGAGCTGCTGTAAGCATTACACTGCTTACGATCTTGATAACTGGAAAGGCATCGATAGATTCCACTTCGACGCCAAGGTAATACATAAATTGTTAAAAAGAAACTCAACGACAAAAGGAATAATCAGCCCTTAAACGAATTCTTGATTTTTTTGGGTGGGAAGGTGACGAAGCAAGACTTGGAAGACACGTATCAGCCGCCATTCAAGAGCTGTGTAGAAGAAGGAGATGTGAGCAGTGTAATGTGTTCCTATAACAGAGTTAATGGCATCCCAACTTGTGCTGACCCTAACCTTCTTCGTGGAGTTATCCGAGGCCAATGGCGTCTCGACGGGTCAGTATTTTGTTTTTTTACCTTTTTACAAGAACAACTTTGAGCTCAAGATCAAAGACTAAAGTTATTCACAAATCGATTCCTTACATCTTTCTTGGTGACAGATACATCGTTTCGGATTGTGATTCCATCGAGGTCTATTTTGACTCCATTCATTATACTAAGACACGTGAAGACGCAGTTGCTCTCGCTCTCAAAGCAGGCAAACATCTTTACATCATGATCTCAAAATCCACTACACTATATATGGAGTTTGATCTTTGAGAAGTAAAATGTATTTTCTTGTTCTTAAACAGGTTTGAACATGAACTGTGGAGATTTTCTTGGCAAGTACACAGAGAATGCTGTGAAGCAAAAGAAATTGAACGGATCAGAGGTTGATGAAGCGCTGATTTACAACTACATCGTTCTCATGCGGCTCGGATTCTTCGATGGCGATCCTAAATCCCTTCCCTTTGGTGAGCTTGGACCGTCTGATGTTTGCAGCAACGATCATCAAATGCTTGCGCTTGAAGCCGCAAAGCAGGGGATCGTGCTGCTTGAAAACAGAGGAGACCTTCCGTTATCAAAAACAGCGGTCAAGAAACTAGCGGTTATAGGGCCAAACGCTAACGCTACAAAGGCAATGATCAGTAACTACGCGGGTTTGCCATGTAAGTACACAAGCCCTTTACAAGGGATGCAAAAGTATGTACCGAGAGGGATTGTTTACGAGCCAGGATGTAAAGACGTCAAGTGCAGTGATCAAACGCTGATCGCAGCAGCGGTCAAAGTGGCTACAGAGGCTGATGTGACGGTTTTAGTGGTTGGCTTGGATCAGACGGTAGAGGCAGAGGGTCTTGACCGGGTTAACCTAACCCTTCCAGGTTATCAAGAAAAGCTGGTGAAAGATGTGACCAACGCTGCAAAGAAAGCTGTTGTTTTGGTCATAATGGCGGCCGGGCCTATTGATATCTCATTTGCCAAGAACCTGAGCAAGATCCGGGCGGTTTTATGGGTCGGATATCCCGGTGAAGCTGGAGGAGAAGCTATAGCTCAAGTCATCTTTGGTGATCACAATCCTTGTAAGGCTCTTCTTACTCAAACCCTAGTTAAACCCTAAGACACAGTTACTTACTTATTTGTGTTTGTTGTTTGCATCAGCTGGGAGACTGCCAGAGACGTGGTACTCACAAGAGTTTGCGGATAAGGTTGCGATGGCTGACATGAACATGAGACCTAACTCGACTTCTGGTTTCCCTGGAAGGTCTTACAGATTCTACACAGGGAAACCGATTTTCAAATTCGGACATGGACTCAGTTACTCTTCTTTCTCTGCTTTCGTTCTCTCAGCTCCATCATTCGTACATATCAAAACCAATCCAATCCTGAAACTTAACACGACAACATCTATCGATATCTCCACGGTTAATTGTCGAGATCTCAAGAGCCGGATCGTCATCGGGGTCAAGAACCACGGGTTAAGGTCTGGGAGCCACGTGGTGCTCGTGTTCTGGTTACCGCCGGAGTCTTCAAAGTCTCTGGTGGGTGGTGGCGTGCCACAGAAGCAACTGGTAGGGTTTGAGAAAGTAGAAGTTGAGAGAAGCATGACAGAGAAAGTTACCGTTGAGTTTGATATCTGCAAGGGACTCAGCCTTGTGGATACTGACGGTAAAAGAAAACTAGTCACTGGACACCACAAGCTTGTTATTGGATCTAACAGTGATCAGCAAATCCTTCATCATCTCAACGTTAGATTGGCTGGAGATTCAACGGTTTCTTTCTAAAGAAACAGAGCCCATAGTTTCTTCTAGTAAAGTTCTCATTGTCAAAAGTCAATACTGTAATGCTATCATCAATTATGACTAAAAGCCTAAATAAAAAATTTGGTATGATACCACAGAACAAAGTCAATACTTATCCAAATATTTGAACCAATGGTAGTCAATTCAATACGAAGACAAATTTGAGTTCTCTTCTCATGCCACATGATATAAATATTGGGTCTCTGTTACGAAATGTTTTATACAGAAACAGAGAATTTTAATGGAGGGGTTGATTCCATATCTGATTCATGCAATCAAGAAAGACCACAAGCCTCAACATCAGATATATCGATCGATCTCTGTAGGATCGAGCCGAAGCTACCGACCATTAATGATGGGACAAGAAGGTTCTTCTTCACTACAGGGATCTTCTCACCGTCGTACTAGATCAGACTACAAGCCACCTGTAATAACGGATATGTTTGATCAGACATCATCAGGTTTTGGTCAAGATTCTGTGAATAAAGCTTCTTCTTCTCAGAATATAGCAGCAAAGCCTGGGGTTGCAGATAGACGATGAGCTTCTGTGTAAGAAAGAAAAAAGATTTTAAGTATGATCTTTCTATGTATTCCCTTAATCAAATTGTAATAAGTCAATGAAATTAATTTGTTCTTTTATTTATTATATTAATCATAAAAGTCTTTTTGAATTTATCCGACTTATTGTATTTTTACAAAAAGAATGGCCAAGAATAGTAAAGAGAACTGTCAAAACAAAGCAATGACTAATAACAGAGGAAACAGAAAACTGATCTGTTGAATGCTTGGCAGTCAAGGAAGAAATGTCCACCTTAGGGCATTTTATCACAAAAGCAGTGAAGGGTAGACAACCCCTTTCTTCATTCTGAACAGAATCAAAACTTAAAAACATTGGATTCCTCCAATCTTTCTTCTTGTCTGTCTCTGTTTCTTCTGATACAAATCTCACAAGAGTCATTTGTTAGTGGCAATGGCGGAATTAAGATCAGGTGTTCTATTGAAGCTTCTAGAGGAAATGGGTGTGGGGAAAGTGAGAAGAGACGTTGATCACAGACCAGTTTTGCTGCAGATAAGAAGCATAATCCCTGTGTTAGCAGCTGGAGGGTTATGGCCAAACAAAGGTTTCTTTTTGAGAATCTCAGATTCAACACATTCAATGTATGTCTCGTTGCCGCGAGAAGAGAACGATCTTGTTCTCTACGACAAGTTACAGATCGGGCAATTGATATTTGTCGAGAAGATTGAATTCGCTTATCCAGTTCCTGTGATCAACGGCGTTAGACCAACTCCAGGTCGAAGGCCTTGCACCGGTGAACCAATCGATCTAATCCCTAAAGAACGGATCGAGAAGTTCTGCGTCGGTACAGAGGAAAGCTACAATCAGCAAGTGAAGAGGCCAAGGAGAACAAGATGGAAGAGTTCAAGCGTCTCTGAGATAAACTTTACGGATTTTGGATTGTCGGAGAACCTTTCGTGTGTGAGGGAGGAAAAGGATGATACAGAGTCCATGGTTTCGAGCTGCTCTTCGTCTTTATCTTCAGCGGCTAGGAGAAGAAGTTGGATTGGTTTGGATGATAATGGAAAGAAAAGAGAATCATTAGATCCATCCATGATTATGAATCATGATCATGATATGAAGTTACATGTTTCAAGAGCTCGAAGTTCTTCTTCTGTAAGTTTTATAGATATGACTTTTTCGCAAGAACATCTCTGCGACATTATCTGACATTTGGTTTCTTCTATCTTTTATTCAGGCTCCGCCTTCTCCTTCTGTGCGAAGCTGTGGAGTGATAGAGGAGAAGTCAAGTAGTATATGTAGAACAAGAAGAAGAGAAGGTGTGGTTTCACCATCTCCAAGATGGGATAAAAGCTTAAGCTATGGAAGTGGAAGTAGTAAGAGTAAGAACCTTCTTCCACCTAAAAGCAATAATACCCTTGAATCCTCAGATTCGACATCCAGGAAAAGAAGCTGGACAGAGACAGAGATTCTCTGGAATTCACTTCCTCCCAAAGTTGTAAATCTCGGAAAGGTAATAATGATTATATAGCTTTTGATCAATCAAAATAATTTGGTTTTTGATCAGTTTGAAAGAAAGTTAATTAGCTAATTTTGTAGGAAATTCTGAGACAGAGAGATAAGGCTATTCGCGCTGCGTCTCAAGCTTTGTTAGAGGCTTCAGCTGCCGAAAGATTGCTCAAATGTCTAAGGTACAGAACTTTAATTGAGACACAAGTAAACATATACCTTATTTCTCAAGCAATTTTCTCACTCGAATGATACATATATATAGGTCATACTCGGAGCTTTCAGAGAGGAGAAACCAAGATCATAATAATCAACAGCCACAAATTGGAGAGTTCTTGAGTTTCCAAGATGAGCTAAGAAAGAGCAGGCTCATCATTCAATCATTATCAACTGAAAAAACAGAGCATTGCAGCTCAAACACAACCAAAACCGGGGATGACAGACGCGAAAAGGCGACTCAATGGATCAAATCAGCTTTAGCTACAGATCTCAAACAGGTTTCTTTATCCGCAAGTAAGCCTACGCAGAGTCCCGCCAAAAACAGTCTTACCTTAATCGCTCAAGAGATTGATAACAATGAAGATACCACAAGCGAAAGAGACTTGGGATCGGGAGAGAGAAAGGAGAGGTTAAGCAGAGCAGCGAGCGAACTCAGAAACTGGGTTAAGGAAGAAGGAAGAAGTTGGTACTTGAGCCGTGTTGAGAAGTATATAGATGAGATCAGTAATGAGACAAAGTGGAGAGATCTGAGCAGTCAACAAGTAGGGGAAACGATGTATCAGATAAAACGAGTGAGTGATTGGTTAGACGCCATTGTTAAAGGAGAAGAGGATGAAGAAGAAGAAGAAATGGTGATGATGACACAGTCTGAAACAGAGGCTTGTGGTAGAGTGAGGAACAAGATTTATAGGATTCTCTTAAAACATGTCTCATCATCGCAGTACTAACCTCATGTCTCACCAACCGCACTTGTACTGAAGGATAAATTTACATTTAGGTTTCATTTTTAGAGCATCCACATTGGTTAAATCTCTAAAATATGGTATCTTAATTATTTAATACAATTAAGTTTTTCATTCGTGCTACACGCAAGTATTTATTATAAATTGTTTAACATATTAGGTATATAACTCGCGCTGCGTGCGAGTCTATATTAATAGTTTGATTTAATTCTTTTTTAGCTACTATCTTTTATATTATTAAAACTATAATATATTTATAGAGATATTTATTTATATAAGAGAATTTAATAAATAATGTGTAATTTTCTCATATTTTTATTTATAAAATTTTGAAAATTATTAGGTAAAATAATAACAATGACACATATCGAATTATCCAACCTTGACGTACATATACATTTAATTTAGAGAAAAAAATTCTTGCTAAGATATTGATATTTTTTCTGTTTACCAAAGAATTCATATAGTTCTTTTTTCTTAAAAGTTTATGTGTTCAAATATATAGTTTTTTTATTGAAAGTCTTATTGATGTTGTGTATCACTGCATATATAATCCATGATTTATGTTGATTCGCATTTAATTTTGTTAGGAAGTTGCAATGATCACACAAAACCATCTCTTCCCTATCCACCATGTCTACTAAGAGTTTTGGCTTATATTTTTATTCAATTTTCATTGATATCTTTTTTTTTACAGTCTAATATTTTATAATTTTGGTTTTCTAACTTGTAGGATCGGTGGTGTGGAATCTTTGCATCACTGTTTTTATCTTTTGTGTGTAATATGCATGCTTTGATTTGAATATTTTATCTATATATATATCAATTTAAGTTTTTGATTTTTTTAAACATAATTTTCTTTCCTATTTGTTACTTAAGCTTTTTTTTATTTTGATTTTACCACCTATAAAAATAAAATCAATGTTTTTCTTTTCTTGTCAATTAATTTAGAAGTTAGAAGTTTCCTAATTTATATTATAAGTTTGAACTTTTATGCTACTGGTTTTTTTTTGTTATTTTAACTCTTTTGAAAACAAATTTCTATTTTATTTTTAAGGATACTATTTTTTGATTTTTTAACATAATTTTCTTTTCTATTTGTTACTTAAATTTTTTATTTAATTTTTCCATTTTTAAAATAAAATTAAGGTTTTAATCATACTTAACATTTTTTGTTTAATAAATATGCTGATGTGAACCAATCAGATCGAGTTTTTTAATCCCATGTGGATGTCCTCAATGCACGATGCCATCAACTTTTATATATTATACTAGGTATATAACTCGCGCTACGCGCGAGTCTGTATTAATATTTTGGTTTATTTTTTTTAGCTACTATCTTTAAAATTATTAAAAATATAATATATTGATAAATTTTCATTTATATAAGAAAAATTAATATATAATATGTAATTTATCCTATTTTTATTAATAAACTTAAAAACATTATTAGGTAAAATAATAACAATGACACCTATCAAATTATCTAACTTTGATGTACAAATATATTTGATTTAGAGAAATATAATTTTGCTAAGATTTTGGTATTATTTTCTGTTTTCCATAGAATTTCCATAGTTCTTTTTTCTTGAAAGTTTATGTGTTCAAATATTTAGTTTTTTTATTGAAAGTCATATTGATGTTGTATACCACTACATATATAATCCATGATTCATGTTGATTCGCATTTAGTTTTGTTAGGAAGCGGTAATGATCATGCAAAACCATTTTTTCCTTCTCCATCATGTCTTCCAAGAGTTTTATGTTATATTTTTATTCAGTTTTCATTATTTAAATTGTTAAAACGAATTATTGTGGATTTTTTTAAATTGATAATGGTTACTTTTTTATACATGTATTGTTAATTGTTAATTTTTTATTTAACTTTTAAGTTTTAAATCCATATTAACATTTTCTGATTTTATAAATATGTTGATTTGGATCAATCAGATTGAATTTACTCTTTTTGTTGGACATAATTTGTTAAATTAATTTTTAATATTTTAATTATATTTAATAATTTTTGGTTTGATTTAAAAGCTGATATGAACTAATTAAATCAACCATCCTAATCATACTTAATATTTTTTTATTTAATGAATATGCTGATGTAGACCAATCATATCGAGTTTTTTAATCTTATGTGGACGCCCTCAATGCACTATGTCATCAACTTTTATATATTATATTATGATGATTTTTTGATTAAATAATTTTTATATTATTTAAAATATAATAGTAATATTTTTTTCTCTCTCTTTTTCTCCAAAAATCTTAACATATATGATCTTCAATGAGAATTTGAATCTCGAACTCTCGAATCCACAGTTCCACAGAATTTCCAACTCGCCAATATCATACAATATTCAATTTCGCAAGGTTGATCCCCACCTCAGGGAGATACTCACCGCCTCTTGCCATCGGTGGCTGGAAGCGTCGAAGATTGATACACACAGTGAATCAGGAAAATTGATGCAATTTAATGCAAATCCACTGCTTAATACTCCGACACTTTACTTGTATAACACAGGAGGTAAATGATTCATCGACGACGATAAGTATTGGGCGCGAACCAAAGATCATCGTAGGGTGGTCTTCGATGAGTTAGAAAGAGACGTCACATTCACATGGGCTTACAAAGAAGTAGGAGGAAGTATTACTTTCGACCGTAGAACCCACTACAATTGGAAATTACATCCAACTTTGGCGGTAGTTTACTACTGAGTTGTAGGAAGAGAACCAGCTTTAAACCTAAACCTAACACCTTCTCGAGGACATCTTTCGGTTTCTTCTACCACCACCAATGAAAATCACGCCGATAATGAAAATCCAGATCGATGACTTTCTTTCACCAAGAAAAAAAGGTGGAAAAAGACTCTAATTCAAATCAAGTCAACACTATTTAGTATCAATTTTTTGGTTAACAGATTTGAATTCAAACAGACCAACAAAATTTTTTTTGATTTTTTTTTTTTGTATGAAATAAGATGTACCATCAAATAAAAAACCTTTGCTTATTTGTTTTTTAGATTGGGTAATCATTCAATTTTTTTTCATTTGAAAAGCCCCTAATTTAAATCAAATTAACACTGTTGAATACCAACCTTTTGGTTAACAGATTTGAATTAAAACAGACCAACAAAATTAATACTTCGACACTTTACATGTACTAAGTATTTACCCACGCTATATTGCGGGAGATTTTGTATATATTGTATTATGATAAAATTATTTTTATAATATAAATAAGTATTATATTTATTTTTAATTAGCTTAAGTTATGTATTAATATGTTTTAAATCTGAATAAATATTATATATCTTTAATTTTTATATTTTTCAAAATTATAATCTACTATCAAATTTGTTTAGCTAACTATCTATAAATATATATGTAAGAATAAAACAATACATTTTTAAGTACCTTCATACTAATGGCAAATGTAAAATATTTTCTCTACTAAATTGCCACTTGATCCTCTTTTGAAATTATATAAAGCAAATTACTATTTAAAAAATATTAATTAATATGATTATTTTGAATTATAAAATTTATTTATTTATCAAATATTTATTATAAACATATGTTTCTAAAACTACCAAACTATAGTCAATAACATTTATATCAAAATCATTGCTATTGCTTTAAAACAAATAGAAAGTTCAAGTTATGTTTGAAATGTTGAAATATCAATAAATTTAGTTGAAGTTAAATAATTCAATTTTGGTTACTATAAACATATTGTAACTTGAAAATTTAGCACATTAAAATTTATATTTTTATAAAACTGAGAAATTGAATTTTCTGACAAAACAAAAAAATTTCATTTTTCCACGAAACTGAGAAATCGTCTATTCCCACCAAAACCAAAAAAAATCATTTCTTGTCAAAGCTGAAATTTTATTTTCCCACCAAAACAGAGAAATCAAGTTTTTTCCACCAAACCAAAAAATCATCTTTCTGCAATAACCAAAATATCATATTTTCCCGTCAAAACCGAAAAAAAAACTATTTTTCCACAAAAACCGCAAAATTGTTGATTTCCGTCAAAACAAAAAAAAATTATTTTTCTGGTCAAACCAAAAATCACGCCTTCCTACCAAAACCAATAAACTACAATTTCCCGCAAAAACCAAAAATTGCATTATCTTTTGAAAAATTGTATTTCCCGGGAAAACTAAGAAATCGCATTTTCCCGCGAAACCCAAAAAATCATATTATATGTCAAAAACTGAAAATTTGTATTTCCCATCAAAACCAAGAGATTGCTTATTCATGCCAAAATCGAGAAATTTTGTTTTCCCATTAAATCGAAAAAATTGCATTTTCTGCCAAAATCATCAAATTACAATTTTCCGTGAAAACTAATAAATCACATTATCCATCAAAAACCAAAAATTTGCATTTCCTATCAAAACTGAGATATCGTCGTCAAAATTAAAAAGTTGCATTTTCCTCGCCTTTTCAAAATCAAAATTTTTTTTCTCACCAAAACCAAAAATTCATATTTTTCCGCCAAACCCGAGAATTCGATTTTTCCGCCATAACCTATAAATTATGTTTTTCTACCAAAACTGAAAATCACATGTTCCTACCAAAACCATGAAATTCTCTATTCCCGCCAAACTCAAGAAAATTTGTTCTCGGTAACCACCAGAAATACGAATCTCTAAGCTGTGGTGGTCTGAGCTTCTCCTCATTTGCTTTCGACTTCTATTTTTTTTGTAAATTTTGGGCTTTTTAATGGGTCTGCAAAATAGTAAACTGATTTTATTAGTGTGTTTATGATATGTATTATTGTTATGTTTTTATTGGTTCAAATTTTTGCTGATGTGTGAGCTTCTTATAACATAACGCTTTTTACGTTGTTGTTATGGAAGCATAGTTGATGATGAGTCTACACTTTCTTTAATCCTATAAGTGTCTATCAAGCAAACACATAATTAAAATTTTTATTTTTTTTTGCTGTTATTTATTATTTGAGTTTTGGTTTGGCAAAAATATAAAACAAATATTTAATATTTTTATTTGTTGTTATTTATTATTAGGATTTTGGGATGGTAAAAAAATAAAATAATTTATTTTTTACTGTTATTTATTATTTGGGCTTGGGTTTGGCAAAAGATAAAATAAAGATTAACAAAAAAAAATTGAGTTTTTAATAGATTTAAGTTAAAAATAATAAAACTTAGTAGATGATGTGTATTAAATAAAATGTTTTGATTGGTTGTTAATTTTATTGATGTGTCAGTTTTTAGTAACTTGAAAAAGCTGAGTTGTCAAGCTATGGAAAAAATTTAGTGTTATTATTGTGTTGATGATACAAGAGGTAAATGATTCATCAACGGCTATAAGGATTGAGCGCGAACTAAGGATCATCGTATTTAGGTTTCCTTTTTAGCTTAGAAAAAGAGAAATATTTAGGTTTCCTTTTTTAGGTTGTGAAATTAGGATTTTTATTATTATGTTTTCTCTATATGATTTGTTTCAGATTTAAGGCCAAACCGAAATTGATATAGGTCCGGTTCAGTGGATGATCACCTGAATTCTAACTGCACCGAACAAAACCGAAATAAAATAAGTAGAAGGAAATGTTTCCCGTAGATGGTCAATTGTTAGAGCGAACGATTTAGCACAAAGGTATGAGGGTATAATGGTCAATTTACGATTTTCTATATCTCCAAAATCTAGTGAGCATCTGTATATATATGAGTCTGGTGAATTCGTCGCTCCCAAATTCCCTAAAATTCTACTCTCTCTCCTCTTCAGATTTCACTCTCTCTCATGTCCAGATTTCTAATCAAATTAGGGTTTTTTTTCCGCTCTGTTTCTAAGTTTTTTTGGGTAAATTCTCGACTTGAATCTGGAGAATTCGTCGCTCCCAAATCTCTAATCGGAGAAATCATGTGTGTAGTTGAAAATCTTTCTATAAAACCAAAAGCCAAAAGGCGGAAGATCGAATCGGCGATCAACGGGTCTTCTTCGTCGTTATCGTCTTCTAGTAGATGTGGTCACTTCAACGTTCGTCACGGAGTCTGCGCCGGCTGCAAATCAACGGTGGACAAAAGCCAAGCCCGATCATTAGATTTCCCATCCAACGGCTTACAGTTAAGCCACGAAGCTATGGTGTTACAGAAGCGCCTTACAACGAATTTCTCTTGTCTCAACGACAAGAAGCTTCACCTCGTCCTTGACTTGGACCACACGCTTATCCACGCCGTTGAGGTTGCGAGGCTCTCCATAGCAGAGAAGTATCTTCTTCTCGAAGAAACCAAAAGGCAGGATCTATGGAAGGTCAAACTCCGAGGACAACGCGTTGAAATTTTGACAAAGGTACGGCCTTTTCTTGGCGATTTCTTGAAAGAAGCCAACGAGTTGTTCACGATGCATATTTACACAATGGGTACTCGCGTTTACGCTGAGTCCATCTTGGAGGTGATCGATCCCGAGAAAACTTATTTCGGGAACAGAGTGGTCACAAGAAACGAGAGTCCTGATAACAGGAAGACGCTTGATTTGGTTTTGGCTGATGAGCGTGGAGTGGTGATTGTGGATGATACTTGTGAAGTTTGGACCCATCACACGAGTAACTTAGTGGAGATTAGTAAATACATGTATTTCAGAATGAACCGATACGAGCCAAAGCCTCACTCTGAGGAGAGGACAGACGAGAGTGAAAGAAGCTACGGTGGATTAGCCGATGTTTTGGAGTTTCTCAAAAAAGTTCACTGTGAATTCTTCAGCGTCAAGGAAGATCAGTTAGAATCACAGGACGTGAGGTTGCTGCTACAAGAGTTAGAAGATTTCGATCGTCTCGACTTATTATCTGTAGACTGATCTCTTTCTGTCATTTAAACAAGAACATTCTGTAGAAACTTCATTTATTATTTTTAAGCATTCAAAGTTTTGTAATCTCCTTCATCTCCAAGAAATTAATAAAAGTAGTTTGTTATTTTAACCTTCTTGTGTTTCATCGTTATTTAGTTAGATCACTTGGACTATCATGTAGTGAGTTCACTTAAGACTCCCTTATTTGCTCAGGCTGAAACCTATTTCTGAGATCATGTTAACATGCTACTTTTTATTCTCAATCTCTAAGAAAAATTATAAAGTAAGACATTTGGGAATTTTTTTTGTATTATCCTGAATCTTGTTACTTTCGAAATATCCTGAATCTTGTTACCTTTTCACTTATAAAGAAACATTTAATTGAATAACAGACACTAGAAACAGAGATCACAATTTGTTTTGAAGTAAAGTGCGTAGTAAGAGCTCCTCCACACAAAAGAAAAAAAAAAAAAAGGAAAAAACAGACAACAGAAAAGGAAAAGGGCATAATGGTCAATTGTTAGCACAAAGTAATTTCCATTTTTCGAGTACTTTCCAAAATCTTTAGCGAGTCTCTCTCTCTCTATATAAATACTAGAGGGACATCACCTGTTCGTGTAAAACCATTACTCGATTTCTAAGATTTTTCTGTTGATGATTCTTCTCTCGACTTGAATTTTGGTGAATTCGCCTACCTCTGATCATGTCTGTAGTTGAAAATTTCTCTCTGGAACGAAAGCCCAAAAGGCAAAACATCGACCCAGAGATCGACAACGAGCTCTCTTCCTCGTCGTCTTCTTCTTCTAGAAGCTGTCGTCACTGGTGCGTTCGTCACGGAGTCTGCGCCGCCTGCAATTCAATGGTTGAGGATCACCACGGCCTAACCTTCAATTATATCTCCGAAGGTTTACAGCTGAGCCACGACGCCGTAGCGTTAACTAAACGCCTACTAACAAAATTATCTTGTCTTTACGAGAAGAAACTACACTTGGTCCTTGACTTGGACCACACGCTCCTCCACACCACTAGGGTTCCACGTCTCACCGAAGCAGAGAAGTATCTCATCGAAGAAGCGGGTTCAAAGACAAGGTTGGATCTACGGAAGGTGAAAGCCCCGAACGATACAGTGGAATGCTTGACAAAGCTACGGCCTTTTGTTCACGGTTTCTTGAAAGAAGCCAGCGAGATGTTCACGATGTATGTTTACACAAAGGGTAATCGCCAATACGCTAACTTCGTTTTGGAGATGATTGATCCCAAGAGAATCTATTTCCGGGAAAGAGTGATAACAAGAGAGGATAGTCCTGATAAGAAGACGCTTGATCTGGTTTTGGCTGATGAGCGTGGAGTGGTGATTGTGGATGATACTCGTGATGTTTGGACCCATCACAAGAGTAACTTAGTGGAGATTAGCAAATACAAGTATTTCAGAACGAACAGACAACATTTCAAGGCTTACTCTGAGGAGAAGACAGACGAGAGTGAAAGCGACGGTGGATTGGCCAATGTGTTGAAGCTACTCAGGGAAGTTCACAGTGGGTTCTTCCGTGTCGAAGAAGAGTTGGAGTCACAGGACGTTAGGTTGCTGCTACAAAAAGTTGACTTCAAACTTGTAAACAAAGAATCTGTTACTCTGTAGAAACTTTCATTATGTAAGAAGTGTCTTATGCATCTTTGCAAAGTTATCTTAATAACAAAACTTTAAAGCATATGAGGTGAATCTTGGTATTTTATATATATAGTAAAATCTCTATAAATTAATAATATTAGGACTCTCAAATTTTATTAATTTATAGAGTTATTAATTAATTGATAAATTATTAATTATTAATTAATCGATAAATTAATAATTATTAATTTATAGAGATATTTTTAGTTTAAATATTTAATATTTATCAAAAAAAATAAAATCAATATTTTCAATATTGTAAAGTTCATTCAAGAAATGTCATAATAATAAATTTAGAAGATAAATCAAACAAATTTTATAAACTTGAAACAACAATATAATCACAGTTCACTATATTATATTATTAATATATATCTAAATATATAATTATTAATTTATATTATTATTGAGATCATATTTTTACATAGAACTTTCAAAAAAAAGTATTATCTTATTATTTTATCGAATTTTGTCAATTTTTATACGAGCCCGACTTGGACCAACAAAAATTACTAATTTATAATAATTATTAATTTATAGAGTATTAATTTATAAAGGTTATACTGTATCCGCGCAAAGTTAACTGAACTACAAAGCATTGTCCTTACCTAACTTTATACAAACAACAAAAAAAAAAATTAGAAGCTCAAACATACGTTAAATCGATTTAATCTTTGGGACACTCTTAGCATAGACAAACCAACTTGTGTTGAGGATGCTTCTGTTTCTTCAACTCTACGCTGCATGATTTGGATATGCTTTGGGTTTAGGTTTCACTTCGATTTCATTAACGCTTCTCACAAAGATGGCATCAGGTTCGTGCCTGTAAAACCTCATACACAGAGCAAGTTAAAGATCATTTTTAACCCAAATACAAAAGATATCTCTACAGCAGTCTTTTTTCGAAGGTGGTTTAGTTATGAAACTCTCGGGTTTGCGTTACAAGACTACTATCCTCAAGTGTGCAGTTTAAGCATTTATTTGTTTATGACTAAGGAACATAAAGATTCATATAGACCGAAAGTTTAGTTTTGTCCTATACGAGAAATGCTATGTGATTATTCCCTATAAGCATTTCAGCCAGAAACAATCCTAAATCATTCTGTGTATGATGATAAAGGGGAAAGATACTTACGATTTCTCCCCCTCTTCATATGTGTAACTCGAAGCAACAGCTAGTAGCTGACCATCTCGACTGAATGAAAGTGCTGAGATACTTGTTGGATACTTTGAATACTGCAAACGAAACAAGGACCAAATAATACACTTCTGTGTCACACTAAGATACACTGAGAAAATGAAAACAATATAGCTCTTGTTATTTACTGAACCTGATATAGCCTCTTCTTGTTGTTACCATCCCAAATATTAACAAAACCATCACAACCTCCGGTTGCAAAGGTGCCATAACTGCAATTAAAAATTTCAGATGATTCAGGGGAAGACTTTCTCAGCATCATAATTTTCTCATTCGTTCTCATGACCAAGCAGAAGTCAACCTTTGTCTAGTTGAATATATAAACACAAAAACAAAACAGTTACAGAAATTTATAAACATAGCATATTAGCATCCAAGAAACTTCGATCTAGCCTTCAAAGCCCATTTGTTCTCTTCATCATTAGAATTTCATCTTCACCATTTCAATCAGTAATTAACACCTTAGACTATAATATGTTGCCTCCTCCCTTCTTTAGTTATACGATAGTATTAACCTACTAGTGTTCTCTGAAAAGTGATTAATCAAGAAAACAGTTGGACTCCTTCTAAAGATAAGAACTCACATCGGATGATATGCAATGGTATTTACGGAGAAAACAATGTCCCTTCCAGCCTCTGATTTCCGATGACATTTGAAAGCATATCTGAGAACAAGTTCAAATCCATCTGTAAGTCAAAGCCAAGGAAAAGAGAAAAGAAAAAAATAACACAGGGAAGAATACTTTTTAGCTTGAGCAGCCTCTGACAGATCGAAAAACTCCATTGCAACCCTTCCTTCAACAGAGCTAAGAGCATACCCTGTAAAAATTTCAATATCAGAAACTCAAAACTGTGGAAGAGGAACTGAGGTTAAAAACCAGAGTGAGAGCAATATGTCAGTCACTAAACCTGTTCCATTAGGATAACTACGAACACATCTCGTCTGGTATTTAAGTGAAGACTCCCTTCTTTGCTCAGGCTGAGACATGTTTCTGAGATCATAGATGTTCACATGTCTTCCTGCTGTTGCCACAACCAAACGGTTCCCAACAAGTGACAGAGAGTAAACACGCTCTGGTTGCAAGTACGTTCCCACCTGAGTTCGATCCGGCCCACTCGCGCCTCTTGGATCCCAGCATTTAACCGTTTTATCCCAAGATCCAGTGATCACTTGCCCTGCAACATCACATCACATAAAACATAATGTGTCCGTATAGCTTTGAAGGCAATAATAAAGAATCAAAATGCTGAAAGCAAATACTTGCAGAGATGTTACTGTTGAACTAGCATCATGAGCATGATGGCCACTCCACCTACCTGTAGCATAAGAATACTCAACACATCGCACTGGAGATTCATGCATCCCCAAGATATCCTCTTTGCCGACATTGAAAACGATCCTGAAGCACATAACCAGAGAGAAAATCTCGTGAATATAAAGAAAAATTACAACGCATTTTTGAGCACTTTCTGCTAAAAGAGTAGAAAAACCGAGATAGAAGCCAACAGAAACTTAGAACTTCTAAGCCAATTTCATGTTAAGCCTCAGTGAAATTATTCGTATGATCTTCACGAGATTGAGATTCTTTTATGCAGGCCTACTTCAAATTTTACTTCTAAACATTAAGTATGAAGTAGAGAAAGGAAAAAGAGACATTACCGTCTGACTTTGTTGTCGGCGCCAACACTGAAGCCAGAGGAATCATCGTGAAAACAGCAATCCAGTACTGGCCCGCCATGTAAGAACTCCCCTTTCAACGAATTGGTGCTCACATCATACAACCTCACAAGCTTCAGATACAGTAAGAGGACTTTAATCACATCAGTCGGAAAACAAGACAAATGTAGAGAAGTTTTGTCTCTAACCTTATCCCATGAAGAAACGAGGAGATGATCACTAGCATTGGAAAATCGGAGATTGGAAATTCCGTCGGAAGGTGGATTCGAGAGTTCGAGATTCATTTTCCCGTTAAAAGATCACAGATGCTAGGGTTTTTGGAGAAAGAGGGAGAGAGAGATGGATATGGAAAAAACCAATGTGAGGGTATTGGATTTAGAAGGTCGATTGAATACGAAGGAATTGAATTAATGATATTATAAATTTATGAATTTTTTAAATGATATTTTATTAATTTTTTAAATATTTGTGTTATTAAATTAAATGTTTTTATAAAAAAAAAATCAAAATTCTTCAAATATTAATGTATTCAGTATACTAATTGTATTAAATATCTGTGTTGTTTGATATTTAGTAAATTTAATGGTAAAATCATTTGAGAAAAAATTAATAGAAAAATACTATTAAAATATAAAGAACCAGATCTAAGCTTTTATATTAGTGATTTGAAAGGAATTCATATTTTCTCATTATTTTCTTCTTTTCTAACATAAAATTTGTTTGTTTACTATAACATGAAAAATAATTAAATATAAAACAGAATTATGACTATTATGTTAATGATATTATAATTATATTTATATCTAGTTGTAATATTTACGTTAAATATCAAATATGTACGTAAAGATTTTACAATCAAATTTTAAATTTAGTCAAATTCTTATCATTTATCGTAATTTTAGTCAAATATATTTTAAAATATATATTTTAAAAACTTTCTACGATATAATATAAAATTAAAAAGGAAAATTGACGATAAATTCTAATTAATATCATAAAATTTTTATAATAAACTTTTTTAATAGATTATCTAAAGCATATATATAACTACATGATACTTCTCAAAGCAAAAAAAAAATTATCATCAAAATAAATATTAATTTTTAAAGTAAAAATGATTTAATTTTTCTTATCATTGATTTTATGTAATTCTTAAGTTTTCCATCCATAACTCATAAAATTTTATAATAGTTGTATTTTTTTGCTTTCAATTTAATCTTTATTTTATATTTAAAATAATATTAGTCGATTTTTTAATATACAAAAATAATTCAAAGTTCATGCAATTTCTTTGCATTCTTTTAAAATCTAGAAAAAAAGTAACATAAGAATTAAGATAAATGCATTAAAATTTCCATCACATCTTTTAAAATACTTCAAAGTCTATTATTTACTTTTTCAATTAAATTATTGAATTCAATACCATTTTTAAAAGTTTTGATTTGATGGTCGAAGACCATTCTACAATAATTTTTGGTTCGCGTCCACTTCATTCAGTTGTTGATAAATCATTTACTTTTTTATGTGTCATAGAGGTGAACTGCAGGGGTATTAAGCGGTGGATTTGTAGAAGATTGTACAACATCGGCGAGTTAGAATTCTGAGGATTCGAGATTCGAATTCAATCTGTCAGAGTTTTTGGAGAAAGAGAGAGAATGATATGAACAAAACAAAGTTTTTTAAAATGAAAAAAATCGAATGATTACCCGATCTTGAAAACAAAATAATATTTTCATTTGATTAAGATAGATTAAACTAAAAGTGAAAACTAACCCAAATTATAACCATACCAAACCGTTTTAGACTAGTTAATTTAGCTTTATCCAGGGTCAGCCCATCAAAGCGGGACCGTTAAATGTTTAAATGGGCTTAATTAACAAGGCCCATATGGTACACATTTTTGCAAGCGAAAGAGAAGAAGATTAGAATCAGAGAAAGCGTCTTAAAATGTCTCTCCTTCGAGGCTGCTTGTCTGTTCATCCAGCCGACACGTGTAAACGTCGCCACGTGACGTCTCCGCCAACGCGTTCGGATAAATCACGTACACTTTTTTTGCTTGTTGGGTATAACAACAAAGTGACATCGTCCTACAAGTGGTAACGGAAATACCACGTGTCCTATTAACACGCACCGTTCTAGTTGCTAGTACGGTACGCCACGCCACACCCAATCTTTTTCCTCACCTACACTCAACTCCACTGAAGTTAGCTCAACATTCTTTTCTTTTCTCTCTTTTTTTTTTTTTTAATTCCAGTGAGTTTATTTCCTTGATTATTCCTACGTGTTTTGGGATATAATCCAAATGTTGATTAGACGAATATTGCCGATTGATTCCTCATAATAAACTGTGAAATTTATTCAGTAATCATTACTTAGTGATTCTTGCCATGAGGGAAGGATTAATAAATACATGAGATCATGCTAATAGATAAATGAAAATAATCTAGAAAAGTTGATAAATCTTGGGAAGATTAGTACCGAAAAAAACGTAATTAGGCGTGTACGCGTTTGGTTTAAGGCGTGCCCCACACGACTCGTGGCGCGTAGCCAACACATAAGTCAGCTCCACGGGAAAGGTATGCTCCATTTTTTTATATTTAATTTAATTTAATTGTTATAGTATTAGCTAAAAATAAAATCTATTTTGGGTTTACCAATTTTATTTTTCTGGTTTTTGACTTTGAACCGGTCTCTCACTCGTGATGACTAATACCTGATTAGGTCAGCCGTGACCAAAACCCGGTATTTTACAGTAAATTCATCAATGCTTTCCTTCGTTTTTTCTTTGGTCAAATTTAGTTTACAATTAAGGATTTTTTTTTTTTCATTTAGAAAACTTTGCTGATTTTTTAAAAAAGATCTTGGGAGATTCTTTTATTTTAAAAAATAATTTTCTGTTATCTCATTCTGGTCATTTGCATAAAAATAAACAAACGAAATAAATATGGAAGTCTTAAAATTTGTGAACAAGATAAAAGGTGTTACAAAATGTGATTTGATCATTTATGATAGTTTCTATCCGATTTGCATATTTGTAGCATCTTTTTTATTTTTATCTGACACATATTCAAGAGGTAACATGTAATGAAATGATGATAAAATCATTGTTGATATTACAGTTTAATTTTTACTTAATAAAAAAAATGGCTTCTATATATCTACTAGTAAAGTATTTTGGCCTCTTAAGTAACAGAGTTTGACAGTAAAACAGATAAAAATTTGACCGACTTAAAACCCATCCGCCACGTGGTTTCCATATAAAAACAGAGTCCAAACAATTTCTTTAGCACTTCACTCCATTCTCTGTCTCTCTCTCTCTCACACCATTTAGCGAAAAGACTCCGAAACTTTCTGATCTAAAACTCGAAGAAGAAGAAGAAAAACTTCACAGAAAGATTCGTTTCTTTATGGCTCTCGAAGCGATGAATTCTCCGTCGTCTTTAACCATCCGGAAAGATCGAATCGAAGCAAGAGAGGATCTGATGAACGACGCCGTCTTTATGGAGCCTTGGCTGAAACGCAAACGCTCTAAACGCCAGCGTTCTCATAGCCCTACTTCGTCGTCTTCCTCGCCGCCTCGATCTCGCCCTAAATCGGAGAATCAGGATCTTACAGAGGAAGAGTATCTCGCTCTCTGTCTCCTCATGCTCGCCAAAGACCAGCCTTCCGATCACCAGCTGCGATTTCGACCGTCACAGTCACAGCCGCCTCAAGAATCGACAAAGCTGTCCTACAAGTGTAGCGTTTGCGGCAAAACCTTTCCTTCCTATCAGGCCTTAGGCGGACACAAAGCCAGTCACCGAATCAAAAATCCAGCCGCAACAGCCACCGATGGTTCGATAGCTCCGACCATCGTCGTTGCCGGAGACAGACATCCCAGTTCCAACGCCATCGCTCCCTCCGGGAAGATTCACGAATGCTCTATTTGCCATAAAGTATTTCCGACGGGTCAAGCTCTCGGCGGTCACAAACGCTGTCACTACGAAGGCAACCTCGGTGGTGGTGGAGGAGGAGGAAGCAAATCAATTAGCCAGAGTGGAAGCGTGAGCGTGTCAAGTACGGTATCGGAAGAACGGAGCCGTGGATTCATCGATCTAAACCTCCCGGCGCTACCGGAGCTCAGCCTTCATCACAACCCAATCGTCGACGAAGAGATTCTGAGTCCTTTGACTGGTAAAAAACCGATTTTGTTGACCGACTATGACCAAGTCATCAACAAAGAAGAAGACCTCTCTCTCAGAATCTAATACTACTACTATACATACAAAATTCTTCTGTAATTTTTCGTTCAAAAAACCTTAGTTTCTTTTTAAATTTTTTCTTTTTGTTACAGTTTCTTCTTCTTAACTCTCGATTGGATATATTCATATATGTTAGGGATTGATACAAAGTTGATTGATGGTTTGATTAAGTCAGAAATTCGTTTTATTGTTTAGCTGCTAATCTCTTTTGAGTTCCACTCTGCATAATTGTATATGACACGTGGCATTCCGTGTGTGAACACAGAGCAGAAATAGTTGGGGAACGAGAATCCTTCCATGTGGATTCGTTGCCTTGATTAGCATTTAGCACATGTATTATTAATTTGGTCCATAAATAACAAATTATTAATACTACTACTATTTATAAGAAACTGTTTATTTATTCTTCGGCATACCTTCCGATATCGTTATTGGCCACAAAAAACTAGAGTGTATAGCCTAGCTTTTTTTATCTATTCGTATTAAATCATAATTAATTGCACATGCGTGTTAGCAATGCATGCATCGTTGTTTAATTTTGTTTTGAATTGATTACGTCGAATCATAAATACAGATGTGACCACGAATCTGTGCATTGGTTTCTTACTTCTTAGGTATGTACTTAAAACTTGTGCACCTTCCTTGGCCACTAAATAGCCTAGTTTAATTTTAGAAATTTCATTTGATAGTGCCATGTTAACCCACTGATTAGTTTTGATTGTTTGATAAATGATAACGGATCAAACAAAAAGTGGTGGTTTTGTTTTGCTATCATACTATTCAAGAGGAGAGACAAAACCAGAAAGATAGAAACTGAATTCGCTCGTGTACGGTTTCACCTAATCGCACTAATGAGAACCAAACACGTTATTAAGTATAAAATCATTTATTAATACGCGTCGCAAATTCAAGAGAACCACATAGGTCCTCGTTGATTCTATGTTTTCCAACATACTTTAATTTTTACCCGATTAAAACATGATTAGTTTAAGTATAAAGCGACTGCCATTTTTGGTTTGGCGGTGCTATGATATTTACACCAAACGAACACCACAAAACTATTTTTTTTATTTCATTGATTGAAAAATTATTTAATTCTCTAAATAAAGTGAACGTTCATACTTCTTAGAAAAGAGAACTCCAAATATGGTATAGAAGAGAAGTGAAGAAATTATGTAAATGACGAGTACACGAGGATTTCAAAATTTATAATTTAGACCTTTTGGAGTAAGAATATTGAAAATACCAATATAAAATCAATTGAAATACATTCCAATCGTGTTCGTTTTGCATATAATCTGTGATGTTCTTGACGTGTTGCCAAATATAATCTTATCCAAACACATCCTTAAAAAGCTTTTGTTTTTTGTTCTTATTATCTACCAAAAAATAAATATTTAAAAATATCCATCACTTGGTCACCAAGTCTCGGTGTCTCTGTTAGTACTTGTACTTAACAAATAAGAATAATGACGTCATTTGTCTGGTTCGTTAAGCACACAAACACTGAAACACGTACTCCAAATGCATCGATGCGGCGGCATTTCAACAAAACGACAAGAGAATTAAAAACGACAAGAAGTCTACACACAAAAAGAATGAACGACGCATGTGCAATGAGAAAACGGCAAGAAATTCAACTCTTAAATAAGTAAATGGAAAGATCTGTACTGTCAAACCATAAGGAGCAGCAACATGACAATCAGTGTGATTAAAATACTTTCTATTTATATACATTTTTTTTTTCCTTTCATTAGAGAGAAGTACAAAAGGCAAAGATCCACTGAAAGCTTTTCTGTATACAGTTAAAGCCAACCTCAAAGGTAACAAACACCACATTCTTTACCTTTCTCTTATGTAATCTCCAAAACAAGAACTTACGTAAAGAAACAGATACCCCCTAAGGAATCTCACCTTGATCCGGTTGAAAACGACAAAGGCGGTTTTTGGGAGGCCGTGGGAATGTAAACGTTGTTAGAAATCATGTTGCGGAGTGGTGTGAGTAAGTCATAAACTCAGAGAAGATCAGTTTCTACAGTTGTGGTGAAGTCAGGTTGGTTTGTATCCGGCTCAGTTGTATTATATGCGTCTTCATGCTACAGTCCGTAACCTAGTAAGAAGCATTGTTTGCTTAATAAAAAATGAGCAGGACGAAAATGCAAAAGGGAAGTGAAAAGCAGAAAGCAGAGAAGCATTCTTTTAACCTGCAAAGCTGCTACTGTTGATAAGAATCCTTGGCATTGTTCGAGCAAAACCTTTTCTTTTGCAGTGATGTTCACCATTTCCGCCATTACTGAATTCATTTCGTCCACCTACCAATGACAGGGAAAAAAAAAGAAGAAGAAAAATGCACTGAGATAAGCGGGAATAAAAGTATGGTCCACAAAACACGAGAAATTCGTACAGAAACCACTCAAAGACAAATTCATTAACAAACAATCGGGTTCTAGTTTCCGACCAGAGCTAAAACTGGCTTTATACCAGTAACCAATACCTGAAACAACTCAGCAGGACTTTCAGGATTGAACGTTTGCATATAAGAATGAACAACAGCGAGTTTCCACTTTCTATCTCATAATAACAATTATGATATTTGTATGCCTTTCTGTATTATCATGAAAACGGCTCCTCTACAGTAGTTGCACATGAAATGTATGTCGCAGCTATACATTGCATTCTAATTTTATATTTTCCAAGCAAAACAGAAAGTCCATATAAGAGGATGACTTCATGAGTCATAATTCACCTTTAACAAAACAAAAACATTAAAATCACTGAGACAAGAAATTTACATTCGATGTCAGCGAGAATATGGAAGACGCCATAGCGTGCATGACATCAACGGCTGAGCTAACAGCATGCTTGAGATCTTGAATATCAACCTAACAACACAGAAAACCATAAAAATGCATTCAGAAAAAGGAATCTAATGTTCATTACCTAAGAGTACAAAATAAACCAAAACAAACATATCAGGGTCATGCAAAGAGGCACTCGCCACAGCTTTTCCAATAATTGGAAGACGAAGCGTGCTGGCTTTCAAGGCTCCAGTTGCTCCTGATAAGGAATTTGAATGATCTCTGTCCAGAAGAGACCATCGTTCTAGATAGCCCATCTGCATTTTCCATATACAATGGTTTCGTTAGCGTCAAAAATGGTTATAGCAAACTCAATGTCACAATTAAACAAAAACAAGTCAAAAAAACTTTTCTTTACACATGTTAAAAGTATTTAACTTTGAAAGTAAACATGATCTTGTGGTTCCAAACGTGTTTCCTTGTCAAAATGCCATGACGGTAAAGGCGCAATTATCATTTGGCAGTAGTTGAACTGTATTCAATTAACATTTCCAGAAGTTCATATTCTTACCTGCTCCTTCAAGATGGAAGCTAGTTTCAGTTTCTGCCTCACCAAGAGCAATTTGATCCGTTTCAAAGTGACTGAATGGCGCAATTCCGAGATTGATACCCATGCATTCCAAAGGTTTCTCTGTCAACAAAAAGGAAAGAAATCGTGCCTTCACTAGAATGTGTCTAGTTTATCGGAACAAATCAATGACTCAACTATCTATCAGATCATCATATCCTAATGATAGCTAGACTTCATAACTTTTACGCTTTATTCTCATCTATATGTTCATCTGTGTCATCACATGCAGCGCAATCTATAACGTAGTAAGGCAAACCACTTAAATCAAACCCTGTACTACGTCCAAGAGGCTAAACATCAGGGATCTCCTCTTACCAGGGAAATATTAAAGTACGCTCTGTTAGTAGATTAACAAATTGTTTCTATTGCATCACCACGAGAGCAGTGCGTATTTTAGAGGCTTAAGCAATTACACTACAGCAGTGGCTAAAAACTGATTACAAACCATGTCTTCCCTAAATCTACTGCAGTGGCTAAAAGCACTTACGACCCCAAGTAGACACACACACATAGCATTAATCCGGTAATGTATAAGAAAGGATACCTCTGCACTCAGTCTCTGCGCCGTGAAAGTGGAGTCAGCCCTCGCATTGGCAAACCGCCACTGCAAATAACGGTTATACATAAGCCTCAACAAGTGGGCATCCATAACGCGATCATCCCCAATTTTCCCCCTCCTAATATCAGCAGAGAAACAAAGAATTGAAGGCAAGGTGCGGTTATAAGCGTTCATTTGTTCAGAAACTCCATTTCTCACTCGAGAAGGACTACTGAGTCCCCTAGCTGGAGTTGGTGTAGCTGTTGCCCAAAGCTTACTTGGTGAAGCAGGGCGAGTAGCGCCCCTTACCGGAGAAGCCATACCACGGGGAGATGATGCCAACGGACTATCACTAGAGAACCGCTTCGACTTTGATGACACGCTACTACTGATTCTCGGACTCGGGCTTGAGCATCGAGGTGAGCCAGGATCCTGCAGCCGCCTTAACCGGTTATTAGTCTCTTGCCAGAATCTAGCAGAAGCCTTGATGCTAGACGCCAAGTTTCTTGTTTTAGAGATCTCACCAGAACCACATTCCTGCGCACCATTAGTGCTACCAGATGAAACACTATCAGTATCTGATGCAGTGAACTCACAGGAAACAGTAGAACCCAATCGTGAGTTTATGCTTGGTCTTGCCTTGCGCTCATCTCTCATTTTCAAAATCCCATCAGCAGAAGAAACCCTAGAACTCTCATCAGTCAGAGAATGCTGCAGCATTGACTTCCCCTCAAACCCAGATCCAAGCTTCATTCGATAATCACTGTCACAATCCACGCTTGTAGAAAGCGAATTCGGTATAGATTCGGAATTTCGCCTCCGGGAAGCGCCTGGCCAGAGTTGCTGGTCCACCGGCTTTGAGTTCTCCCTCTGATCTCGAACCGGCGTCGGCCTCCGCCGCTCGGGAGTTGATTTCCGGTGGGAAATTGGCGTGGTGGTCTCCTTCTTCTTGCTAATCGGAAGCGAAAACGCCTCCCCTTGAAAAGAAACAGATAAACTCCTGGTGGAAGTGATAAGCACCTTGGTGGTCACCGGCATTTCGGTGCCGGTGACAGAAGCTGCCGAAGGCCGACGACGGTCTACAGATTGCGACCGTTTGGGTAGTAAGGAAGGCGTCTTACTCAAATTAGAAGCGGAGCTCGTCGTGCGAGAGAGCAAAGGGGAAGGATATCGCTTACTAGTCTTCAGTATTGCAGACGAAGAAGAAGAAGAAGAGGTCGACGAAGATGTGGTAGTGGTGGTGTTGGAGGAGGTGGAGTGAGAAGGAGAAGGGGATAAGTAGCGTGAGGGGACATTTTTGACTCTAGGTCTCCGTTGTTGTCCGCCATTGTTGGCTGTGGGTTGAGGTTTGTCTTGCCGATCTCGAGGTGGATTCCTAGAGTCAGTGCTGGAGATTGCTGCTTGAGGAATCGCAGCCACCACCATTATCTGACCTACCTGCGAGAGATATCTCGCTCCTCTCCTTCCTCTTCTTCCTCTGATTCCTCTTGTTCTTCGTGATCCTCACAGTGCATTACAGAGATTTGTCAGTTTTCCACACTAAGCCAGAGCAAAATCTTCACAGATTTGGGTGCAAACACGAGAGGTCAAGACGAATTCCACAAGGATTTTGCATTTTTCCTTTGCTTCACAGCGAAGAGAAAGAAGAGAGATGTGAGGTTTCTGGATTTTGGGGTTTTCTGAAATTTTTAGTTTCTTTTTTTTTTTTTTTTCTCCGGAGGTTTGATGAACTTTTTGCGGTCTCATTGTTTTCGATTTTAATTGGCTAAAATGTAAATTCGTTCGCATTGTTTAGCCAATAATCAAATCCCAAAATGTCTTAATTAACGATGATGTGCGGTAAATAATCTCTCGTTTATGCGTTTTGATGATGGTTTAGAATAACAATAGAGTATCAAACGAATGTTTTTAAGTTTTAGTATGATTGATGGCTAGTATGTAATAGTGTGTGTGTCCCAAAATGGGTTAAGGTCTATTATAAAAACCGACAAACCCGTGGTGATGTAGCTTTCATTTTGTAACTAAAATTTGAACAAGCAATTGTACAATCAAAAAGTCTGATTCTTAATTCACACGCAATTAAAAAAAACAAAAAAGACGAATAGATGATGAAGTTCTTAATTTAGTTTTTGTTTTGTGTTCTTGATATTTAAACAATATCACAGATGAAATCTTTGCCTTAAACAAGCGATGCATAATAATGAAATTCACAACAACTACTAAAGGAGCAAATCCTATACGAGATTTTGTTCACAAAAAATCTCTCCACAGCACCGCATTGGCCCCAAATCTCAGTCGTAATCCATATCTCCATCTCAAACGATCTAAATCTTTTTTACACAACACTGCAAGCTGCTCTTCTCTAACAGTAGATAGAATCACAGAATCGCCAACACAAGAGTGAAACGGCAGATGCAGACGCGGTCGTCTAAATCTCTCTCCTGTAAAATCAAAACATATTGTAAAAATCTCTTCAATCTCCACCTTGTCAGCTTTCAATCTTTCATGAGCAACAAAGTAAGTGTCTCCTTTCAAGGTCAGGCCCTGACGACAATGCGGTATATACCAGTCGGGACGTAGATTCCGTACTCAACAGTCCGGTGCCTATTATCACTATGGTCATGGTCGTAACGATCCAAAAACGTCAAGATTTTTTTGGTGGTTGTTGTTGTCTCTGTCGTATCCAAGAGCATACCTCTCTAATGTGCGGAAGTAGCTTCTGTGTTTGAGCCATCTGGTTTGTCCCAAATACGCATTCAATACCAAGAGCTTGCTATCATCGTCTCTCAAGACGCAAAAGAAATGAAAGAGAAGCAAATATATACAATCCATGGCTCAGTACATGTATATGATATGGTCTTATTGAAATTTTCTCTTAGAATAACTATAAGAAATGAAAGAGAAGCAAAAGTTTGACCAAGTCCTGGATTGATGGGGTAGTGTAATAGTGAGAGCCATGTGGCGTTTTTAATTACAAATCTATCGCAATAACGACTCTACGAGACGTCACAATCCAATCTTGAATCTCAGAAGCAAAACTTATTCAGCTTTTTTTTTTTATCTCATCCATTTTAGGATTCATCATCACACACAGAGAGACAGAAGAGAGAGAGAGTCAGAGACCCAGTTTACCCTTCAAGGTTAGATTCTCCACTTGCTTCTTATTGTACCAAACCCATGTCGATCTACAGGTTCTCGAAACAGAAACCCATTGATGAAATTTTGACTTTTTGGTTTCGCAAATCCTCCTGTCTTGTGAACAGGCAGAATCTCTTAAAAGCTCCCTCTGTTTTTTTTTTATAGTTTATTCGGTAAAGGCTTGATTTTTACAGAAGCCCTCCAAATTCTAATCTCAAGCTTTTATCTTTTCGTTTGTTTTTCCAACAGGATCACCGAGAGATCTCTCTCTCTCCCTCTCTCTTGGTAAGACAAATCTATCGGTGGGATTTGTTTTGATGGGTGAAGAGATCATCTCAAACGATGAAGAAAACGGCGCTAAGACAAAGCCAAGCCCGAAGCTGACACTTTTGCCTCTAGTATTTCTGATATTCTATGAAGTCTCCGGTGGCCCTTTTGGTGTGGAGGATTCAGTGAAATCAGGTGGTGGTCCTCTCTTAGCCCTTCTAGGATTCTTAATTTTCCCTCTGATTTGGAGCATCCCCGAGGCTCTCATCACCGCAGAGCTCGCCACAAGCTTCCCGGAGAACGGTGGCTACGTGGTTTGGATCTCTTCAGCGTTTGGTCCGTTTTGGGGATTCCAAGAAGGGTTTTGGAAATGGTTCAGTGGCGTCATGGACAACGCTTTATACCCTGTTCTGTTTCTTGATTACCTGAAACATTCCTTCCCTGTTTTGAATCATGTAGCCGCGCGTGTTCCTACTCTTTTAGGCATCACCTTCTCACTTACGTATTTGAACTACAGAGGATTGCACATTGTTGGATTCTCAGCTGTTCTGCTTGCGGTTTTCTCGCTCTGCCCTTTTGTTGTAATGGCTTTGCTCTCGGTGCCTCGAATCAGCCCCAAGCGTTGGTTGTTTGTGGATTTCCAGAAAGTTAACTGGAGAGGGTACTTCAATACCATGTTTTGGAATCTGAACTATTGGGATAAAGCTAGTACTCTTGCGGGAGAAGTTGATAGCCCTGGGAAGACTTTCCCAAAGGCTTTGTTTGGAGCTGTGATGTTGGTCATGGGGTCATATTTGATTCCGCTCATGGCAGGGACTGGAGCTCTGAGCCCGTCCGCTTCAGGTGAGTGGAGTGATGGGTATTTTGCTGAGGTTGGGATGCTTATTGGAGGAGTTTGGCTCAAGGGATGGATACAAGCTGCTGCTGCAATGTCGAATCTAGGATTGTTTGAAGCCGAGATGAGTAGTGATGCGTTTCAGCTTCTCGGTATGAGCGAGATCGGGATGCTCCCTGCGTTTTTCTCCCAGAGGTCAGTTACTTTAGTCTCTCTCCAAGAGTGTGTTTATGCTCTTGTAGAAATCGGTTTTTTAACGTTTCTTCTGTGTGTGTGTGTGTGTGTGTGTTGCAGGTCCAAGTATGGGACACCAACTATCAGTATCCTGTGCTCAGCTACAGGAGTCATATTTCTGTCGTGGATGAGCTTTCAAGAGATCATAGAGTTTCTGAATTTCTTGTACGCGTTAGGGATGCTTCTTGAGTTCGCAGCTTTTGTCAAACTAAGGATCAAGAAACCGGATCTTCACCGACCTTATAGAGTTCCCTTGAACACCTTTGGAACTTTTATGCTCTGCCTGCCTCCTTCTTTGCTTCTCATTCTTGTGATGTTTTTGGCCACCGCGAAGACGTTTTTCATCAGCGGTGTGATCACTGTCGTCGGGTTCTGCTTGTACCCGTTCTTAGAACTCGTCAAGGAGAAACGATGGGCGAGGTTTATCCCAGAGGAACCAAGACCACTTTTAGGAGTTCCATCAGAGTCACAGCTGGATCAGGAACACGGAGACGGGTCTTCTGCTAGCCTTCTCCCATGATCACCTGCAAGAGACAGATCAAGGAGAACTCTCTGTAATTCTTGCACAGGTCTTAAAACGAGACATGGAAAGCTGTGTATAGTTGTAAGAATGCAGTTTATTTATTTTATGTCTTGTTCAGCTTTTGGTTAAAGAGTACAGAAACAAAACAAAAAAAAACAAGTGTAGCACAGGAAGGTTTCTGAGTCGATTTGTGTAAGAGATTACAGTATGATTATGTATGTATATACATTTAAGTAAACGCACTCAATTTGTTGATCCCCACAATTTTCAAGTCTTATTGGACCACATTTATCATTCTTGGAGAATCAGAAAGAGATTTGTATAATGTATGTGTAGTGAATGTGTTTCATTTAAAACCAGAAGTGGCGACATCACTCATGATCTGCTATGCATGTAGTGAATGTGTTTCGAAACATGAAGCTCAAGTAAAGTGCAAAGGATCTACATGTTACCTTTTCCCGGTTCGTTTTAGCGTTCTGAGGTTGTTATCTCGTGTATGCGGGTGCATAATAGCTTAAGCCTTAAGGTCCTTCTTCTTGGCTCAAATACCTCGTCAAATCAATTCTGAAGCAAACAAGGAGATGAGTAGGAGAGTTACTATAAACTTTTCTGCTAACGGGCTTTGTTCCCTTTTCTATCGGGCTCATCTTTGGGCTTTTGTGATTGGGCTACCTATTGTTAATTTTTTTTCTTTCTAGACTCTGTTTTCAAAGGTAAGATGTCTTTTAACACTTTTGTAGGAATCATAAAATTAAGGCGTTGAAATTTTAAAAAAACCAATCCTAAATACCTTATTCAATATCACTATTTCAAAATATTAAGCTAAGATAGTGTTGAATTACTTGTTACTTATCCACTTATTTTACTATCCCATTAAAAGTTTCATGTTGCTAAGCGTAAATGTGATTGAATTTTGCATAATTCTAAATAATTGATATCTAATAAATAATGAACTGAAATTTATTGTAGTTCCATAATATTCGATTATCTTACAATGTTTTACATTCAAAGAAATATATTTATTTGAAGATAAATTTAATTTATGTGTTATAAGAATTTACTTTGAATCCATATATAATTAATATGTTATAGATGCTACCAAGATTTAAATCTTGACTTTGACAATTAATAGTCAATAAATAACAATGACATAATGTTCAAATGTTGTTCGAAAAATGATCTAAAAAGAATTGTGAGTATTTTTGGTAGCACTTGAATCTACTAATACCAATATGTTATGTAAAACTTTTGAAAAAAAAAACCTCAAAAAATCCATTTTTTGTTTAAGAAAACAACTTTAAATTAGGGGCTTTTTAAATGAAGAAAATCTAATGATTACCCAATCTAAAAACAAAATAATATTTTCATTTGATTAAGATAAATTAAACTAAATTGAAGATCATAGATGTTAAAGTTTTTGGAGAGAGAGCAAGAAAGACAGGAGGATATAGAAAAAAATAAAGGTTTTTGATTTGATGATACATTTTATTTCATATAAAAAAATCAAAATTAATTATATTGGTCTATTTGAATTCAAATCTGTTAACCAAAAAGTTGATACTAAACAATGTTGACTTGATTTGAATTAGGGGTTTCTTTTCACTTATTTGGTACTGAATTATTTTCGTTGGTGGTGGTGGAAGAAGCCGAAAGATGTCCTAAATGAGGTATTAGGTTTAGGTTTTGAGCCGGTTCTCCTCCTACAAATCGGTAATAAACCACTGCCAACGTTGGATGTAACTCGCGATTGTAGTGCGTTCTACGGTTGAATGTAATACCTCATCCTACCTCTTTGTAAGTCCGTATGAATATCACATCTCCTTCCAACTCATCTAAGACCACTCTACGATGATCTTTGGTTTGCACCCAATTCTTATCGCCGTCGATAAATCTTTTACCTCATGTGTCATATATGTATAAAAGTGCGGGAGTATTAAGCGGTGGATTAACTATTTATTAACTATTAATAAAAAAAATCTGCATATAATTATGTTAGTCACAACAAACGTTTATTGGATTGTATCTTGTATGGATACATTGAAATTGGGGATTTGAACTGTTGAAATTTTCATATATCTAAATAGTAGTTGATAATTGAAAATGTATCATATTATAGTGCATACTAGTTTTAAATTAATTATGTTTTAGCAGTAATGAATAGATCTTATTAAAACTCACCCAGTAACACTTTTATGTTTTTGCTTATTCGATTATGTTACTTGAATCATAATCCTTTTATTTTTAGCACTTGAGAGGTTCTAAATTAAAGCACGGTGTTAAAGTAATGTCACATCGAAATGAGAAAAATAGGGAAACGAGGATAAGAATTTGTTTTTTCAGATTCTCACCTGAGGTTGAGAGGTTCTTTACACCAATTATAACAAGGCATCTTAATAATGCTTCTTCTTACTATAGTTTTGGACTAAAGAAAACATCATGTCGTTTTGATCTTTCTTACAAACATATGTGCAGCAAAAGAATTCAATTTTAGCCACCAATGTGGTGGATCAAACTATTCCTTCAGTTTTTGTTGGGTGTGCTCAGTTTATAGATAAACCTCTCGAAATGTTTCGAAGTCATTCGATAGAGGTTGTGTAGCCGAGTGTAATTGGTCTTTTATAATTATAGGTAAAGATCTCATTATAATTTCATGCTTTTTCAAAACATGCGTATCTTTGTTAAAGATTGTAAGTTATAACAACCAATTACGTCGAAATCAATTTTGCGCGCGTTTTTGTTTGCAACTTTTTTACTTCTTACTAAAAAAGAATAGACTAATAATCGTAATCATCGATAACGTGTAAATGTGTCATTGGTTAGTAATTTGTTGGTATTCTAGTTATATCACTTTTTTTGTTCTGCATTTTCTTATAGTTCATGTATTCATTTTTAAAATATATTTTGTAAAAAAAAAAAAAGTGAATATAAACCGAAACTAATAGCATACTGCATACGGAAACATACTGGGTCCAACTTTATTATAATTGGGATGATAAAAATTCCTAAGACATTAATACGGACCCAAAAAAATAACAGAATTAATTAGCTCAACGTATATATATATGATGTATCCATGTTCCTAGAAAATATATGATCTACAACATGCGTATATTTGTTAAAAATTACAACAACCAATTAGGTCATATAATTAAGAGATCAATGTTGAGGTTGTTTTATCAGAACAGTTTTTACTAAAAAAGACAAAAGAAACGACTAGTTGGAATTTATTTGTCTATCGTAAAATAGTCTCATCTTTTTTGAATAATTTTCTTCCATTGGATTTCGCATTTTTCCTTATGAAGCTACACAATGTGCATCATGGAATATATGCTAAGTTTGCAACCAAATTGAGTAGTTTTATATTTTAGTTAATTAAATGCATGCAAATGTTAAAGTTCGTAAATTTCGGAAAAGCTTCCATTTTGAAACTTTTGGAAGTAAAGTAGAGAATTAAACGAAAGGAAAAAAACTAATGTAATAGCATTACATTTGCAGAAAACACATGAGCGTATAGAACTAGAAGAAGAAGAAAACTATAAAATATCCGAATTTATTGTCTAGCAATTAGCATAACGATCCATGCGTGCAACACTACAAGTATATAAGTACATTCTACAACTTGTTTATTTTTGTTTTTCTTTGCAAGCAAAACCTTGCTACACTTGATTTAATATGAAATTTTCCTATAGCACTTTTGAAGTTTGTATTATTGTTTTTATCTCTTTGTTTGTTTTTATATTATTAAGATTTCTTTATAAAAGCATTACATCTACAAGAGACTACAACTATACACGTGAACGTGATGTTGAAATGTAATACTTCGTGCAATATTATCACCATCCGATATCATAATCGGATTAAATTCGGAACTTCTTTACAACCAACGGCACTCATTAATCGACATTAATTTATTTAAATAAACCCATAACACTTTTGTACTTTAATATTCTCGAAGACTTTTATTTCACGTCAAATTCTCTACCTTTTCTTCTTCATCTTTAAACAATATTTTTAATACTGAAGTAGAAATTAAAGATCTATAGACGATCATATTTAAAAAGACATCAAGGACGATACACGATTCAAGCTGTAACATATCGAAATTCACATACTGACATACATATACATCCATAATCTGCAACTAATTAATACCCTTGCATATTCTGGAATCTGAAACCCAAATCTTCTATCGATGGAAGACCGCACACTGAATTCTTCCAAACTATTAAGTAATTAACAAGTGTTCAATAAATAAAGAACCCACCATATTAATTATCCTCTTCTTTTTTCTCCACTCTCCAGATTCTCTACCCGTACAATTTCTCGTGTGTATATATAGAAGAGGCCAAAGAGGTTTTAGAACAATGCAAGCTCAGGTTATAGATTTATTAGAAATTTACTAATATCAAATTCAAATATAGGTAAATACATTCATTCCATATAACATAATAAAGTCTTAAAAAAACTAATTCGTGTCTTTGTTCTGATTACATTCGTGGGTACAGTTGATGGGAAGAACTGGGATCGCTATAGCACCAAAGCTGCTGTTAAGGTTAAAGCCACAAGTTTTCTCATCATTCTTCCGTTATATTCACTAATCAAATGCAATTAACCACGAGATACATCATTAAGAAATAGTGAAAAGAACCCACACGTGTCTTCCTGTTAATTGCTTAATAACTAAACAAGGATTTTTTTTTTCATATTTTTTATTTTTTAGTTAATTAAAATTTACTGAAAAAAACAAAAAAGAAGTTAATATAGTTTTATAATGATGATTTAGGAGGTGGAAGCAAGTTCAAGGACGTGCAGGGATCAGCAGCAAAGCTGCAAAACCAAATCCGATGGTCGTGGACTACTCTAAAGATATTTCCGAACATAGAGTGGAACTCAACTGTGGTGGCGAAGAGGAGTGGGTACCACACCCACGTACCGGAATATTCTTTCCGCCGGGACAAGAATCGGTGATGGACGGCGTCCCTGACGGTGCTGCTTCCTTTGACATGACGTTTTGGCTTAGGAACGTCGACGGTGTTGATAAACCTGATCCTGACCTTCATTTTCCTAATTGAAATATATATATTTAAACAAAAAGTTTACTATGACTAGAAGATGCAAAAACTATAATGGTATGGGACTATATTAAGTAATTATAGCTAAAATAATCCCAAGGAATGGTATGTACGCAACGTTTAATTATGATATATAAATTCATATGATGCATGCATGACGGTTCAATAGCAACAGTTGATTAATAGATTCGTTGTGTTGATCATTTTGTGTGTGTTAATTAATATATGCAGCAACTAGTTATTTTTAAAATTTTGTAGCTATGACACAGCCACACAGGTAATTATAGTGTCAATTCAACTAAAAAAATGCCAGAGCTCACGCTCAAGACTTTGTTCACGGCCCGGAACCAGCTTTGTGACTACGGTCCGGTGCGTCCGCTGACTAAAGGACCTATTCCGAGTTGTACTGCCCTAAGCTGATACTAACACCTGGAGTCTTAATCCCAATGGTGATGATGCAACGATACCGCATGCTATTGTGAGTTTAGCATCTAGATTCCAAGTCTTTGTTTTTACATAATTCTAAATGTTTATTAACAATTTATAAATTTCTGCCTTGCAGTAAGGAGATCATGTAATCTTTAACTACGTGAGTGTTATACTTCAATTCGAAGCATATATATATCGCAGACAGACAGTCATAAGGCAAATTACCTATAAGTTCTGGCTTTTTGCATTATTTGTATAGACTATAGTTCTTCCCAAACTCTAATAGTTTCTCTCTCTTTTTCTTTTTATCGCTTTGTAATTTCTTTTGTGGTTTAGTAAGCGGATTAGTAAAATCTAGTGATAATGATGATTTGCACGGTTCCTTAATGGTATATATTCTGTGTACTTCCAAAGCTATTGACCATCTTACCATGTAGTTTTGATCTTACCTTTCCGATCGTAGTTAATTCTTCTTAATTGAAAAAGGTTTCATGAGTCTTGAATCGGTCTTTGTCTTTGGTTTGATACACTACGTGTATAGTTTTCATGAGTTTTGCTGTTACGTACGTATTACTTTCTGAAATATTTTGGAATTAAAAAATTATCAACATTTACGGAATAATCGATTCAAATTGAAATATTAGTTCAAATACTCTGAATACATAAAAGCAAGTTATGAAATGTGACTACTCAATTGTGAACAGTAATAGCTTTGGGATCGGTCACACTATATGATTATTAGCACATGGCTTTCTTCTACTTTTGTTTCTTTATTTTTAACTTATTATATATATATATATGCTATATTCAATCCAATTGTCTAACTCGATTTTATTTCCTCTCGTACATACAAGCTCTCTTACTCTCACTCCCACCGCCATTTCTATTTCATGCGAGCTTCACACCGGTCAAGAAAAAATATTATTACGACCAAACTTCTCTAACGTGACGCCACTGGTTGATTAATAGTAAGTTTTAAAGAGAAAAAGCATGTATTTAATACGAAAGTTTTAGAAATCATGCATTGGCGTGGAATATTATGACCGAATGATATTGTTTAACATAAGGATGAAATGTTGAGTCTCACAATTATTTGCAGTGGCCTTACTCGTTCGGTTTATTATATATGAACTATCTTGTTGTAGGGTAACATTGCTACATGGTATAATAATTAAGATGATCAAGATATAAGATTCGAGGTCGAATTCAATGTTTGGTGGGTACTCCTAAGTCCTACCTCCCAACAGAAAAGAAAAACTAAGAGATAAAAAAAAAGATTTTTCAACGAAATTGGGCTGCCCTAAGAGATGGGTAATATTACAAGTCTTACAATGAAATAAATTCTAGAACATAAGTGTGCCAACATTCACAATGGCAGTATTCATATTAATGAATGACTGAAACCCACCCTTTTTTAATTAAAATTGAATTTTCTATACAATCACTTCCCAACCTTTGCCGACATTTTGTTTAGGTTTAGTGTGGGGTTAAAGCTAGTCTTAAAAGTGCTTCCCAAGTTTAGGTTTGTGTGTTTTTATCTCAAGTTTTTCCATCCCAAATATTCCCATTTTCTTAAGATTTGAGATACGAAATGAAGCATAAGGAGAGGTGAGTGAGTAGATCATCATATTTAACCTAGTATATGTGTTGTGAAATTGACATACTATGAAATTATACCACTTTTAAAAAAAGGTTTTATGGAAACATAACTTAAAAAGTTTAAGTAAAATCTCATGTGGGTTTTAAGAAGTTTTAAGTTATTGTTTGAGTTTTAGTTATTTGGAAAAGAAAAAAAATGATGATGAAATAGACATTGTCATCAGCAAAAGTGCATTTGTTTTACCATACCTTGAATAAAAATACAGTAAATATGTTTTTATAAATTTCGTATCTTGGTGAAAAGTGAATAAGTGATTATACCCTATGGAACGAAACCACTTTAACTGTTGAGATCTTCTTCAACAAGTGATCATAGATTATTTTACCCAAAGATACCGTTAGTACACATCTATAAATAATAATAAAATAGAATTTGTTTGTTAAAACTTAAAATTTGGAAGAATAAGAATCCAAAGAGTTGGTGTGTAATGGGGTAAAGACAAATAAGGCAGAGAGTAAAAAAGCAGTCAAAAAACACAGAGTGGCTTAGTGACAGTGCAGCAAAGCTTCTCACACATCCATGTCTCAAATCATATGCTCTCAAAACTCCCACGTTCTTTCACATGCCCTTCCATTTTTCTTCCCTTCTATTTTTATTCTCTATATATATAGTAATGTGTCTTATTTCCTCTATTTTTTTTCTTGTTTTCTTTAACGAAATAGTGTTCGGGTTTGATCTTGTTATAAGATCCAATCTTTGTTATACCTGTGCCAACTCCACGAAACTAAATTATCATTCTTCTAGCCAATTTTGAATTTGACCCTGGCAATGGTAAAACATTGTATCTCGAACCGTTTGAGTTATATATATATATATATATATATATATATATATATATATATATATATATTTCATTATACAATTATCAATATTAAATATTTTATACTATTTTATAAAAAAAATCATCAGAAAAAGCATGGTCTCCTTCATCGTTGGAATGGAGGTCGTTCCTTTGTTTATTCTCTTAAAGCCTTTTGGATTTTATCAAATTCATATCAGTTTACATAGTAATACTGGTAATAATTTCTTCGTTCTTTAATTAATCGAATATGATTTGTGTGTCACTTGACCTTCATATATATGTCGCTAAATTATAGACAGTGTATTTAATTATCACCAGGAGCGGATCCAGAACCATATAAAGACACAATATATATATATATATATATATATATATTATTTATATAATCTGATTTAGAAATTGGAGTATTATATGTTTATTATAAATATATATTATGCATACAAAAAATATTTTTAATTTGTTAAATAGAAAATAATAAAACTGAAATATAAAATTAATATTAATGTAAGAAGTCCAAAAATAAATAAACAAAAGTTCATAGCTAATGTAGTAAATTATTTGATGAAACGAATTAAAGAGAAATAATTAAAATTAAAATATAAGATAAAAAAAATAAACATATCAGTAGAAAAGGAAATAAATTAGATTATACTATTATAGGATGTTTGATTACAAAAATAAAAAACAGACAAAAGAACTTTGGTCGAGAGTGAGAATATGTGAAACTAATAACAAAATTAACCAAATTGTATGCTAATTTAGTTTAGTGAAATAGTGGTACAATAAGATATTTGTAAAGTGAGTATGAGGCACATGCCCCAACTTTTAACAAATAGATCCGCTCCTGATTATCATCATGCTTACTTGACTAATGTGCGAGTTTTAGAAATGTTATATCGTCGTTAATCGATCAATCTTCTGTATGTAAATAATAGTGAAAATTGGAATATTTAGTATGTTGTCTAATCATCGTTTAATCATGCAATGACCTCCAAGTTTCGGTCTCTTTGAACTTTTGGATAATATATAATTGGTTGTAAAGTGGTTAATACAAAGTAAGAGATACTTAAAGGGTTCAAATTCAAAACGTGAGAGTGGCAACTTTTAACACTATTGAAGTATTGATGGTGAAGTTAACAAACTTATTAGTATGGTCCAAATATGTATTTATTTCTTTGTGAGTCGATCACATGCTATTCGTAAGTATACATTTTCAAAAAATCATAAAAAGTGTATGATGATCCAAACTAGATATTTTAAATATCTCCTTTCAAAACCAGTGAAATATTATCATTTGTTCTTTTAAATTTGTGTTTTGAACTAAACCAATAAATAACAACAATAATGGTTTCACACATCATTATGACTAACTAATGCTAACAAAGTTATAATTTCTGTCAAGTATTCAAAATGTCAAAATGAATAAATCCAATATCTAGACTTTTTCCTTACTTTTGTTTGAAATAAAAAAAAAAACATTTCCTTAGACTTTTTACCAAAAAGAGAAGAAAAAGGCATATCTTATAAGCGAAGGGATTGCGAATTTGGCAACATGAGGTGCCCACTGCAAAAGGACAACAATCATGAATCACATATTCAATTCAACAATCCTATTGAATACATTAAAACAATAATATACATACACAAAATCCCCCATATAAAAATCATTAAATCTAAAGAAGAAAGGAAGATATTAAAAAAAAAGTAAAAGGGAAGGGGGGGAAACGAAGACAGTTGTGTTCTGAAAAAACCAAAAAAAAGTCATTAATTTTACCAAAAGCAGAAAGTTAGTCCCCAAACATTGAAAGAGAGTCAAAATGGACCCTTACCTTCATTTATAACATCTTATCCCCACAATTCTCATCACTTAAATACACCAAAAGTAATATTCTGAAATTCAATGGCTGTTTAAGAAGTAAATATCTTCACCAAACGTAACACAGTACTCAACTTCGTATCCATAAATGTTAAAGCAATTGCACAAACTACATTGGCATATGAAAAATTGTTAAAAACATGAAAATGAGAGAGATCTTAGAGTGTAGAGATACTCATAAATGTGGCCGTGTGTATGTGTGGACTCGACTCTCGAGGGGTCCTCTCTCTTTCTCTTTCATTAGTTGCCAAACAAGTAGGAACAGAGTCTATGTATGTTCACATTATTATTATGATTAACCCAATTCCAAAAACTCCATTTTTACATCATCTTGGTGAATGTGAAACGTTATTTGGTTATATTCTGCTTGGCATCTTTCTTGTTTTGTTCACATTATGTTCTTCATTTTCTTCTACAAGTGGCCAAGAGGGATACTGGATCAGATAATGGCAGAGAAAGCAGCAGAGAGAGAGAGAGAGAGAGCATTAACAAAAAGAGACTGAAGATAAGAAAAAGCAAAAAACCAAACATATCTCCATAGATTGAAAAAGAAAACAATATCAAGATTCGTAGTTAGATGGTTGATTTATAACATAAACACTTAATGCTAGAAACTAGAAGTAAAAGCAGCAAGGCAATTCTCCTTCTCTTGCCTTCACCTTACTCAAAAATATTGAAGGTGAGAATTTAAAGAAAACCCAAACTGAAACCAAATCCAAACTCCTTCCCATTCTCCTGAGATTCGAGTAAAAAAAACAACGAAGAAGATTCATTTGGATTCGATTTGAACCCGTGGATCTTCTTCGGTTATGCTAACAAACCTGATTCCTAATCCGACGAAGCTTCTAAAAAAGGTTAGCTTAGAGTTACCGGCGTATGAACACATTGCATCTGATCTTTTCTTCCATCAGAGTCTCCTCATCGGCTAATGCTACCTTCAAGGGTTTTTTTTGTTTTAGTCACAAGCTTTCTCTCTAAACGTTAGACATCAGTATGCCAAACCGGGCGGTTATCTTCAAACCTACCGTTCTCCAAGGCTGCAACTTTGGCCCTGTGAGCTGCAGACAATGCTACAGCGTTGTTGTTGTTCTTCCCTCTTTCCTCTTGTGGGTACTCGCAGGATTCGGTTAAAGAACCGGTCTTGAGATCAGCTGGTGGGATAAAGCAATCCAGAGATAGACCGGGAACGTTAAACGCAACTTCCTCAATCGTCCAGCTTTCTTCCATCTTCGTCCTCGTGTGGCTCATCGCCACTTCCCCAAATCTGAAAAGGGTCACAACCGAGTGTCCCGAGTGAGCAATCATGATCCCTTCGACTTGGCGGTAGTCGTCTAGGGACGAGTTGTATGTGGTTTCCCAGAAGACAGTATCTCCGCCGTTGGATTGGATCCGTGTCAAATGTGAATCCTCGATGTGAACCAAGAGTCCTGTTTTCTGACTAAAGTAGCCAAACAGGACGTGCCTTATGATCTCAGCTGGTCCTTCACTCCTCGACTTCAGTGTTTCAGGGTCAGTGCATAGCTTCAAAATGAAGCAATCTTCACCATTCACCTTCTTTTCTCCTATGCACTTGGCTTCCGCAAACATGGCAGCAGTAGTTCTCGGATCAAGTCCCTGTATCATTCACAAAAAAAACACTAAGGATCTCTTGAAGAACTACTAAAATACATGAAAAAGTTCAGATTTTTTAAAAGCGTTTTCACCTGAAGTCCACGACGGAGAGGCCTAACGGGTCCTTTAGCGGTATGAGAGCCGAGCCAAGGAGTGTGTCGCCACACGAGCTTGCCGTTACAGCCAGCACGAACCTTATTACCACCAACAGCAAGCTCGACGTACCACATGTCTGGATTCATCTGCCAGAGAACGAAACCTCCAGTCTCAGCCTTAGATGGGTTTCGGTTCCTGACTGTTCTCGTGGCGGTTTCGAGCTCTGAAGTTATCATCTTGAGTTTCCCCATAGCATAAGCGTTTTTGATGGAGTTTTGTAGCTTCTGGCCACCGGAAGCTGCAGTGAACTGTTGAAGAATGTACTGAGCAGATGATGTCTCCTGCAAGTAAAACATATCACCGGAGATGATGGGAAAAAAAGGATCAGTGAAATGATGATTAACAGTGAAGTCTTCGGAAGCAAAAGAAAATTAAATTGTTTTGTTTAATACTAATAACTAAACTAAGTTTCAATATTCTTCCAAATAGTTGTAGAAAAATCAAATCCCACCAACGAAAATGACGTCAATTTCCACCAACCAACGACCAATGGAAACATTCGGAAGAGAAAAAATCGAATTTTTTTTTTTTGAAGAAAACAATCAAATTTCAAAATGCTAAATCTGTAACCAGAACAAAAAAAAAAAAAAATCGACAACTGAGATCTTGAGTCGACTCTGAGTAAAACTTTCTAAATTAAAACGGGCCTCTGAATAAAAAAAATGGAAGTAACATTTCGGGGGAGAAGAAAGTCGAAACGATGAGATGAATGTATAATCTGAGCTCCAGAAGGAAGAAGAGAGAGAGAGACTAACGATTGGGGTGTTTTTGATACTAAGATGAGGCAGAGGATCGGAAGAGGAGACATGAATCGGAGCAAGAGGAGCTCCCATAACTCCGAGAAGAAGCCTCAGATCGTTTCTCCGGTAAGCCGCCGTCGCAGCAACGGAAGGAGCGCGAGACAGCTGTCCCTTGACCCAGTGACCCAGACCCGACCCGAGTCGCTTTGATTCTCCTATATTCCCTCCTCCTCCTTCGTCTGGATCGGGACCTTCCATTACGGGTCTCAGGCTTCCGGATCTCCCGATTAACATCTCCGGTTGCGCCAGATAGTACCCGGCGCCGCCACCACCGGCTCCGCCTCCAGTGATGTTCTTTCTCCCCCAGGTGAGAGCTGACATGGGCGAATTAGACCTAGCGGGGCTAACGGAGCGAGACCTTGTCCTGGACCGTGACGGTGAGAGACCTCTTACCACTTCGTCTCTCAGAGCAGAGAAGAACCCTTGCTTTTTCTCCATTTCAATACTCTGTCGCTTCTCTTCTTCGTCGCAACGTAAGCTTAACAATACACACACACACACACAAATGTTTAACAGAATCAACTTGAAGAGCCAGAGAGAAAATATGGAAATTTTATTTTCAGAGTCGCGCAGTGGAGAAAGAGAGAGAGAGAGTTTTAACCTTTTTTAAGAACGGAGAAGGAAAGCGAAGCGAGGGAGAGAGAGAGAAAGACAGTGATCTCAGGGTGAGTGGAATGACCATTTTGCCCTCTATTTGTGAGCGGAATTTCCAATTGAGGAAAGCCACGCGCTATCTGACACTGCACGCGCCTAGGATATATTCTTTCCAACCTGGCTACGCATGAGGGACACGTGGACGGAGAGATATAGCGAGTGTTAAGATTTAACGGTACTCGCAGTAGTGTTGGAGGTCTGTAGGGTTGCGCCGTTAAGGGTGGTGGCCGATCTATTTTAATGTTTTTTTTTAACAGTTTTTCGTTAAATTTTCAGGAATAAAAAAAAAGGACAGTATCGTTAAGTTCACAGTTAAAAAGTGGCAGCGGTAAATTAGGGAGAGATTTGTTACTTTTTTTAACCTGTAGCCTAAATTCGCTTTGTACTACTCTCGTCTTACAACTTCCATTTTTTTAAGAAACAAAGAAAATAAATGATCTTCCAATTCATTCTTCTGTACTGTTTTCAAAACATTTCTTTAAATGTTCTTGTCCAAAATGTCGGTCTCTTCTGATGGTTGGTATGGTATTCGTTTCCTTGTCAATAGTTATAAATTCCATTTTTTCTTCTTTGTAAATGCCTAAATTGTCATCTTTATGTGTTTTTTTTAGTCTATCGTTTAAACTCTAACCATCGCTAAAACAGTCATTATTTAATCAAACATTCAGACGCCTAAAACGGTTATTTATTGTCTAAATGATTATTATCTATAAACGCTATAAAACCCCATAGCATACAGAAAATGCTTAAACACCATCTAGCTAGAGACCAACCAATGAAAGTTCATACATCCTTTTTAATCAAAGGCTAACTATTACCGAATTTTAAATTGTTGTTTCATTCTCTAAGTTTCATGTAAACTTTGATTTCTGGCTAAATATGGTAACATACTAACATCATAAACTACAATCTCTTGACTATGTCGTAACAACTCCTGAGTTTTTTTTGGTTTAATTCAGAATCCACGCATCATGGCAAGAATACATATTATTCTTCATTTGATTCCCCCAACTGTTGGAATGGAAAGAAACATTCACTAAGTAAATATTTTTGTTTCATTTTTGTGATTTTATTTAATAAATTATGTAATACACTACACAGAGGATGATTGAAGAATTTATTTATTTTAGTATTTTACAATTTGAGTAGTGTGTTTCTTCAAGAGAAAGGAACAAAAAAGAGGTCGTGAGAGAGGGTTCCTTCTTTATCCGACAGAGAGAACAACCATTTGTGTGTGTTTTCATTGGCCAATTGCGTAAAGATGGCAACTCTTCCTTGTATATATTTTTACATTATAAAAAAATGTAATTTCTTTACAGTTAACACTTTCGTTCTGTAATGTAATAATGATTGAGCACACTCCACACATCGACGACATGCTTCGGGCATAATGTAAATATAATTTAGCTTCTTATATATTTCAGTAACTCTAGAGTTTTTTTCTCTCTTATTAAAGCTTTTCATATCAACGTTAAAACTATGAGCCTCAAAAACTAATGATAGTAGAGTTTTTTTTTTTTATCTCTTACTAGAGTTTTCATATCAACACTAAAATAATGACCCTCAAAATTAATCATTTCAAAACTAATAGTTTCGTTTGTAGCACTAATTTCTTTTAAATAGGTACTAATTTCGAACTTATGTCTCTATCTCATTTCTTTAACAAAGAAAATGAAGAACGTATATGTCTCTATCTCATCCCCATGTGATGAGATCCATGAGAACTTTGTAGTCTTTAAGGTTAAACGGGTAATTAATGCTTGATTTTGATACTTATAGTATCATTTAGTTTATAAATTATAACCATCCATGGAACATACTTTTTATTTGTATATACTTGTGATTTGTGAAAGATATATTCATTAACAAAAACATACTATATAACCAATACAGATGTTTCACTATTTATATTTACATTCTTGTGTCTACATGTTAGTATGTTATATATACTAACAAAAACGTGATTTCATCAAATATTATATACACAGAATTCCATTCAGTCGACGGACAATTACATAATAATTTATAACATACTTTATAATGATGTAGTTTAATGCCATATAATTAAAGATGAGTTTAATATGTAAACTGAGAAAGTATCGCGCATTAGTGGTCTTAGTGATAGTTGTTACAGAGCATGGCATGAAACTTGTTTTTCCACGAGTTTTTGATTCACACTATAAACAATTTTGATGAGTGCAGTTAAGTCAAATCTGGACTTAAATACAATTAAAAACCATGTGAACGGAGTAGTATTTTTAGTCGGATTTGTTCGCCTCTAGAATCAGCGGTACGTGTTACTAGTGGATTGTGTTAGCGTAAATTTTGTAGAGCAACTGAAATCTACAACCTATATAATCTGATGCTAGATTTCGGATCACCCGAAAATTTATATTAAGAAAAGTTAATGACCAATGTAAATAGTAATATGAAGCTAGTTAATGTGATAATTAAATAACGTTTGAAGCGTGAGAAATAGAATGACAAGCAGCACGTGAATGTCTTTGAAATTCGTTTCGAATGGTCAAAAGAGCAAAGAAGAGAAGGAAAAAAAATAAACGCATACGCGTTAACTTTTTCAGTGTGATAGTGGTTACAGCTCTTAGGTAGGACTTATTTTAAAAGTATAAAAGTTCTCTGGGTCGATGAAATAAAAATTAAAATTGTCTTCTAAATTAGTAATGACGCATTTTGTGTACTATAAAAATCGACGGTAGGGACATTTAGTCCCACGTGTAACCCTGTGGTACTAATATTGGTCGTTCTTTAAAGACGAAGTAGTTGCCCTTCAAATATAAGAAAACAAGCTTTATTTCTTTTTTTTTATTTAATTCATTTTACTAATACAATTCCATTATCCCCTAAACTTTTTAAACATAAAGTTATAAGAAGAGTATGAACTCAAAGCATATTGGTCACCAAAACATATAGTGGACTTAAATTCTGTCATTCTGATAAGGAATCCATCAAGTCAGCAACTAATTCAAGTTGGCATCCAAACAATTACAAGTAGGTGTATTCAATTAACTTTTTGGTATTTAGGAATTAAAAGTCCAGAAATCAATCATTATATAATATGTAAAATATTTTCTTCTAAGCATACTATTTGAACTACTCGAACTATAAAATCCCATTAAATAAAAACCAAAACATTTTTTGTTTTTTGGGGTTGAAATCAGTTATAGCTGAACCAACCGTCTTGCTTCATATGAATAATATTTTCTTAATTTGCTTTCATATGCCGAGTATAATCCATATAACTTTCAAAACATCCATTGTATAACTCCTTTAGAGATAAAATACACATATATAGAGAGACAGAGAGAGACAACTTACAATTTTGATACTAAGAGAAAGGAAGTTAAGAAATAAGAAGCATTTAAAACCAGACCATACGCATGCATGCAAATGCAAACGCATGTCGTTGTTATTATTTTAAAAAAGTGATTAATTAAGGAAACAAAATTGAATAGATATTAAGGGCACTTGGGTTTGCCCTTGGAGCTAAGCTTGTCTCGATAGCAAGGGCACTGATGCTTGTTTCCAAAGGTACCAGAAGGAACACACTTACATTGTCTGCAACAAACGCCACAATACTTGATACATCTGTCTCGAAACCCTGCCTTGGCACACCTTCCTCTGCATCTACTCCCACAGTACACCTCCAAGCCTCCTACTCCTCCTTAATTTGTTCCATTTTTCAACATTCGTATATATTAGACTTCAGTTAATTAACATCCCGCTTGGGTTTCTTGGACTCTAATGTATATGGAATATAAAAAAATCACGTCCTTTCAATTCCAAACTATATAATATATACTACTTAGTCTTGGTCACTTACTTACCTTCTTACCTCAGACTTCAGACGTGAGATATATAATTTTTTTAACAATATTGATATAATTTCAGCCATAAGACGAAATGATGACATGCCTACATACGATGATTCCTTGTGTTGATTTTTGTCTTGAATTATTATAATTTACCTTGACTTGCACTATTCTAACTCTTGTTGTGTAATTAAATCATCAAAAAACGTTGATACTCTAGGAGACTAGTATTTCTGATTAACACTCACTTAAAACTAATGCATGCATGTCTATGTAGAGAGAGAGAGAGAGAGAGAGAGATGCATGCGTACATACCAGCAGCTGTGGCAGGGAAAAGCATGAAGGGGAGGATGAGAAGAGCAATGAGGAAGAAGAAAGTAACAGAATTTTTATAATTCATAGTTGCTTTCTGCATAGAAACAAAACAGTATAAACCTAAATTAATCTTGAAGGTTCTTTCTTCTCTTGGTGTACTTCGTCAGAGATTGTGAAAGTGATGAGATTTCATTTATAGAAAGCCTAAAATTTACCACAGCCTTTGTTTCTTTTGCCAACATAAAATTTCTTTTATTATGCTATACGTGGCAAATCAAACTGTTAGTTATTGTGAGTCTGTGATTCTTGAAATGGCTGCAACCTTCATACGTCGATATGCTCGATGATGTCTCTACTCTTATTAATTTCGTCCTACCGCTTTCAACAACACGACGACACATCGCTTCATAACAAGCCAGAAAGCGTTAAAGCCGTGACATCTACACCCCTAATTATATATATTTTCTTGAGATCGAGTTTTCTTCGCTAAAAACAAGCAATTATATCGTCTAGTTGTTATATTTAATGGTCCACTATAAATAGTAGGGTCTAATATATATAACTCTGTTAGTTAGTATCAGTGAAGCATCATTATAGATTTCTATTATGATTTACTTTATAAGTAAGTAGCAGTCTAGTGTTCTGATCAAGTATAGTCTAATTCAAATAATTAAATAAAAGATACTGATATAAAAGATTCAAAAATCCGCCATAACAAGAAAGAAAAACAGTACAATTGCCTACATGTGTTGTACATGGCAAAATACATCTGATTCGGTAAAGAATGGACTCATTAGAAGGCCCATTAACAATATAGTTCATAAGGAGGTCCAAAGAAGACCAAACTCACACCGTTTCTTCGTCCCATTTTTTCTGGGGCAAAGGCTTTTGCACTCATCTTTCTTCTTCCTCTTAACCACTCACCGAGTTTTTTCTTCTGTTTCGCGGTTATTGTAATTCCGAGGAACATTTCGCGGCCGAGGGAAACAGATTTTTAATTGTTTGTAGAAAGAAAAGGTTGAAAGAAAAAATTGAAACGAAGAATTGATAACTATTTTCACCGTCTATAAAAACATTGCAGGTTACATTTGTATTCATAGATCCCGTAACCAAACTGTAAGTATGATATGCCACAGACTATTACCATATTAACGTTATGCCATGGACTACATGAATTATGAACTATCCAGAGTTTTCAAGTAGAACAAATATTGCACAACAGCCAAAAATCTTCCTAATCTACGATTATAGTGAGTTTTTTTATTGAAAGTAATTTCTTTAGCGAATTCTTTGAATGCACTCATGAACCTCATGCCTTCGCCCAACATCTCTGGGATCACCTGGGATCACCTGACGGTGCTGTTTCGTTCTCACCGTCTCCAGTGGCGGGAGGCGGTGAGAATTTCACTCCGATCAACGTTAGTCACTTCCCTTTAATGTTACACGCTATGGATTAAAAGATAAGGAAAAAAGTAAGAAATCGGAGTTTGAGATTCAAGTTCAATTTGTTAGGGTTTTTGTGAAAGCAAAAGAGAGGGGTGAGTATTTCGGTTTATCTTCGGGTTCGGTTCGGGTTCAGTTCGGTTCGATTAGTTTGGTTTTACTAAAACTCTAACCAAATTCAATCAAATTTAATTTAGTTTGGATATGGTTCGGTTCGGTTTAAACACAGTTTAGTTTGGTTTGGTTATAATTAATTTGGATTCGTTTAATTCAGTTAATAGATTGCAAAACAAAACCTTATATAAACATAATGCAACATCAATATCTAAAAAAAAAATTATTACTTTGAAACTGTAAAAAATCAAATAGAAAATAGATGAAATAATTTCGATTTTCCTTATTATTAAAACTAGGTGCTTAGATGTAGCATGAGATTTAGATTTTTTCTTTTGAGATTTCAGAATCAAAGTTAATTTAATAATTAAAAAAATATATTGAGTTTTCGGTTCGGTTCGGTTCAGTTTTAAATCGAATTGAACCGAACCATTCGGGTTAACAAAAATCTAGATCAAAATGTTTTGATATAGACTTTAATTTGGTTTGACTCGGTTCGGGTTCGGTTGGTTTTTTGTCCACAGAGGGATATACAATTGACTACATGTGTTGTACATGACAAAATACATCTGATTCGGTAAAGAATAAGCCTAATAAAAAGCCCATAAACAATATAATTCATAAGAAGGCCCAAAATAAAGACCAAACTCACAACATTTCTTCGTCCCATTTTTTCTGGGGGCTTTTGCACTCATCTTTCTTCTTCCTCTCACCCACTCACCGAGTTTTTTCTTCTGTTTGGCGGTTATTGTAATCCCGCGGGCCATTTGGCGGGCGAGGGAAAAAGGTTAGGTTTTTCATTTTCCTTTGCCGCTTGCGTCTGTCTTCTTTTTTTTTTTTTTTCCAATCGTTTTTAATTGTTTGCGGAAAGAAAAAAAAAAAAGTTAGTCAGGAAAAAAAATTGAAGCATTCACTTTCTCACGGTTGTTTTTCTTCCCTTGAATCCGTAGAAAAATCTAGAAAACAAATATGATATGAAGATTTGGTTTCACAGCTCTAGCATTAGGATTCTATTGATTTTGACTTTCTATCGACTGTCGGGCATTAATTGATATTGATTTTCCCAGTCACTGCCCTATCTCTCATCGTTGTCGTAGCTAAGATTAGTTTTATTTATTTATTTTCCCCTATCGGATCTCTTCTCAGAAAACCAAAATCAAGGATCGATCTGGTTTTAAGTCTCGTTTATGAACTTACACAAAGCCGCCATTTTTCTTTGTGGGTTGTTTTTTCTCTTGCGTTTTGCTTCTAATGATTCTTCCTGATCTATGAGATTTGAGTCACGTTTCTGATTTTGCATCTCTGTTTGTTCAGTGATTAAGCTGGAGAGAAGTTTAGTATAACTTTGCGGATTTAGAGAGCTGGGTGAAGAAAATGGATAGAGCTAATAGACGGAGAACGAGGAGTAGTGGTTCCGGTTTGGAGCCGATGAATGGAGAGGTCACTCCGGCTTCTGTCAAAGTATCTGAACAAAGCAATGGAAAAGGAAAGGGGATCTCCAATGGGGTTTCTGGCGATAAACACAAGCCAACACCTGAAACTGGGAAGAAGAGATCTAACAACAGATCCTCAGGATCGCATCGCGAGCTTGTCATTGGTCTTCCTTCCCGTGGACAATTTGAACTCCGCCGGTCCAAGATGTCAGCCGCGAGTTCGGAGAAGGTAGGAGGAGGAGGTGGTGAAAGGAAAAGTCACAAGAGAGCTCAGAAATCTAAAGAAGCTGCTGCTGCATCGTCTACGGCTGGTGCTAATGCCACACCTGTAGGTAAACCAAAGAAAAGGAAGAAGAAGGATATGAAGAAAGGCAAAGCTGTAGAAGATGACGAGTACACGAGAATCAAAAAGAAGCTTCGATATTTACTAAACCGGATTAACTACGAGCAAAGCCTTATTGATGCTTACTCTTTAGAAGGCTGGAAAGGTTCAAGGTTTGTCTCTCTGTAGCATTCTTGTTTCCACCTGTTGTGAGCTTTCTTTCTGATTTCACTAAGTATTGGATCATGTGTTCTTTGCAGCGCGGAGAAGCTAAGGCCAGAGAAAGAGCTTGAGCGAGCCACCAAGGAGATTCTGCGACGGAAGGTGAAAATTAGAGATCTTTTTCAGCACCTGGACACACTCTGTGCCGAAGGAAGCCTTCCAGAGTCTTTATTTGATTCCGATGGAAAGATTTCTAGTGAGGATGTAAGAAAATCATTCCGAAGCTCAAGCTTTTGTTCCATTGTTTTTTTCTTCTTGATAGAAAAGCAGTTTGTGTTTCTAGAAGCATTGCTAACACGAGCAGTTGTGTTTAATTGCAGATCTTCTGTGCAAAATGTGGTTCAGAGGACTTGTCTCCTGATAATGATATTATACTATGCGACGGGTTCTGCGACCGAGGCTTTCACCAATACTGTGTTGAACCACCGCTGCGAAAAGAAGATAGTAATAATCTCTGGCCTATGTAGTTGGTATTGCTTTTGAGTAAGCAGTTCTTGCTGGTAATTTTATTGCTGGGTTTAATTTTTTTGTAGTTCCTCCTGATGATGAGAGTTGGTTATGCCCCGGATGTGATTGCAAAGATTACAGCTTTGACTTGCTTAATGATTCTTTAGGCACTAAACTTTCGGTCAGCGACAGTTGGGAGGTATGTGTATGTTCATGTTTTGTTTTGTTAAAAAAAGGAGAAAAAAACAAAAACTTTAAAAAGACACCTGAATCGATTCTTTGTAATTGTGCAGAAAGTATTTCCTGAGGCAGCAGCAGCAATGGCTGGTGGAGATCAAACTCTGAACTGTGATCTTCCTTCAGATGATTCTGAGGATGAGGAGTATGATCCGAATGGTTTGAGTGACAATGAAAATGATGAAGATGGCAGTGACGACAGTGATGAGTCTGAGAACGAAGATGGAAGTTCTGATGAATCTGATTTCATATCCGCATCTGACGAAATGATTGGATCATTGAAAGACGTGAAAGATATAATGGCCCTGCCATCTGATGATTCTGAGGATGATGACTATGATCCTGATGCCCCGGCTCCTGATGAAGATAAGACACAAGAAAGTTCAAATTCAGATTGTTCATCAGACTCGGAGGATCTTGAAACTTCCTTTAACGGCGATGAGTCTAATCAGCAAGATGAAGTTGCGCCACGTGTGAAATCTGGCAGAAAGAAATCTCAGCTCCCAGATGTTTCCATTCCAGAATCAGATGCTGGACTCGATCAAGGTCTTGCAGATGTTCCCGGAAGAAGGAAGGTTGAAAGGCTAGACTACAAAAAGTTGTATGATGTGAGTCTTGAGTCCTCCTCACACATTTTTGATGATTAATCTTTTATTTGGTTTTGGGAAATAAACGTATGCTGATATCTGTCTTCTATCGTGTGGTATGTGCAGGAGGAATATGAGAATGTTCCGACATCGTCGAGTGATGATGAAGATTGGGATAAAACCGCAGGAAAAGAAGATTTCGAGTCAGCAGATGAAGGTGGTGACACTGCCCTTCTGAAACAGTCTTCAAAAGCAGATGATCATACAGCTACTAAGAAACCTAAACAGAAACCGAAAAGAGAAAATAAAAAGGATACTTTGAAAGCGCCGCAAGTTGCACCCGGTGAAAATGGTTGTTCTGGCGAAAAGGGCAGCTCTTCAGCATCTAAACAGACAAATCCCAGAACTCAGGTAACAAAAATATGGTTGTCTTTACGCTTAAAGATGTCAAATCCTAAATCATTATGAGAGAGCTTTCGGGTTTAAAGATTCGTCTTTTATGCAGAGATTGTTTAAATCTTTTCAAGAGAATCAGTATCCAGACAGTGCCACGAGGGAGAGCTTAGCCAAAGAGCTACAAATGACAGCTAAGCAAGTAAGAAGTTATCTCTTACGTGAATGGCTTTTTGTTTTCTCACTTTTTTAGTCGATCCCATTTCATCTCTTGCTCATAAGTTGTTTATGTTCTGTAGGTTGATAATTGGTTTAGGAATAGGCGTTTCTCAACAAGCAAAACGATGGTTTCAAAGAAAGATGACGAAAAGTTAAGAACGAGTAACGAAGGTGAAGGTGAAGCATCTGCTGCTGGGAGTAGCAAACAAACCATGGATACCGAGTTAGTCCCAGAGAAAAAGAGTAGAGCATCGGAGTCGAACAATACTGGAACACGAAAAAGAAGGAGAAGGTAGAGATTTAGATTTAATCAGGTTTTTGATCTAAGTAACGACATAAATGGATATACTTGAACACACACTCGAAAACCAAGAAATGAAAGACATCAAGCGAGTTTGAATAATACTTACTCATTTTTGGGGTGTGCTTGTGGATCTGAAGACCTTGAAGTTGGAGCACTGGAAGAATCAGTGATGCTATAGTGAAAAGATTTTGCAAAAAAGAAAGAAATATTTCTCCAATATTTAACTGTTTAGTTGAGACAATGTGCTATGATTATGAAAGTTTTTGTTTATTCCATTTCCCCCTTCTTGGTTGTGGTTTGTGTGATCGATAAAGATCGGTTTTAAAATCAATAGATATGGTCTAGTTTAAACCTGATTGAAAAATCATGAATTGAATGAGTCTAACCGGTCTGAAATGTCTTAAATAAGAAGGGCCCATAGTGGTATTACAAGAGGCCCATAAAAAGCCCATCGATGTTTATGATACATAGTCCGGGACTTGGTAACGTGTTGCATAAGGTAAGAGAAAAATGAAGAAGGTGCTGAGAGTATACGGCGGCGTTTTGAGGCTAGTCAGGCTCTTGCCGGCGGATACGAGGCCGTACTACGCCAAGTTCGCCAGGGAGAATTTCGTTAACTACCGTGAAGTCGACGTAAGCGAAACATCGCTCGATGAACTTTACCAACGAGCTTACACTCACTCACTCTGGGTACTCAAGAAGGTACGAAGATTCTAGTTTTTGTTTTCTTCGTCCATGTCCTTTCGAACCGTAGATTCTAGATACCCATTTGTGTTAATGATCTGTTTTCAATCGTCTGCAGTATTCGATTGACGAATCCGCAGCGAAGAAGATGAAAGAGATTTGCTTTGAATGATGACGCACACCAACTGTTCGACGTTATTCCCCTTGCAATTTTCAACAATTACTTTCAAGGCTATCGAAGATTTGTTAAACGGGCACCATCAAGTATTCTACTTTTGATCTCAGTGTCAAGAACAGAGGTTGCTCATGTGTCTTTTTCTTTCCTTTTGCTCATGTTGACTGCTCAAATAATTGGTCATGTCTTGTTTGAGTAGTTTCTTGTTTGTTTGCATAATCCTGAATAATTCTGTTATGATTTTGCATTCTTAGAGTAAAAGAGATCCACAATACTTAAACAAAAATCTTCATCTTTAGTAATGAAAGAGCTGTGGCAGTGGAGTAATAACGAAGAAGAGAGTAGGGATTGTTTTGGGTAAAGTGATATATACTGTATGTAGCTAAGGACAATACACAGTGAAGATATTTAGTCCACACCTAAAGTCTTATAGGTCCTTGTCGGAACTTGAAAATGTTTCATGAAACGAACCTAACAAACCAAAGCGTGTCTTGAGATTGTTTTTGCTTCTTTCATAGTTAAAAAGGCTAAAAAACAAGTTGGACTGATGAAAAATTGACCTCCCCTCTAATGGATTTTTATATTAATGGTTACAAACTTGCGAGAGTGTTATTTTTCTCCTCACACGTGTTTGCAGTCTTTGCACGTGTCAAACCTGGTACATGTCAGTATGTATGGATTTCTTTTATATTTTGTTCGTTTAATATAGTGTCAGTATGTTAAAAAAATTAATGATAGGCATGATAATGGCAACTCTTTTTTATTTGTAATTTAGTTTTAATTAGAGTAAATGAATATGTGTGTAACATTAATTATATTTGTCTAACGTCCTCAGAAAGAGAAAAAAAAAGAAAAGAAAGCAGCAGTTGCTTTGAGAGAAAAAGGTGTGAGAAACGAAAACATCAGCTTCGTGTAAATCAAAAACTACAGTTTTCTCGGGCCAGGTGGCTTTGACCGAATTTCTCTTCCAAATCTCAAAATTCCCTTTTTACCCCGTCCATCAATCAACACTCTTATCATCAGTAATTAGTTAATAACTCTAAATTGTTATAGAACTCTAACAATTAAATAGGATTTTAAAGTTTTAAACATCGATGGTTTGTTATGTACTCTCTTAGTATTTATCAGAAATATACATACAATTATCACAGAAATTGAATACCATCATCATTTTCATTCATACATAAAAAACAATTATTTTACATTCACCAAGAGATACACAGTATTAATTTATTTGATTTCAAAACCATTACATTTTTCTTTAAAGCAAGTGTTACTGTTAATGATAAAATAAATATTATATTTCTATCTGGATTAATACATCAAAGATCAAACCATCAGGCAAGTTAACCAACCAGCTATAAAAGACTAAAAAGGTAAAGAGAAACCCATTAAGCAACAATTTTCTTCTGGTTTGTGTTTCTCACCTTTGATCTCACTCTCTCTCTCTCTCAGCTTCTTCCACGAAATTAATAGTAATAATCAAGAAAAATCACGATGGGAGATACTGCTGAGGATCAAGACGACCCAGCTATGGTGGAAGCTGCAGGAGTCTCGAGCTTCTCCGAGCTTCTCATGTTGTCGGACGGTGTTCTCAGCTCCTCCGATCACCACCGCGTGGATAATGACGGAGATGGTGGGGAAGACAGCTTCGGTTTTGTATTCTCCGGTACAAATGGGTCAAGAATGCTCTGTTTTAGCGGAGGCTACCAAAACGACGACGAATCGCTCTTCTCAGAACCTTCTCTTCCCTCCGGAGTCTCTGTTCCTGACGCTTCATGCATTAATGTTATCAACTGCAAGAACTCAGACGACGCTTGTACGGCAGATAAAGCTACTAAATCCGTAAGCGTAAGCCTCTTGTTTTATAATTTCTTTTCCACATTTCATTAAAAGAGTCTTTGCATAGTAGATGCATGCAAAGAATTGCCTTGATCAAAAGTTTAAAGATGACATTTGTGTGAAAATTACTGTGTTGTGAAGAAGAAGAGAAGCGGATCGGGAAATGAGCAAAACCCGGATCATAACCGCAAACCAGTGAAGAAATGCAAGCGAAATAAGGATAAATCATCACTTGGAATTGCAAAGGTATGTCATAAACAAATTTTACATTTATTTGTTCTCCATTATGTAATAGATTATGTCTTTTTCAACAACCATAATGGTCATGTCTGGTTGTTAATACTAATCGATTATTGCTAATAGGTAAGGAAAGAAAGATTAGGGGAAAGAATCGCAGCGTTGCAGCAATTGGTTTCTCCATACGGCAAGGTGATTTTTATTTATTTATACTCAATTCTCTTAATTTTAAGCAAAGCAAGCAAAAACATCTAGTATAATTCTTCTATCACTAAAGAAATCAGCATAGAAAATTTAAAACAGTTATCTTTAGTGTGTGATTATAATATATATTTAGTTTTTCCAAAAGGAAGCTTAAGAAGTCGCGATTTGGGGTAGTGTAGCAGCATAAGTTGGCATCCAATGTGAAAATCAAAAAGACATCAAAGACAATGAAACTTGATCAGTAAATTAAAAGTATTGTTTGTTCTTTATTACCATTTATTACAAAGTATCTGATCATCATTACAATTTATTTACATTAATGATATGTGTACTTTTTTTTTTTTTTGAGAGGGGTGAAAAGAGAATAGATATATAACACTCTACTCAAATATCCATAAATGATTACTTTTTGCAATACTGTAGTTAAATTTGACTTTTCTTACTGATATAAAAATAAATGGTGGAAAAAAACTATTATGACAGACAGATGCAGCTTCTGTGCTGCATGAAGCGATGGGTTACATCAAATTCTTACAAGATCAGATTCAAGTCCTTTGCTCTCCTTATCTAATCAACTATTCTCTTGTAAGTCTCTCTCATTTTTTTTTAATAAATAAAACTGTTTTTGATACTAAATGATATCTCTGACTTGCCGGTGACATTTGTCAGGACGGTGGTGGAGTCGTCACCGGAGATGTTAGACAGGGGAAGAAAGTGAGAGACTTGAGAAGCAGAGGATTATGTCTAGCACCTGTCTCATCCACCGTACACGTGGAGAACTCTAACGGCGCTGATTTCTGGTCACCTGCTACTATGGGTCATCACACTACGTCACCCTCAACGAATCAAGGATATTAATTAACCGTCCTAGGAAGATATATAATTATAATATAGCCTTTTTCTTTTTGTTTTTGTTTGCTGAAGAACAAGTAAAAATGCTTTTACGAAGCCTCACCCAAATTTTTTTTTGTTTTTTTTTGGGCTCTCTCTCTCTCTCTCTGGGTGGTATAAAAAAAAAAGGTTGAATCTTTTCGTGTTTGTAAAATTAGATCCTGTATTGTAGTAAACTAGTAATGCCACCAAACCACATCACTCATCATCACTTCACTTGAGTTAAAGACGTGCAAAACGTTTCTCTTTTTTTTTTTTTTTTTTTAATTCCTATTTTCACAGGCGATGATAATCAATGAAAAAAGATTAGCCCAAATTATTGTAACGCTATTGAATTTGTCCCTACGTCAAAGATACTTCTCTAATTTGAGATTTATAAAAAGATTGAAAAATGGGATAAACTTTTTTCCTTTTGTAGTAGCCAATGTGTTAATATTGTTTTATCTTTTGTCAATAGTAATAATATGTATAAGGATTAGATTGCAAAAACACCAGAATTTGAGGATATTGCAAATCAAACACTGTAATAGACTAATAGCCACCGATCATCTCACTACTTCGCCGGACGGCCGGAGATTATTCATTTTTCTCTCTTCCTCTCCATCTCCGCTGCTCTCTCCGGTGTTCGCCGATGGCGGTGTTTCCTATCGGCTCTCACTTTGCGCCGCCGCGTCAGTTGACAAAGAGACTCGCCGTGACGACTTTATCACCTAACTCTCTCTCGACGCGATTGCCGCAAAATGTCTCCTTTTCGAATGTCTCTGGGATTACAGGCTCGAGGTTATGCAGACATGGTGTTCTTGTAAGGGCCGAGGATAAGATAAGGGGTTCTTCTTCTCCGTCCGTCGAAGAACAGTCTCAACCAATCGATGAGGTTCGAATTTTCCACAGTCGTCTTCTATAAAGATTCAATTTTGCCAAGTACCCATTTTCTCTTTTGATGCAAATTAGCCGTAATTTGAGTGAATTTGCATTTCATCAACAATCCACAGATTTTTTAATTTTGGATAAAAGTTCATTCATACATTGACTGCAATAGTACTAAAATGAGTGTTGTCATGGCTACAAAAATGAAAGTTTATTGCTTTATATCTTTGGGTTTAGTGATTGCATTTCAAAAGGATTCTTATTTGATATGATCAACAGGATCTGATGGACTCGTCAGGAACATGTGACCCTATTTGTTCGGTTGATGAACCTAGTTCGAGTTACTTTGAGGCGAATTACCAGCCAAAGACAGATGTAGTCAAAGCTATTGCTGTTCTTGCAGCTGCTCTTACAGGAACAGCTGCCATTAATCATTCATGGGTCGCTGCTAATCAGGTTTTTGCCCTGCGCTTGATTTCTCCACCTTTGCTTTCTTTTGGTTTCAAACTCAAAATGCAGATAATTTCATCGTTGTCTCTGGACAATGTCATGACACAGGATGTTGCTATGGCATTGTTGTTCGGAATAGGATACGCCGGAATCATCTTCGAAGAGTCTTTAGCTTTTAATAAGAGTGGAATAGGACTGTTGATGGCTGTGAGTCTGTGGGTTGTGCGGAGCATTGGGGTAATAATATACAGGAAAAGTTTGTTCTTATATGTTCATTGCTTGTTGGATATCTTAGTTATATTCGTTGTGACAGGCTCCTTCACCTGAAATAGCCGTTTCAGAGCTTCAGCATGCAACAGCTGAAGTAAGTGAAATTGTATTCTTCTTACTCGGCGCAATGACCATTGTGGAGATAGTTGATGCTCACCAAGGGTTTAAGCTTGTTACAGACAATATCACCACTCGGAAGCCAAAGACACTTTTATGGGTGGTAAGTCATTCATTTTCAAGCTCTAAAGTTTTCTCCGCTTCGGTCTCTTCTTTCTCGATGATATGAATATCCATTTTACTGCTGGGCACCATCTTTACTCTTGTGGACTTATGGTGTCGCAGGTCGGCTTTGTTACTTTTTTCCTGAGTTCAGTTCTAGACAACCTGACCTCCACCATTGTCATGGTTTCTTTACTGAGGAAACTGGTTCCTCAATCAGAATACCGCAAGTATGGAATCTTTATGCTCCTATTAGTTAATTTCTTGGTTAAGTTGTTCACAGTGAGAAAGACATAGACCTAAAGTTTCAGAAGGAAACATATAGTTCCTGTCATGAAGTAGGCTTTTGAGTTTGTTTTACCCGCTTCTGTAATACTCTGTTTTATGATCAGTATTATCTATCACACTAACGTTAATTTCCACGCTCAATAAACCAATGGCAGACTTCTAGGAGCTGTTGTGGTGATAGCAGCAAACGCAGGAGGAGCATGGACTCCAATAGGTGATGTTACTACAACTATGCTATGGATTCATGGTCAGATATCCACCTTGCCGACTATGCAGGTTCTCCTTCTATTTTGAGATAGTAATGCTATCACAATACCTTTTTTTTTCTCTCTTTATCATAAGCGCAAGTATCGCTAAGGAGAACATATGTTAAGAAGTAGGACTGGATAGATTATGAGTTTAGGTTTTGGTTGAATAAGGATTCTGGTCCCTGGTGTTATATAATTGGGACTGGTCTTAGTTAGCTGTGCATATCGAACCTTATTGAAGCTGCCTGTAACTGTTTGTTCCGAACTCATTTCAACTTTGATGTTCGTGATGGTGCTTGCCTTCCTTTCAGGGCCTTTTTATACCTTCGGCAGTGTCTCTTGCTGTTCCACTAGCCCTCATGTCCTTGTCAAGGTTATAAATTCTTCTTGCATTCTCGAACAATAAGAGAAACTATTTTTGGCATTTGCTGTCTCATAACCGCAGGGGCTGATTGATGTAAGTTTTGTTTATCTCTTACTCAAGTGAGGTAAACGGAAAGGGACAGGATTCTTCGGATGTATTGGCTTCTGAAAAGATGGCTCCGAGAGGGCAGCTAGTTTTTGGAGTTGGCCTTGGAGCATTGGTTTTTGTTCCGGTCTTTAAGGCTCTCACTGGATTGCCTCCTTACATGGGTATCCTGTTGGGTCTTGGAGTTCTTTGGATCTTGACGGACGCCATTCATTTCGGTGAATCAGAAAGACAAAAGCTCAAAGTACCTCAGGCCTTATCTCGAATCGACACACAGGGCGCTCTGTTTTTCCTCGGGATCCTTTTGTCCGTTAGCAGGTATTAAACCAACTGATCATCTCCAAACTCCTAAATTTCCATTACCCTCTTGATTTCGAAATCTTTTGTGATTTTTTTTCTCTTGTTGCAGCCTTGAAGCAGCAGGGATCCTCAGGGAGATTGCAAACTACCTTGATGCTAATATACCCAATGTTGAGCTAATCGCAAGCGCGATTGGTGTTGTGTCAGCAATCATAGACAACGTGCCATTGGTTGCAGCAACTATGGGGATGTACGATCTCACATCGTTCCCTCAAGATTCCGAGTTTTGGCAGCTCATTGCGTTCTGCGCTGGCACTGGTGGTTCTATGCTTATCATCGGATCTGCTGCTGGTGTTGCTTTCATGGGGATGGAGAAAGTCGATTTCTTTTGGTACTTCCGAAAGGTAAGATCACGATTGTCTGTCTAAAACCAGACTGAAACTCAAATACTCTTTTGAGGCTCTGAGCAAGAAACTCGGGTTTTGGTTTTGTCTCCATGCAGGTTAGTGGTTTTGCTTTTGCTGGCTATGCTGCTGGTATCGCAGCTTATCTGGCAGTTCATAATCTTAATTTGTCGATACCAACAACGGTTGCTCAGCTCCCATTCATCACTGGTTCGTAAGCTGCGTCAATTTTTATATTTGTCTTTTCTATAAAACAACAGAACGAAGGCAAAATATCTGGCTGGCTGCGTAATAACACATGCCGATTTGGACAAAAAAAATCAACTATGTAATTTGTTTCATATACACTCGATTGTATTGTATCATTAGTACAGAATGAGTTATCCAATAAGATTATATATCCATGTCGATTTTTTTTATGTGCACCTATGAAAACTGAAGTATAATAAGATTATAGTTTGAGGAAAACAAACTCTTCAATGGCAGAAATGTCTCCGATCTTCTTCAAAGTTTCTTTGCTTGGTTGTTCATCTACTCCAATGGCCATCACTGCTTGTTTCCCTGGAGCGATTCGACCTACGCTCATGAAACTAACATTCACGTTTTCATCTCCTAAGATGCCACCAACTCTACCAATCATACCAGGCTGATCAACTTGCCTGCACAGAATCACACTCCCTTCTAAGCTCACATCCACTTCAAATAACCCTACTTTGGTTAGACTTGGAACACCTTGCTTCACCCTGCCTTCTACTTTGATCTCTCCGGACGCAGATAACGCGCTTGCGAATCTTGATTCCACGTTTGCGATCCGAACAGTGATGTATTCGATTGGATTCTCCGGTGAGCCGTCTAGAACCATGCGTTCCTCTGAGATTTTGACTCCTCGTTGTTTGGCAATGTAATCGGAGTTAACCAGGTTTATGAATACGCTCGAAATGGGTTCGATGAGTCCCTTTATGACCATGGCACGTAGAAGTCTCGTGTCGAGATCATCAGGAGATCTTGAAGACGCATAAGTCACTTTCACAGCATCCACACCGCTTCCACCGGTTACCAGTTGTACAGCCAATCTCCCGAGCTTCTCAGCGAGCACAACATACGGTTTCAGCTCCTTCAATACCTGAAAACAGATAAGCCATTGAGCAACGTCAGAGAATTTACAGGACATCTTCAGATTCCAGATAAACATGTATGTTTTAAGTACTAGACGAGTAAACTTGATCCTGCTATGCTAGTGAAGTCCGAGACTACCTGTGGTGGAACCATTGGTGCATTCACCGCGGTAGCAGCAAGTTCTCCTTGTAAAGCTCCAACAACAGCTTCTGCGATTTCTATAGCCACCCCTTCCTAGACATTTAAGGTTAAAAAGGCTCAATTTTTATCAACCTAAAACCCCAAAGGAAGAGAGTAAAACGCAGTAATGGCAAGAACGAAACCTGAGCCTCCATGGTACTGGCACCAAGATGAGGCGTGGCGGTTACACTCTCATGTAACACCAGCTTGTTGTCTTGAACAGGCGGCTCAACTGTGAAAACATCAAGAGCTGCTTGAGCAACAACACCCGAGTCAAGCGCCCTCAAGAGAGCTTCCTCGTCAATAACTCCGCCCCGAGCAACGTTGACGATACGGACACCTTTCTTCATTCTCGCAAAGGTCTCGTCATTCAGCATCTTTGATGTAGCAGCGGTGAGAGGCAGGTGCAAGGAGATGAAGTCTGCAGTTGAAATGGCTACTTCGAAGCTAACTAGTTCAACGCCAATGGCTCGTGCACGATCCGCTGGTGCGTAAGGATCGTGTGTAATGACATGCATCCCGAGTCCCCTGGCTCGCCGAGCAACCTCTGATCCAACTTTACCGAAACCAAGAACAGCAAGAGTCTTCCCAACAAGTGAAACACCCACATATTTGTTTCTCGTCCATTTCCCTGCAGCAACCATTTAAACACACAACACATTTCTTCATCGCCATTTCTCAGATAAAGCTCTAAATAGGACATCAATTCCAAAGATGAGATTCTTCGTTAATCCTAAATTGAAGATCATATTGCCATTGGAACACTGTTTTGCTTCAATTCGATTAGTTCGACATTTACGAAATTGTGAGCTCACCAGCTTTGATAGAGGCATCAGCTTGAGCAACATTTCTAGCCATGGCGGTTAAAAGCGCGATTCCGTGCTCGGCAGCAGCCACCGTGTTAGCCGTCGGAGCATTCACAACCAAACAACCATACTCCGTCGCCGCCGCTAAATCCACGTTATCGATCCCAACCCCAGCGCGTCCGACAACCTTGAGCCTCCCGCGAGACGACTCGAACACGTCTCTCCCAACTTTCGTGCCGCTCCTCACGATCAGCGCGTCACAGAGCGAGATCTTCGTGCAGAGCTCCTCGAGGCTCAGATCATACGAGCAATCCACATTAGCGAACTTTCTCAGCAGGTCTATCCCCGCTTGGCCGAGCTTCTCCGCCACGAGAATCGTCGGTTTTCCGCCTCCGGCACTAGACGTAACGAGGATGATCCGCCGGCGATTAAGTTCCCTCCGACGGATGGGGAAGACAGAGTGAGTAGTAGTAGACAGCCTCGAGGAGAACACCGATGAAAGGCTCAGAGGCGTCGCCATCGGAGGTGGCGGGAATCTCCGGGAATGTAAGTAGAGGTGTATGTATCGTCGGCAACAGAGAGAAGATATGGCTTTGGGCGGGGTTTGTGGGGTTTTAATATGTTGTGGTGGATTGCGCCAGATTCTTTGTCCACTTTCCCCATATCCTCACTGCTTGGTGGATTGACTCTTATGAGCAAAACAATAATTTCATTTCTTTTTACACATACGTCTATATTCTCATAAAAAAAATTCACAAAATTTATATAATTAGGCAGATTAAAGTCAACGCATGAGACATTTATATTTTGGCAGAAGGGATTTTGTGTTTGATTTTTGAGCTCATTCTAAGAGCATCAATGATCTATAAAAGCAAGTAATCAACGAGACATTTATGAATCTCCAAATCAGGTCAAAACCAAATTGTATTTGCTTCATCTTTTCCCAGTTGTGCTACAAGAACAATGCCACAAAGCAGATGAAGCTAAAAAAAAGCCTAATGTTCTCGGCAAGATACACAAAAACCAGAAACGAATCTCTGACGCAGAACAAGAACTCGATAAACCTAATCAAGCAAAACAGAAAGAAATGAACGAAAATCTGTACTGTGCGATTCACTCTTTTCCGCTTCCACCATCCTCCTCTTACCCAGTAAAGGCTCATTCTTGTGTGTTAAAAAGCTGCTGTAATTAGTGGTTTTTTCTCCACCTGCAGCTACTGCAAAGATGCGACGGTTGTTCAGTAAACAGCGTTCAAAAACTCACTCTGGTTCAAGTTTTTTTTCCAGACAAGAGACTTACTTATAACCTACTGATATTTCTTCTCTTTGTCTATGGGCAATGGAATCTTCCTTGAGATACTTCGGATGAGTGTAGAAGTCGAGTTCAGTTTCTCATCAATGTGGTCTTGGTACTTCTCGTAGACAATAGGAACAGAAAGACTGAGAAGAATCCCTGTGAGATAAAACAGAGACGTATGATTAAAAACATATTACAGTACTAATATCAACCAACATTAAAGGAGCACAAGAAAAGCTTAGATGCTCACCAATGTACACAAGAGTGAGGGAGTTGATTAAAGTCCCGACATAGGATATAGCCCACAAGACAAACGAAACCTGTTTCACAGCAAAAAAAACCAACGAGATTTGAACCGTGTAAGAAACACATAAAACATGCAAAAAAATCCATTTGCAACAAATAGTTTTGCCAAGTAATGAAAAAAGAGATTTAGAGTATAACCTGAAGGAGACGAATCGGATTTCTAGCTATGGTGATATCACTTGCAATTGACAGTACATGATTGATCCAAACCCGCAGATCATCAGCTGCCTTAATCGCAAACTCCTCAGGGATCTCCATATTCGGCACTGGAGGTAGAGGTCTGAAACAAAAGCATATCGTATGAATAAATAGCATGTCGCATCTCCATATTCTCACAGCGCAGTTACAGTTTTCTAGAGCTTTTATTCTACTAAAAAACTCTTTCGAATGGTGAAGCAGAAACTGATGATACAGTCCCATTAAATAGCAAACAAGAAGCTAATGCATTCTCTCCTGTAAAGAATTCATCATTTTTTTCATAACAAATGGCAGCAAAAAAAGATACCGGTTGAGTACTGTAGCAGATTTGGCCCACAAGAAGAGGATCGCAACAAGAAGAAGCAGAACATTGGAGACGAAAGACAAGAGGTTGTATCCAGCTCTCTCGAATAAGAACCAAAACCCAGTAGAAGAGAATAGCAAAATGGCTGCACCAGTCCGGTTTCTCCATAGCAGCAAATCAGCAACTGTGACAAAAACAAACACCAAAAGATTCAACTCCAAAGCATCATGTGCTAAGAGAGATAGATTCCTGAATGTCTATAGATATATCAAATTGTTGAAACGTATTGATAATTATGATCAATTTTAGAAATTTCCCCAAATGAACGAAAACCCCAAAACGTAATTCGATCAATCCAGAACTATGCCAATCAACGCAACAACCCAACGACGAGGCGAAACAAGTGAAAATCAATAATCTCGATAATTCTCCATTGAAATCGAAAGCGAAACTCGAAATCGATAGCCAATGTAAATAAACAAAAAAACTGGGCTGAGATGAAACAGGAGGAAGATGCAATCACCTGAACCACCACCAAGAGACTGGTGAACAGAGAGGCGGGATGAAGAAGCGGAATCTCCCATGGCGAATATCAGTTAGGGTTCTTCCGCATAGAAAGGTTGAGGGCAGAATGAAATACGAATCGACGATAACTTGATTCGAAAGATTTAAGAGAGAGACCGCTTCGTGATTGCTCAACAAACGCACTGCTTTGGATTAATCGCGCCTGCTCTCTTCCTTCCTACATCAACAACGATCAAAGATTTCCCTTTACGCTTTAAGATTTTAATTTATCAAACTAATGTACTATTTTCCTTTTTCCTTTTTCTCTTTTGGCTACCTTTCTAATAGTATCAAATTAAGAAAGTTAGTTGGCAATTAAAAAAAAAAAAAAAAAAAAAGACACCGAAATATTTCATTTTTCATTTATTATTTCAACACTGAGAGATCACTTTAACCTTGAGGTTCGAAGTCTCCACGATCGTCTTCTACAAATTTCAATTTATGCCAATTACCCATCGTTTCTCTTGATGCAATTTGGCCGCAATTACTGATTTTTAATTTGGATAAAAGTTCATTCATATATTGACCGCAATATCACTATTATGGGTGTAGTCATTGCTACAAAAAAAATAAAGTTTATGTCTTTATATTTTGGGTCTGGTGGTTGATTCTCTTTTGAAATGATCAACAGGATCAGATAGCCTCACCGTTATCACTGAACAATGTCATGATACTATGGCATGCTCTCTCTAGAAGTTTGGAATATATATGGCTTAGCAAAAAGCCCAATAACGGGCCCAAAAAGCTCACCAAATTTTTTTTTTATGAAACCTAACCCAGACGCATCTTATCTCTTTGCTTTCTGTGTTTTCCCCTAACCAAAGGTCCGATTAGCCTCTCGGGTTCTCAAAGCCCAAATCTCTCTCTCATCGTCGTTTGAGATCCGCTCGATTCCCCATTCCCTCCGTCTTCACCGGGCCGGAGATTTCTCTTCCGCCTTCTTCCGCTTTTCTTTGTTCCTCGCAGGTATTATTATTTTTCTACAACCTTGATTTAAATTTCGCCTTTTTGACTGGATCTATTTTTAGGGATCGTTTGCTCTTTTGGCTCGATCTTCTCGAAATTTAAAATTCTGGGTTTTGGGCTTAATGGATATCAATATATCCTTCAGTGACTTTCAGTCCATGTGAGATTGCTTTTAAGTCTTTTCCTATCTGTTTATCTTTCTGCTCGGAATCATTTACTCTCAAGCTCTTTTTACAATATATAGCTTTAAACTTCAAACACAAACGCAACCAATTCTGGGTTTTGGGCTTACTTTCCCCTTTTTTTTTTTTTTGCCCATTAACCTTCAATATCTTTATTACATAGCTTAAACGCACAACAACACACACAGTCTCTGAATTATTAGAACCAATGGGCTTAATGGGTAAATCATTACTACTTGTTAATCATTAATTATTCCTCTGTAGCAAAACAAAGAAAGAAAGATGGAGACAGCATTGGAGGTGTACAATGAAGCTGAGATGAGATCACCAGAGACACAACAACCACCGATCAAGCGACGCAAGAAGAAGTCAAAGGTGTGGGAGAACTTCACGATAAAGAACACAGAACCTGGTTGCAGAAGAGCTGTCTGCAAAGGATGCAACCAGAGCTTCGCATACAGCAGCGGAACCAAAGTAGCTGGCACTAGCCACCTCAAGCGTCACATTGATAAAGGCACTTGTCCCGCGCTTGTCCATGCACAGAACATCGAGAACAGCAACAACCCGCAGATGACTCCTTACACTCCCAAGGGTGACACACCGAGAAGGCGTTACCGAACACAGAGCACTAGCCCCTACGTCACGTTTAATCAGGACAAGTGTCGCCAGGAGATTGCTAAGATGATCATCATGCATGACTACCCTCTTCACATGGTCGAGCATCCAGGGTTCATCTCCTTTGTGCAGAGCCTTCAGCCTAACTTCGATACCGTGAGCTTCAACAATGTTCAGGGAGACTGTGTCGCGACTTACCTTGTGGAGAAGCAGAATGTTATCAAGTCTTTAGAAGCCATTCCAGGACGCTTCTGTCTCACGCTTGACTTCTGGACCTCCAAGGTGTCTCTTGGGTATGTGTTTATAAACTGTCACTACATTGACAGCGACTGGAAGATACAGAAGAAGCTTCTCAATGTTTTGATGGAGCCGTATCCAGAATCTCAAGAGGCTTTGAGTCGTGCTGTCTCTAGCTGTGTCTCTGAATGGGGTCTGGAGGGTAAGTTGTTTTCCGTCACCTTCAACCATCCGGCGAGTAAAACGGCGGTTGAAAACATCAGGCCTCTGATCTGCATCAAGAATCCTATGATTCTGGATGGTCAGCTGGTTATAGGGGGCTGCGTAGCCCGCACGTTTAGTGGACTCGCTAGAGATGTGCTGGATAGTGGAAAAGATGTGATCAAGAAGATCCGGGACAGTGTGAAGCACGTGAAAACCTCGGAGTCCCATGAGGAGAGGTTCGTTGAGCTCAAGGAACAGCTTCAAGTTCCGAGCGATAAGGTACTCTCTCTTGACGATGAGACGCAATGGAACACAACGTACAAGATGCTCGTGGCTGCTTCTGAGTTAAAGGAAGTGTTCTCTTGCCTAGACACTGCGGACCCTGACTACAAGAAACCTCCTTCAGAAAGCGAGTGGAGACTTGTGGAGACGCTTTGCACATTCCTGAAGCCTCTTTTCGAAGCAGCCTCCACTCTTCAGTCTAGTGAAAACCCGTCCGCTGTTACCTTCTTCCATGAAGTGTGGAAGACACAGTCAGATCTGTCTCGGGCGATAGCAGGAGAGGATCCTTATATCGCAGGTATTGCTAAAACCATGAAAGAGAAGGTCGACGAGTACTGGAGGAACTGTAGCTTGGTTTTGGCAATGGCGGTGGTGATGGATCCTCGGTTCAAGATGAAGCTCGTGGAGTTCAGTTTCTCCAAGATATTCGGAGAAGACGCGGGGCAGAAGATCAAGGCCGTGGATGATGGGATCCACGAGCTCTTCAGCGAATACATGGCGCTCCCCTCGCCGCTAAAACCGGCATCCGAAGACGGGAAAGCAGACGGGCTGTCGGATTTCGACACGTACATAATGGAGACGACGGGGCAGAATCTGAAATCAGAGCTGGACCAGTACATTGACGAAACGCTGCTTCCCAGGGTTCAGGAGTTTGATGTCCTCGACTGGTGGAAACAGAACAAGCTCAAGTACCCGACGCTGTCGAAGATGGCTAGAGACATCCTCTCGATCCCGGTCTCGGCTGCAGCCTTTGGCTACGTCTTTGACATGGAGCCGAGGGAGATGGATGAGTACAAGGCGTCGTCGCTGAGGCCCGAGACTGTTGAGGCTCTGATTTGCGCCAGGGAATGGCTTCTTGAGGGTGCAGCAGCTGCGCAAATCTCAAGTGGTGCCATTGTCAAAATTGATAACTGAAGCGTAGGTGTGACTTTTGCTTTCTTCGTTATCTCTCTCTCTCTCTCTTATCGTTGTTGTTTTTCTAGCAGTTAATAGTATCTTGTTGGTTCTTGTCAGCAGCTGAATCCTCGGTGGCTCTTCTCTGTTTAGGGGTTTCTTGTGCGTTTATGTTCTTCTCCGCCTAGGGAGTTTTCTTCTCTTGTAGTCGTCTCTCTTGCATTGCATTGGAGGTTCGTATATGAGTTCCGTTCGCAAGTCTTCCGTCTGCTTTGTGTTTGTACTCTAGTATTCTCTACATGTTTGTATTTAGGTTCCATGATTCTCTCTTTTGGGATGTTTGGCTTTGTTCATGTCTCTTCTTTTGGTCTGTTGGCTTCGGACTTTGTGTGTAGTAACTCTAGTTTATTCTTGACTATATTCCATGTTTGGTTCATATTAGATATTTTTTATTTTTTATTTTCTTTTGTGACAACCCATGTGAGAAAGACAGTGACAGAAAATCATAATAGTTGATAAACCAAAGCATTTGTTTCTGAACCATTGCAAAAAAAAGACACAACGAACATACATAGTAGGGACCATTACATTAATTAGTTCTTCTTTCAATGCGACCTTTTCAATTTGGAGTTGTTGTAGTTGTCTCCTCCACGAACTTGCTTCCAGCAACATCAACGACAAATCTGTAACGAACATCGTTCTTGTGAAGCCTCTCAAAGGCAGTGTTAAGCTCATCAACCTTCACCACTTCAATCGTCGACGTAAGCCCTTTCTCTTTGCAGAAAGCCAACACTTCCTCTGTCTCTTTAATGCTCCCAATAAAGCTCCCCGAAATCACTTTCCTCCCTATCAATTACAATAAAACAAATCAAAAATTTGCTATCGATTTTGGTTGTAGTTTGAAATGATTTAGAACTAGAAAGTCTAACCAAGAATGAGGAGAGGGGTCAAGAACTGGAGCGGGGTGTTAATAACACCCATGAGAATCAATTTCCCGTCGAGTTTAAGACTAGCCAAGTAAGGCTCGAGAGGGTGAAAAACCGGTACGGTATCGATGATGTAGTCAAGGGAATCTGCGATTCTTTGCATCTCTGCTTGATCAGAGCTCACTACGTAGTCGTCAGCTCCTAAATGCTCCATTGCTTCTTCTCTTTTCTTCTCTGATGAGCTTATCACAGTCACGTGATGTCCCATTGCTTTAGCTATCTTCACACCCATGTGACCTACTCCTCCTAACCCTAGAATCCCTCCTTTAAGTCCACTTGTCATTAGACCGAAGTGGCTCAACGGACTGTAAACCGTGACTCCCGCGCATAGCAGAGGCGCAGCTTGCTCTACCGGCATTCCTTCCGGGATCTTGACAACAAACCTTTTGACAGAAAAGTTTGAAAAAAGACGAGGTTACTTGTAGAGGAAGAAACAGATGCTCCGTTTTTGCTTGTCAAACAAGAAACGGTTTGTGTGAGCGTGTGTCAGTGTGCTGCTTACTTCTGATTGACGATCATAGTATCTGCAAAGCCACCTTGGGTTGGTTTGCCGTCGGTGTACACATCGTTGTAACTCCAGATTCTCTTGTTACAATACTGCTCAAGATCTGCGCTGCATGGTTTGCAGCTACCGCAGCATCCGACGATTACGCCGACTCCGACCACATCTCCTACCGTAAACTTGCTCACATCTGATCCAACTTCCACCACCTCACCAACCACCTCGTGTCTATAAATCAAATCTCATTTTAGTTTCTTACAAAATATATATTTCATGAAGGTTTTAGGTTAATCTACAAGTCCACATTGACTAGATTTTTTGTTTGCATAAAAGAATAAACAGTGAAGTGTGAACTCAAAAAGTATAAAAAAACAGTGAAAGGTGCAATTGACAAACTAGTACGAAGGAGTTTTATGATCCTAGATTGTTATTTTCACTGTGCGGTCATAATGACGATAGCGTCTGTTATTAAAATATGATAATTTTGGACATTTACAGAAATAAGTTAGAATAATAGAATGTACTGTTTGAACTTATCTCTAGACTGTAGCATGCTTATTGGAAATCACCAAGTTAGTCACGAGTGTA